TTTATATAGTTTTTATATATTAATTATAAGTTCCGCTAATATATATTAAGATATTATTTATATAAGCTAAGCAATACTTATTTAATAAATTATATAAAATAAAATTAATATATTATTAAAATATAATAAGGGCGCCATAAAGGCTAAAAAGTATAATTAATTACTTAAAAAGCCTATATCTTATTTAAAAAGCTATCTTTCATTTATAGCCTTCCTTTACTTAAATCTTATAAAATACTTAAACAATATTTACCTTAATAAATTAATAAACTTTTATTAAATTCCTTAAGATTTTTAAAATTAAGAGTAATAAATATTAATTTATCTTTATAATTTAATTTAACGCCTTATAATTATAACAAAATTATAAGCCCTTACTTAAATTTTAAATAAAGATTATTAAAAACCCTGCTTTATTACTATTAACTTTAATAAAGCCCTTATTTAAAAGGTTTTTAAGGGTTTTTTTAAAAATTAAAAATTCCTCTTAAGATATATTATAAATTAGCTTAAAAGAAATAAATATTTTTTAATTCTTTTTATTAATTTTAAGGTTAATTTTATAATTTATTTTAAGTTTATAAGGGTTAAGCTTATTTATTTCTTTTTTTATAAAAAGCAGGAGCATATTATAAAATTTTAAAGGGATTCTTGCTTAAAGCTTTTCTTTTATAAGTAAGATTTTTATATATAAAGCCTTATTTATATCCTTTAAGAAAATGGTAAATATTATAAGTTTTATTATAAATTTCTTATAATTCTTCCTAATTCTTTAAAAGTATATTATAAAGGTTAACTTAGCAACTTAAATTATTACCTTTAATTCTTTTAGCTTATTTAAATATAATTATTAACTTATATAAGGAATTTAATAATTTACCTTTTTATACTAAATTTTTTTTTAATAAAGAATAAAAAAAGCTTTATTTATTATTAATTATAGCTTTTTTAAAATTAAAGGGAATTTTAAATTTAAAATAATATAAGCATTAATTAATTCTTAATAACTTTTAATTTTTATAATAAATCTTATAATTTCCTTAATAATTACTTTAATAATTCTTAATATAATACCCTTTAAAGTTTATAATTATATAAATATAATAAAAATGCTTATCTTATATACTATTTCTTTATTAATTATAACAAAGTATTTATACCCTTTATTTATAAAGATAATTTCTAAATTTATATTATTAATAATTATATAAATAAGTATAAATTTTAATTTTAATATATTTATTTTTACCTATACTTAAATATTCTTTATATATTTTATAACTTATCTTTACTTTAAAGCTATTCTTTTTTTAGCTTAAATATATTAATTTTATTTTCCTATTTATTAAAAAGATTTAATTTAATTACTTAAGCTAAATTAAAATAAGAACTTAAATTCCCTAGGTTGCGGTTTAAATTTAAGGGTAAAGCATAAAAATACCCTCTTTAAAAATAATTCAATATTTTGCACCTTCCATACCTTTTGCTTTAAAAATAAGCCTCCCTTTCCTCTTTAAAAACCTACTTTGCTTATTAATACTTTTAAAAGCCGCTTATTATAAGGCATTTTCTATTCTACCCCTTATAATTTCTTTCCTTAGCTATATAATTTATCTTTATTAAGATATCCCCTTTAAAATTTAAGGCTAATCCTTCTTTATTTTTTAAGAATTATAAATTAAAATTCTTATAATTTAAATTAAAAATAATAATAATTAAAATAAAACTTTTATGCTTTTATTAATATTAATTTATAAGTAATTTAAATTTTCCTATTTATTTAAACCGCTAAGCTATTTATTAAATTACCTTTATATATTTTTTAAATATTATAAAAAATAATATAATTATTAATTTATTCTTTAAAACTTTTAATATTCTTTAATATAGCTATATTATATAAGATTTATTATCCTATGCATACTCTTTAGCTTTTATTAAAGCGTTTTTAAAATTTATAAAAAACTTATTAAAAGGCTAGCTATTTCTTTACCTTAATTAAATTAAGTTATTTTACCCCTTTTCCTTATATATAATTATAAAAAATATATAATTTATATAAGTAATTAATTTTTATAAATTAAAATCCTTATTTATACCTTTATTTTCCTAAAATACTTAAATTTTAAACTTTTAATTACCTCCTAAGCATTAATATATCTTATATTAAGCCTCTTGCTTTTTATTTATATACTTAACAAGCTTATTAATAAAGAGTTTTAAAATTAAAAAGGCTTAAAAATTAATATATTTATTTAATTTATTATTCCATATAAGCTATAAAAGAGCCTTTTATAAAAAACTTATAAGCATAACCTTAAAGTTAATCTTAAGTATTATCTTTAATTCATTAAATATATATTTATTATTATTAAAAACTATTAAAGTTTAATTAAGAAATAATAAGGTAAGGGTAGTTATAAGATATAGTTACATTATTAATGCTAAATAAAAAAATGCCTATAGCTAACTTATTAATTTAATAAATTCCTTTAATTCTTATATAATTCCCTTTATTATATTAATAGCTACCCTTAACGCATCTTTAACTACTTATTATATAATATTATTTAATAAACCTTAATTTTATATAGCTGCTTATATTACTTAGCTAAACGCTAGATTTTAAATTATATATTATAAAAAGTTAATTTCCATATTTAAAAATTTAAATCGTAATAAGTTTATATTAATGCTTAATACATTATTAAAGTTTCCCCTTAATTTAGCGCTTTTTAATGATTTTCTTAATATTTTTTCATAAGGATTTTCTTTATAATAAAAATTATAAAAGATCTTAAGGAAATTTAACTAATTATAATAAGTTTATATATTATAAATGCTAAGCATTATTATAGCTAAGCCTAATTAAATAAAGAAAGAGAAAAAAAAGGTATAAAAGCTAAATTACCTAAATTCTAGCAATAAAATGCTGGAAACCCTAGGTTTTAAGCTAAAACCCAAAACCCTTACCTTAATAAGTCACACCCATTACACTTTTTAATAAACTACGTTATATATATTATTAAAATTAAAAAAAGTAAAGTTAAACTTAAATATATTTAATTCTCTTAAGTATTTATAAAGATTTTAAAAATGTTAAGAAATAATGTATAATAAAGTATAATCCTTAATAGCTTAATTTATATAAATATATAATAATATTAAAATTATAAATATAATATTTAAATTTTTTACACATTTAATTTATAAGTATTTAGCTATATGTAATTTTATATTATAATTAATATTTTATTTATAGAAATATAAGCCCTAAAAAAGCTAGCTTTTTGGTGTAAAAAGTGGCCTGAATCGGGGGGTGGCCCGAATGTGGGCCACTAGACTCAAGGGTACATTCTAGATGGACTCGAGAAACTCCGATTACCAGGCCCAGTGAAGCGCTGCACGTCTCTATAGCGTAGCTTCTCACCTATCCAACGTGAATGCCTGGCACACAGAACTAAGACTAGGTTCCAATATCTGTCTACTAGCAACGCACAACTGAATAGAAAGACCATGGCTTGTCTTTAGCATTTTTTATCTCACCAGCAGCAAGTATATGGACACTGTATCTTTCAGGTCGCCCAAAGCGGGACTCTGAATTTTCATCTCGAAATCTTTTGTAAAGACCATGAGGGATCTCGTATACCTTTGGGCCGATTATTACAGCTCCCTCCTCTACGGGTAGGCCACCCCAGTCGAAATTCTCAAAGCTCCTAGTGTCATCGACCACTGACCCGGAGTCTCAAAAAGATTCTGGTGCGTGTAGAATTTGTGGGCGGACCATGTAGCGCTACCTTTTTGAAAACGACGTAGTGCTGAAGGTTGATGCTGATGGACTACATTAGACGCGTTCGTTTGTAGGGTCCGACAAGTTTCCAACACCAACTGGCCTATCGTTGAGATACGTATGATAGCTGTAATCGTTGATAGTCTGAAGCTCCACGCGACTTTCTGTCTTCTGGTTGTTTGCTGAAGTCTCCCACCGAGATCCTTGCTCAGAACGAGTACGTCCGCGCACGAATGACATGAGTCCAGAAAGTTTTCCTTTCGGAACCCGAGGCAGGGTATTTCGGCCGGAATTGTCGGAATTCGCTGCCAATTTGAAGTGCTTGTCGCTGGCGGAGGTGATCTTAGATGATGAAGTCCCTCGGGACCTACCTATCTACCTCGCTACCTAAATGAGCACTCAACATGCAATATGACGAACTACGTTACATATAAGTGCGCCCGCAGGCAACTCTTTCTATGGTCTCTGCTGAACTCTGCGGAGGCACAGTCTCACACGGTTATTAATATCTAATCCACCCAGCGTACACTTCCTACATCTTTGATCAACGACTAAGAAACGAGCTTTGATTCTACAGAGCGGTGGTTACACTACATCAGAGTCGCCATGCCGTAGCTCATGATAGCACCACCCCACTACTCACCCTCAATGGCCCCCAACTGCTCATGCAATCCTTCACTGATACACTGCATGCAATCCAAAGTTTCACCCTGGCTTGGGTCGTATTCAACGGGCCACAAGGCTGCTTGTTGCTGCAACAGATCCGTCAGTGAATATGGCCCGCAAGGGATCAGACACGGAAGAAGAAGAGGTAAGGATGACTTCTGCTGATACATTCTGTTCTCTCTTACTGGACTCCAAGTCCTGTGCGTCGAATTGAGGGGTAATTCCTGAGGTACTTCTTCAAGGCCGCGTTCTACTTATTTCAAATAGACGGGTCAGGTGTGAACGCGTTCTCAGAATTTAGACATGTTATCACATGGCAAACTTTCTGGGCCATTTGAACTTCATGTTTCTTGGAATACTTCTGTATAGGAAACATAAAAACAAGCTCAACTAGCCCTTCCTTTGTTCCCTTCCTTTATATAGCAAGACACTTCGTCCTCCGGTTCTTGCATACCCAGACCAAATTTGTCTTTCCCGAACCTGATTGAATCTGTTGACAGCCGAATATCAAACTCCGAAGAAAACAACACGCATGAGTATATAATCACCTTCTGCGCCAGAAAACGACCTGGGCAGATAAGTTGGCCCCCTGTAGGTTGCGAACGTCAGTCAAAACTAATTGCACATAATTTTCGTGCAGAACGGGGGCACTAATATATAGAATGTACCTGAATAAGGGATCCAAGACCCTCGAGTCCCTCCATTGACACGTATGGCTTGGTGTCGCTGCCGTTGCAGTTCTTGTGTTGTGTTAGTTGCTTGGTGGCAATTTCAGGTAGTATTGGTCCGCTGTATGGGTCACTAGGATCCGTGATAAATCTCTCCGCCCAAAACGATTGCAAGGGATGAAGTCTCCCGCGGGTATTCCAGAAGGTTTGATCCATGTGGCAGATTTGGGGGCTGATGAGACCAAGCCGCCCTTGGGCAGGCGCCACTTTCCAAGGGGAACATCGTTATCCGGGGCGCTCACGATGGAGTATGAAGAAACATGCAATCTCAAAGTTTCTGCGTAGAGGAAATGAAGAAGAGGCATGCTTGAGAGGCGCCGTATGTCGAACTCAGCGGCTGGGCACTGTCCGTAGGTTGCCTGGATCTCCTCGCGTACGCGGTCCAGCATGCTCTGGTCCTCAAAAAGGTCAATCAGCGCCATGACAACGCTGGGCACCATATTTACCATCAGCCTGTGCGAAATTAGCTGACGTGACATTGGACGTGGAAAGGCACCCTACCCCCAAGCTACGCCCAGGTCCACGGAGGCGACCATATCGTCATCATTCAGAACCCCAACCAGCTTCTGTTGATCTCTCATCCAGGCAGATCCCCAGAACGGGTCTCCATTACCATCCTCGTCGATCATGGATTCGCGAAAATTCTCACGTGAATAATGGTACCATTTCTTGAAACCTTGGCGCAATTTTTGTCGTACTCTGCATGGACCAGGCCAAATAAATTGTGGCAGCCCTTTTGACAGCCATGGAATCGACTCGTTGAACGCGAATATGTCAGCTATGAATGTGGGATTAATTTGGAGGAAGCTAGGACCGAAGACAGCTTCGACCAATGCTTGGCCAACCGTTTGGTGGACGAGACTAGGCAAATCACTCTTGTGGACCCAGTCTGCTTGCCGGCGGGCCAGTTGTAAGTTCTTTGTCAGTGCTGCTTGGAAACGCCTGAACATGGGTGCGGATCCGGATCCAACCACGGCTTTCAGGAGTCCCACGTGCAAATCATGTGTGAGATGGGCATGATTTGTGGCATCGATGTCGTTGAGTTTCGGTTGGTATAGCCTCAGCCACTTGGACGGCATCCCGAACAGGTTTTTCAGCAGGGATGACTGCTTCCAAATCTCTTGGACAGTTTGCCGGTCGTGGGAGAGGTAAATGTCCACCCAAGGCGAGAATGCGACTCAAGAAGATGTCAGTTGTCCGGCAAAAGACCTGGTGATTGAAATCAGCCCGCAACTTCATGGGTGTCATACTCCAAACCAACATTGACCTAGTTCCTGGGTTGACTCACGTAACTTTGTGGAGATAGGTCTGGCCATCCAATATGAATGGGATCAAACTACCAAAGTAAGGGAACCATGTTGGATATCTCGGAGGCTGCTGGCACAGACTTTGTTTCTGAAAATGAGCTGTGCGAAACCTGACGCTGTCTCGGTAGAATGATATCACCAAGAAAAGGAGTAAAACAACCCCAAGTAAACCAAGAGAACTTTGTGACCTGAGTAGGGTGAGCATATTGTCACTCTGTTAGACTTAGGAATAATCTGGGACGGGGAAGTTGTTAAGGTCTTGGTAGAACAAGACGACGAGAATAGTTAAAGAGCTATTGGCAGTCTGCTGGGACCGCATAACAATGTTCCCAGGAGACATGGAGCTTTTATAATCGTAACCCAAATTACAAACATTGAACCACTAGGTCTCAACCCCAAAAGTCCCGTTTTATGAAGCAGTCAGCATGGAGGGGTTGGGGTTACAAAGAATCAGCGTTGACGTTTCCTGTCATGAATCAGTGGGCTTGGACTGGAAGCCTGGCAAGAGACGACGGTACCTAGATACACTTCTACATACACCCGAGCCCGAAACAAGTGCTCACTGTCACAGTCAGTTGATTGATGGATGTCTCATTGGCTGCCTTGCAGCTGTAGCACGACGAAGGCGTGACCTCGGTCCCAGCTCGGGGATAGGCCAACTGGCAACAATTTGCGGGCACAGCCCACCAAATGTGGGGGCCAAGTGTACTTGATGCCTACTAAACTGTGAAATGCGCATGCAGCCGGTGAGTGAGGATATGTACCTGAATACAGTTCTTCTGCTTCCAGGAGTGCAGATGCCCACTTAGTTGTGTGACATTCACTCAAGTGTCCTCTGTTAGACCTTTGCGCAGAATAAACCGTCAACACGTCATATGTATTTGATATGTGACAGTAGGGTCAAAGAAAGTGAAAATGAGGCAGAATTTTGCTCAGCGCATGGCGCGTAATCTACCTGGCAGATATGTTGTGTTACTGAGCGCAATCTCCAGCTGGCGCACCCTCCCCTCACCAATGAACCGCTAAGGACTAAGACATTACAGTCTGTGTGGGTGGAGATGTGTAAATAGAGGAGCCTCGTCTTGTGCAAGGCTTTTCCTTGGCCAAGCTCCCGCAAGAATCAATTGCGTGTACTTTTCAAGCTTCAGTTCGCCATGTTTGCAGTGCCAATTGCCGATCTCTGCTTCTGAACTCAATCTAATGTACAAGTGGCTAATTATTCCTTCGCTGGGAACCTATATGGTGGAGCTGGCAGCCCCACCGCCCATTCATTGATTAATGGTAGAGCACAGAGTAAATTTATACCTAGCAATACTGTAAGAGATCATCAGTAGCCGCTACTCTCCCGAAAAGAACTAGTGACATCGCTTCTAGAATCACCATTCACCGCCGACCTGTTAACTTCGCCCAGGGGATTTTAAATCAATATTTGCTAAGAGCCAACATATCAGAAGGGTACTCGTAAGTAACTGTACAAGGATGGCCACTGTGTCAGGAGAGAATATTTACCTGCTGAGACTATTTTACGATATGATTCCGGATTCGTCGAGTGCTGGTCTTACAAAATCAGTTTCGGCATATTAGTGTACGGCAAATAATGTTTTGAGCAATATAGGCTTTCCCCCAAACCTTGCGCTTCTTTGACTTGAACCATCATCTTGCAACGGCATCACGGAACGCTTTCTGTGCATGGCCTTGGGTCACCATTGGGAAGGCTTACATGAAGTTTCCTGTGGTTCGTATGTCGATATCTACTTTTATTCTAGCGAAAGCGAGATTTTCGTATAACGGTTCGGAATACACCTTTGGAGAAAAGCCCGCAGCATCATCTCGCTTGTTTAGAAACATGATTTATATGTAAATCAAGCCTGCCACTCTAAATCGTCACTCGCCCGGCTTATTGCTGAAATTACCCTCCCGTGCGTTCTCTTGTGCTCGCAAAGCACCCGCCTGTCTCCTTGTTTCCGCTTCCGTCTTCACATTCAACCACTCCATGCTCAGCGTGAAAGGTAGCGCTGCAGCGATAAATGCGGTGGCCAGTATCATAGTCCTTACAATGGCCGTGTTCCAAATATCCCGCACAATTGTCATGTCCTCGATGCTGAGACGCAAAGATGAAAGATTTGACGCGCCGGCATCCTTGACTAGCTGCAGAGATAAGTCAGGCAAGCGCTGTGGGACCAAGGTGACTAAAGTTGTGAGAGTAATAGTCTGTCCCAAAGACACTGCCAGTGCACCACCCAGCTGATTGAGAAACACAGCGATGGCATTGCCAACTGGAATATCATCGTCTGCCAGAACGACCGAGATGGCGGAGTAAGGCATCTGCATTGCCATTCCCGAGCCGAGGCCAGTGACCACAAGGGCTCTAGCCCAATATACAGAGCTTGATTCCGACTTTAACTGTGTGAGCATAGCTAACCCACTAATGCAAATGACTTCGCCTAGGACCACGTAAGACATATAGTGTCCGTATTTCTTGACGAGGATACCCGTGGAAATAACGGACACAAACTGTGGGATAAGTCGCGCAATAAAGTTTATGGCGGTAGTAACTGGGCTGACTCCTTTGACCCCTTGGAAACAGAACGAGAGGAAGAAGGGAACCTGGATTTCGTTGGTACGGTGCCCACATAGCGGGTCGAGGAAAGACCTAATGCAGTTGACCTACAGCGTATGCTTGTGCTCCTAAGAAGAATAATGATATGGATCTAATCCAAATTGAACGCTTTTTGAATATTCTTGACGTAATCAAGGCATACTCTTGACGTTTCTACTGCCAAAAAAAAAAAACCGAACAGCGCCCCAATAATGGCCCCACCGGCCAGGCATCCGATCACGTCTGGAGATCTCCATGGCTTTGAATCACCGCCCCATTGTAACGCCAGGAGGAAGCAGAATGCTGCACCCATGACTAGTATGGAGCCCAAAGGATCCATATTGTTGAAATTCGTTTTCAAGGGCAGCGAGCGATACATGTCGGAGCGGCTGGGAAACCTCATGAATACTGCGAGACCGGCCAAATCAGCACTACCAATGGGCAGATTACTATAATGAAACGGTAAGAATTCGATAAGTGAATGAAGGAAAACATAATGGAAAAGATCGAATGACAGATTGTACATGACTCACATCCAGAAGCACCACCTCCACGACACGTCTTGCGTGAATGCGCCACCAAGGACAGGACCAACTGTGACTGCGATCAAGAAGACACATAATACAGCACTTGTGTACACGGCACGCTGATCCAAAGTCACTGTCTGGCTGATGATGCTCAAAGCCCCTTAGAGAGCACCAGCAGCCCCGAACCCGGCGACTGCCCTCCCCAGTATAAACACATGAGAGTTCACGGAGGCGGCACAGAGCACGGAACCAACTGCAAACAGAAGACGAGTTATAGTTTCAGTATAATTGAGGTAAAACTTCTCAGACGGAGGACTTCTCACTTTCGAACATGAAGATCGTCAACTGATAGACGATGGCGGAATTCCATTGCTTGTAAATAGTCTCCAACAGGGGTTGGAAAACGGTGATGGTGAGAATGTACGCTGTGCTGTACCACGCCACCTCCTCCAGATCCTTAAAGTCAGAAGATATTCGCGGCAATGGCACGGTGATTATGTTCGTATCAAGTGCAATAAGCAATTGACTGAAGCATAGGCATGCAGTGACAGCATAGAGCCGCCATGAGGTTAGATATTCTGGCGTGTGCGCACCCACGGATCCGGCCGTCGACATGATGGAAAGACCGGGAAAATGCACGAGTAGCTGTCTGAGACGCACCTATTTACGCGTACAATTTCAAACTGATGATTGACTGCGAATAGAGTACGAGAAAAGAAGTTTTAAAGAAAAGGGCAAGAAGCGGGAAGGGAGTCGGGATGAAGATTGCGGTAAAGAACATCCCGAACGTTGGTGGCGTGAACCTCCTGCACCAACCGCTCCTTTGGCCGTTGTGTTACATTACACAGGCCTCGGATGCGTCTGCTGTTTTTCTGCGCGTTGGTGCACGTTGGTCTGCAGGTTGCCTGCTGATTAGTTATTGAGACAACCGGGAGCAGGGGTAACCATCAGCTCACGGCCGCACTTCTCTAGGCACACACCCTGTTGTCTATGTCGTTTCCCACTCGATGGTTTCCATTCCTCTGGATCCCGAGCTCTCTGCCTGTCCCAATGCAATTGCCTCTCTTGTCACACAAGTCAAGCTACTCAGCAGATCTTTCGCAGGTAGCACTAAATGAACATCCTATCTATCAGAAAGAATCGCTTCAGTCTGCACAATATATCTGCCCGTTTTGTTATCTACCTATCAGGTGTCCCGCGATTTACTCGGTCCAGATCAGAACAGCTTGCCGTTGAAACCTCCCCAAGTCTCATCAGTCCAGCGATTAGCATGTGGCGGAGGTGTCCAAAATACTGGGTTAAACCACAACGGTAAGCACTCAAAAGAATACTCATAGCACTCATCCCAAGAACGCATGGCTACAGCTACCAATTCGTAAGCAGCCGCCCCCGATCTACACTCTGCGGCTACCATGGATCCACCTTTACGTAGTCCAATCATCAACCCTATCACGGCAGTCCAAAAGCAGGTGCGCATCATCTCGTTTGTGCCCGTGATGGTTTGAATGGCAGTATCAATTATGGGCAGCAGCAAAAGTGCAGTGAAAATCGTTGGCCATGACCTAATCGATGATCACGGTCACATCCAAAGCCTGGCCAAGATTGTTCACGCAACCTGGCTTCCAAGGACGAGACGGGATGCCTTGAACAGGAGATCCGTCCAATACGTAATGGCGCCAATGGACACGCTGGCGTCTCGTGTCGGGGCAAATGGATACACCACCATAGATATGTGCCAATGGATCAGTCATCAAGTCATGATGGCCACGGCCGAAGGCATCTACGGGCTCCAGAATCCGTTCCGGGACGACTCTGCTGTGCAGGCATTCCGGTAAGGAACAATCAGACCAGTACATCGTCTCCGTGAAATCCTGCTAATTGCTATCCACGGAGAATTCGAGGTAGGGATACTGGCGCTCATGACTAGATCCCTTCCATCCATTACGGCAAGACGGCGCATCAAAGCTCACGAGACACTACTAAAGGCCTACATAACCTACTACGAGAAGAAATGGGATGAGGACCCTCAAACGTCTACTTTCATCCACGATCGCTGCCAGTACTTCTCCTCGGAAGGATCATCTCTTGAAGATATCGCAAGAAGTGAGATGACGACTTCGATCGCATTACTCAGCAACATTATGCCGGCAACTTTCTGGTTGGTATACTACATCGTTTCTGACTCTACTGTCTTCGCAGACTGCCGGGAGGAAGCCTCCCGGACGTTGAACACGGGCGGAGGTCTGGATGGCGAAGTGGCCTCTTATGCCACAAGGAGCATCGACGCAGATTCCACTAGGAGTCAATGTCCGATCCTGCTCTCCGCCTTCAAGGGGGTCTTCCACTACCACGCTGTCGGAATCTCTTCCCGCGTGCTCCTCAAGGACCACCTGTTGGACGGGCAGTTTCTTCTGAAGAAGGACAATATCCTGCTGATTCCCGGCGTGGTACAGCACCAGGAGCGGTCTGTCTGGGGCGAAGATGTGGATCAGTTCTCCCTCCCTGTCAGGGTTTCGACACTCTGCTGGGTTTCTCTGTCCCTTGCACTTGTAAAACCATTGACTTCCGCGTCTCTCTCCTCTTGTAACACTCAATCACTCTACTAAATTTCTTACAAGAAGTCGAGTTCGCTTCGCTAAAATTAGCATTGCTTTAAAGAGTGCCGGTGACAAGCCTCGTCGCAATAGCATTGATAGTTACTACGAGTCCGTTTTGATAACGCTAAGAGCTCAACAGTGACATCTCTCAGCGCTTTATGAGGTTGAGATGTACAAGTTGACTTGGACAAGGAGATGTGGATCAAATGCTCTCAGCTCATACGTCCATGCAACTTATGGCTTTTTCATATCTTGACCGCGTCTTCACATGAACAAAAACGGAGTTCAATGTGAAGAGACGTGCCGTCTCATGTTACCCACATGTTCTGGACTCAGACAGAGCCCGATATCATTCGAATGATGTGTCTCGAATGCGCTTTCTACTGTGGAACTTTGAGGCAGCTTCCAGTTGGATACTGCGTTGACTCCTGCTCGCCAGTTCTCATTGGCGGGGTTCCGAGGTGTCAAGAGATGTAGCAATGCCCACAAGAAACCGTCCGTGTAGAAGGGAACGTACGATAATCCGCGTATCACATTCCCAGGGAATTGAGAACCCGCGCTCGGGAATACCGGCTCGCCACATCTTCGGCGCCGGTGATCTAAGAGCATCATGTTACTCGGCTGTGGAAAAAAGCTCTCGGGCAGACCGTCGGCGTCTTCTTCGTTGCATCAGTACTGGAGGAGGCGGAGATTCGTCGGCCGCCTTGACAAGGAGCGAGGTGGTCAAGGGCCAGTATGTAACCGGAGATGCACATGTTGCATGTCCATGGGGAGATAGGCGGTCGGGATGAGGCGAGGCATCTAGGGTGTGATGCCGAACAGGGATGAGCCGACATGGCTTGGCTCTGAGGCTCAGCGGAAATCAGGACCGGATCTGTGCCGTGACTGTGGGGTCCAACGAAGTACCTAGGTAGGGTCCTCGTGTGGCTTTTCTGCCGAGGTCACGGCGGCTGCTGGTCGGCTCGCCCGTCGCCGGGGCATTGGACCTGGACCTGGACTTGTGACAGGTAACAGTAGCATTGAAAGCTTAGCTTATTATCGCATGCCTAGCCATTGGGGACCGACAGGAAACGGCGCCGATCCGGACCCAACAAACCTTGTCTGGCATGCGTGACACCTTGCAGCTCTTGGCCGAGGAGGCTGTGCCGCTGCCAGCCATGACGGTCTCGAGGTCTTCCCTGGCTCTTGTTCGGTGTCGTGGTCGTCCCTCTTTTCTCTGCCAAAGCTGCAGACTTATCCAATTGCCCCCCTATGTTCAGTCTGGCATGGCATTGAGTGACTGATCACCGTGATGGTGGCATGACATCTGCTGCTGATCGAGTGAGAGACCCCACTATCACAAGCCAGAAAACGGTTCGAAATGAGACATGGAGAATCCTCAGCCATGCAGCCGTGGCGCGCCATTGCAGCGTGCCGTGGATCGAGGCCTTGCGGAGCCCGGACTGCAGATGGGCCTGTGCCTTGCCGTGCCCAGAGATTGGCGTGGAGCTTGGCTGATGCCGAAATAGGTCAGCCCTCAATCTAGGCCAAACGTCACCAAGGAGTGAGCCGCTCGCTCCCACCGGGCAGACTGACTGATGCGCCCGCCTAGTTGCTACGGAAAGCACCAAGCACCAAGAAGCTAGGCAGGTCCCACGGACCGTTCAGATGAGGGAGCTTCGAGGCTGACCACCCGCGACAGCACACACAGCCACTCCTTTGCCGGCCACGTCGTCATCCTTCTCTCGTGGCTACAACTCCTCGCAGGTAATCATCAAATCGTCGTCGCAACACTCGGCGGATGCCTGTTCGGGACAGCTCGCCCACTTGATGCAGCAGAGACCCACCAGCCCTCGGAGCTCCAGCCGACGTCAACCTCGACCTCGATCACAGCCTCGGACGCGAACACGGGCCCGACCTAACCTCTCGCCCCTGCTACTAATACTCGCCCTTCTCCTCCCGCTCCTCTCCATCGCTGCCTACCAGCTACTCAACACGCGCACCCTCCCACACTTCTGCTTGCCCCTGCCCATCATGCCCTGCAAGCAGAACCTCAACGTCCCCGAGAGCTGGCGCTCCGGCCTGGGGCCCCTCTACCAGATCGAGAAGCCCCCCTTCACCATCGACGCCCCCGGCGCTCCCGAGATCGAAGGCGAGACCAAGCCACGCCGGAACCCCAAGGCAAAGAATGGCCTCATCGACCGGCCCGCCCCCGACGTCGACACCGTCTTTGCCCTCGTCAAGCTCAGCGCAGAGGAGCACGCCGGCGACAGGTGCATGGGGACCCGCAAGCTGATCGAGATACACGAGGAGACCAAGAAGGTGCCCAAGATCGTCGATGGCGAGACCCAGATGGTCGACAAGAAGTGGCAGTACTTCGAGCTGTCAAACTACTCCTTCATAACCTACGGCGAGTACGAGACACACCTGCTCAACCTGGCCTCTGGCCTGCGCCATCTGGGCCTGGAGAGGGGGGACAAGGTGCACATGTTTGCCTCCACGAGCGCGAACTGGCTCGCACTGTCGCACGCCTGCTCGTCGCAGACCTTTACCATCGTCACCGCCTACGATACCCTGGGACATGACGGCGTCTTGCACACCCTGGTGCAGAGCAAGCCGAAGGTCATGTTCACAGACCCTCACCTGCTGAAGACGGCGTCGGGGGCGTTGAAAAAGGCAGAGACGGTCAAGATCATCATATACAACGACAAGTCAATCGCGTTGCCCACGCCCCAGTCTGAGATCGACGCCTTCAAGTCCTCCCACCCCGACCTCACAGTCCTGAGCGCCTCCGAGCTCGCCTCCCTGGGCGAGGCAAACCCGTACCAGCCCCAGCCCCCAACTCCTCAAGATCGATACTGCATAATGTACACATCCGGATCTACCGGCCCACCTAAGGGTGTCTCGGTCACGCATGAGAGCTTCATAGCCGCCGTGGCCGGCTTGGTGGGCGTCATTGGCGACAGTGTCAGCACAGAAGAGGTAATCCTGGCCTACCTGCCCCTGGCCCACATCTTCGAGATGGTCGTCGAGAACCTGGTCCTCTTCTTCGGCGCGACGCTCGGGTACGGTAGCGCGCGGACATTGTCGGACCAGAACGTCCGCAACTGCATGGGCGACATGCGGACGCTTGCCCCGACGATCCTGGTCGGCGTCCCCCAGGTCTGGGAGACAATCAAGAAGGGCGTCATGGGGCGCGTGAATGGTGGGTCGTTCCTGGTGCGCAGCCTGTTCTGGGGCGCGTTCAACGCCAAGTCCTTCCTCGTCCAGAACAACCTGCCGCTGCAGACGATATTCGACCGCCCCATCTTCGGGCAGGTGCGTAAGCTCACCGGTGGCCGGCTGCGATTCATCGTCAACGGCGCGAGCGGCATCTCCAAGGAGACGGCCCACTTCATGTCTATGATCCTCGCGCCCATGCTCACAGGGTACGGAATGACCGAGACAGGCGGTAATGGGGCTCTGGGCTCGCCGCAGCAGTTCCAACTGACCGGCGCCTGCGGGCCTGTCACGCCGGCGATCGAGTGCAAGCTGGTCAGCATCCCGGAGCTCAACTACTCGACGGCAACAACGCCGCCGCAGGGCGAGATCCTGGTGCGCGGCAAGCCCGTGCTCAAGGAGTACTACATGAACCCGGAGGAGACGGCCAAGGCCATCACGCCGGACGGGTGGTTCAAGACGGGCGACATCGGCGAGTTCGACGCCGTCGGCCACCTCAAGATCATCGACCGTGTCAAGAACCTCGTCAAGCTGCAGGGCGGCGAGTACATCGCGCTCGAGAAGCTCGAGGCGACCTACCGCGGCTCGCGCGCCGTGCAGAACCTCATGATCCACGGCGACTCGGACCACCCCCGGCCCATCGCCGTCATCTTCGTCAGCGAGCCCGTCATTAAGGAGATCGCATCCGGGCTCGGCGTCTCGGGCGGCATCCACGAGCTGGTCCGCAACGGCAAGGTCCGCGGCGCAGTGTTCAAGGACCTCGTCGCCCAGGGCAAGGCTGCCGGCCTCACGGGGCTCGAGATGATTAGTGGTGTCGTCCTGACGGATGAGGAATGGACGCCAGAGAGTGTGAGTTCTAACATGCCTTTCCCCACCCACTTTAACGTCTCTGTTCTTTTTAAACTGCCTTCGCGTGGGCTTTCGTTGGTTGCCTTTCCGGATACGGCTTGCCTTTTGTGGAGTAAATCTGTCGCTAATATTCGCTACAGGGCCTCGTGACAGGGACACAAAAGCTCAACCGCAGAACCATACGGGAGAGATACGCGAAGGAGATCAAGGAGGCCTTCAAGTCGTCGTAGACAACCATCTTGTCCTCCAGAAGGCTAGTCGGCTCTCCCACGCACAGCTCGGTGCATGGGCGCGGTGCTCGATCCCACCGGCGAGATTTTCGCCTGCCTTCTCCCCTGACTGGACGGTTTCCGTAGGGGTATTCCGAGTGAGGCCGATTGGCTGGTTGGGTCTTGTTTGAACGCTATTGCTGGTTTACTTGTATGCTACTTGGTTGGTTGTTGGAGCGGCGTTTGGGTTCTATTGGTTGTCTGTCCGCCTGTCTTTTCGACCCAAAACAAAACTTATAAATATGTATACTGTACTGTGTACATGCTCTTTTCTGTATCATCACACACGTGCCGGTAGAGGCACTCACGCAAGGTCTACAAGGAATTGGTTTAGACAATACGGACATTGGCTTGTACTATTATCCCCTTTGGGAATGACTGTGTGTTGTTGGCCCGAAACACCCGAGTGTATCCGACATGCCTTCACATATGTGTGCCTGAAGATGGTCCTAGGGTACGTCTGATTCTTCTCGTGTCCTTGTTGTCCCAAAGCCCGCCCTTCAACCCCTCGCGTCACACCGCCCGGGGCGGCTCATAGCCCCCAGAATGGATCTACACGACGCGCTCACCACGCGCTGAACACGAGAGTTGACTGTTGCCCCTCGCTGCACCCGAGGGAGAGGCCCTCGCCATGACGGAGAAAATGACCCAGTACAGGTGACTTCCCAGGTGCGGCGCGGCGGTGATATCGCCCAGAGGATGGAGACCAGCGTGAATCTTCTGGGCCATGTCTCTGCCGCACCGCAACTTGGAAAAGGGCAGCGGGCGGTGGGACGTAATGGATGAGATGTGAGTCTGGAAGTGAGATGATCGGAGACATAAGGGAGGAAAAAAGAAGAAGAGCAAAGAAAAAGGCCACTGCCAGAGTCGAACTGGCATCTTGCTGCTCGTTACAACGGTGATATGTAATCGTCCAGCCTATTGTCGAATCGAAATTGGTGTATCTTGTCATTAAATCGGGATTGGTGTAGAATGAAAATCGGGAGTGGTGTAGATCAGCCTTCGGGGTACTCACTCGTTTAAAGCAGCCGTGCTGACCGTTACGCCAAGTGGCCTTGGAATTGTAAGGGAATACAATACTTATGAACCTTAACGTACAAGCAGTTTGTTGGTGGGGAGGGGGTGGGAGAGGATAGATACCGACATGTGAGCTGGGGAAGATTGTGTTATAGCGCGCTGCAATCGAGCACATCGCACATCGTGCCATAGCTGTAGCTACGCACAAAAAGTAACAGCCCATTGGACAAGGAATCATATACCGCGGAATAACGTGTCACTCATTTCATTAGCAGCACATCCATGGCGAGGAGGCATAGACGATCCAGTCTGACAATGAGTAAATGCGAGGCAGACCCAATAAAATAACATGCTTGATTATGAGATGAAGATGAAGATGTGAAAGAACTCAGGTATCCAGGGGGTATGCTACTCCAAAACGGTGTCTATACAAGTCCCTATAATACAATATCACGCCTTCTTATCCGCCTGCCTGCCTGTGTGTGTATGCGCGCTCTATACCAACTCAGCGTCCTTGCGCTGGTAGAAGACCATGAACGCCTGCATGGGCGAGCCATACTGCGTACTCTGTCGGTAGAGGAACTGGCTGCCCTTGTCGGTCCTCGCGGGTCCGACCGTGATGTCGCTGATTGATTCGTCGTTGGCGACGTGCCACCTACTGTTGCCGTCCGGACCGTGCGGCTCATCGCGGATCACGCTGATGTAGTGGCCGCTGCTGAGCTCACCGCCGTGCTGCACAACGGCGTAGGCTTCGTACCGGAAGGGCTTGTTGAAGTGGTGGTCGTTCGTCTGTATGGTCGAGGTCGGCGACCTCACGGTGGGGGTGCCCGGGTGCCCATTGGTCAGCAGGGACGAGTACGCCTGCTGACCCTGGATGGTGTATGGCGTCAGGTCCAGCTCCCGTATGGGGAAGTCCACGGTCGTGGTGATCTTGGAGAGCCTCGCGCTCTCGTCGTTCTTCTCGAACCGCGTGAAGCACACGCACAGAAAGTCTGGGAGCCGGGCGAGCTTGGTTCCTTTCCAGCAGTGGCCCTTGCTTGAGCAGTTGTCGCACGTATAATCATCGAGGTGCTCGTTTGAATAGTCTCTTTGCAGCAAGTCCTCCATCATCACTGGTGCTGAGCTTTGAGGCAGGCTCAGAAATTGCATGTCCTTGTTTGAGTACTTCGTCACCACGTGGCCGCAGTGATCGCACCGCACGATGACAACCTCAGTGGTGCGCCAATACTTGTCTACAATCGAGTCACTAACTCGGCTGTGGAGGTCCCAGTACTGAATGGCCAAGTCGGTGAGAGACTTGGTTTTAGAAGGTTCAGGTTGCGGCACTTCCGACGGGCGATTGCGGAATCGATTCGTCTCATCGTCCAGTTCCGCAAACACGTAGCCGAAGAATTCCATAGCGTCCTGTTGCCTGTTGGTGCCCAGAACCTGACTCTCGGGGACTCGCCTGCCTTGGGAATCCCTAGAAGATTTCTGTCGCAAGTAATCCATCAAAACCTTGGCCTGCATCGAAGAAAACTTGCCATTCCCCATCCAGTGGAACACGCTCCCCAGGATTTTCGTCAGCAGCTGCGGAGGCGCGATGGTCTCGTCACTTTTCATGGGCGCCTTGTATAGCTGCGCCCATTCTCCGCTCATCAGTTCCTCCCCAAAGCCACCCGAGGCGAACAAAGCCTGTAGCGTGCTGTTGGCATAGCACCATGATCCTGGATTCTGCAACCCCACAGCTCGCCGCCTATTTGCCGCGTTTGACTTTTTCGTGAGCTTGTTGGGCGTCCGTGATCGTCTTCTGTGTCGCGTAGTCCGGTGTAGCTCCGACGCGGCACGGCGGGCGGCGGGCGGGTCGGCTCAGTCGGGAGAATGGAATCAAAGTCGGGCCGCTGAGGGCTTGAACGAGGCGGGGGAGAGCGTATGGGTTTAGGTGAGAGCCGGCCATTTAAGCTGTTTTCCGTAGTGGGTGACAGCGCAGGGGGCGACGTCATTGATTCCTGTACAGGCGGGAAGCGGGTCATGAAATCGCTCAGTGTCCTTACAGGCTGGAAATCATCGCCGCTCCCGTTCGCTGCCTCATCGTTCCTCAGCTGTGTTAATTTCTCCTCCCAGCGTCGGGCCTCCTCAATGTTCTGGATGGGCTTCGAAGGCGACCTGACCTTGAGCCAGTCGTATGCAGACGGCCGTTTCTTGTGATTTGCCTTGGACGATTTCTGAAGAGCACTGCCGCCCATGGCATCCTGCCACGCTTCCAAGCCCCCCTTTAGCAGCTTAGGGTGTTTCGACCCTGGGTCTCCCTCGGGATAATCGAAGTCTGTCAACAATCTGAAGAGGGTAGCCGGTGCATTCGTGCTCCCTGAACTGAGATGCTCCGAGTCATGGTCATAGAAAACTACCATGTCAAACTCATAACGTCTCTCAAAGTGCCATTTCTCCATAGGCGGCCCAATTTCCATGGCATCCTCGACGTCAGCTGCCTCAATTCGGTCTCTCTGCAAGATGTCCGGTTCAATGCAGATAGTGGCCGAAGAGAGGATGTGGCCCTCCTCAAACTCAGGACGAGAACGAACGTCGATGACCAGAATCCGGAAGTCCTTAGAACCAATCCGTTGATACTTCACAAGTTCTTCAACGGTGATGATATCGCCTTCGGGAAGCGGAGTCCGCCGTTTCTCATTCGCAGGTGCTGACGTCGGCCCTGCTGAAGTATTCGGTCCAAAATAGTCCTGTGTCGGGGGCGATTTCGCTGCGGAGTGAAGCGACGAGTTCTGCCTGCTAAACCCATGTGGGGTGCTAGACGGCAAGTCGGCAGCTTCACTGGAGAGGTTGCTTCGGGCGGGGCTGTATATAGCATCTGGGAGCTTTGGCAATACCGGCTCCACGCCGTCGAGTGATATAGGAGGTTTTTTGGGCATCTCCCTAGGACCTGCGGGCTTGTCGGCGGGGATTGGAACCGGTGGCGGCTGCGTCCGTATGCGCGGATCCTGTACGGGGCCTCGTAAGTTGGCAAACCTCTTGGCCAGGTCCTCGCCCTTTCCGGCTGAGCCTGGCTTCTGTATGGCCTTCCCATGGAGATTGGGCGGTTTCGGCTGCACAGCTGGCGGCTTCATCTTTCCAGGTGAGGCAGTCTTTTTGCTTGGTGAAGTGGTCACCGCTGGAGCTCTCGGGTGGTATTTCGGTGTCTCGGGCCTGCCGTTCTTATGGGCAGTTGTCGTCTGCGTGGCCCTTTGAACCCCAGTTCTGGCATTGTCGTCTTTGATAGTCTGCTTTATACTCTCGTAATTGTCTGCGTAGTCGTGAAGGGTCTTTGTAAGTCGGCTGTAGCGGTCGCCGAGATTCTTGCGGTCTGTCTGAAGTGATGTGTAGTCCCTATGGGTGGGGATGACAGTGACGGCGACGACGTAGGCCTTGATATATTCCATGAGGGCAACATCTATACGGCCGACGTCTGCCTGGAACTTGGCAAACTTAACGCCATTTTCTGCGAGGCCCAGGAGGTGGCTGATGGGTTGGGAGGTGTTGCCCTCGGGAGTCACCTGTAGAAGGTCGTCGATGTGTGGGTAGGGGCCGGGTTGCTTGCGGCCTCCTACATGGCCACTGATGCGGTGAGAAGCAACAGTAGGCCCAGTGTCCGAGGTCATGCTGCGCGAAACATCGGTGGCATAGGTTCGAGAGCTTGGAATAGGACTGGAGGAGGTGCTGTCCGAGAGAGGAAGGCGGGCCGATCGGAGGGGTAACGGTAAGGAGAAGGGAACGGTACCGCCCTGAGGGCCGACGACAGGAAGAGTGGAGTGAGTCGGCTGGCTGGTCGGGTATCAAGAAGCGGATATCGAGGGCAGGCTGCGAGGGTGGAGACAGTCGAACAGCTGGCCGAGGTCGAAGGTCGAGCAAAGTCGAAGCGAGTAGGAGGAGGGGGCTGATGGTAAAGGAGGAAGAGGACAGAGGAACAGCAACGGGCAGAGGATGTGCGATGCTCAGTGGCTGCTAGGACGTCAAAGGCCAGTGTCGAGTCGAAGCGGAAGCGGACGTAGAGGTAGAGTCGAGGCAGGCGGCTGGAATGCGTGGCGTCCTTTGTCGTGGGCGGATGTGGAGGTGGTGTAGGGTGCTGAGGGTAAGTGTGGTGTTGAGCATGACGGACGGTAGGCGTATGACCTCACTGGGCAAAAATGCCAGCGACAATCTGGCAGATGGAGAGTGGTGCCCGAGTCCCTCAAGTCTGTGGTTCACGGCCACGAGGGGAGGTACCTCTAGCGCATTCGGTACCTCTTGGGTGCGTTGTGTGCTCTTGGCGTGTCTGGCTTGACGTATGTTTCTCTGTGTCTGCTATATCTACACTCTCTTGTGCCTGGCTCATGAAAGGCGTCCTGTTCCTGACCTAGGGATATATTCAGACATTAGATTATCAAACGCTGGGCTCTTCAGTCCGCGTCTCATTCTATCCGCTTGTATGATCGGGCCCGTTGCACTTGGTGTCTGGAGAAGTAGTCCGTCTCCAGAAAGTACATGCCACCGTAGCGCTAGGGAAGCTCCAGGGACCATCCTCTTCGGCGGGGCAGAGCCCAAGTCTCGGGCCCCCAGGGCATCTGCACCGTACCCAGGTAGACGATGAACACCTGGAGCAGGCCAGTTAGTCAGCGGGCATTCTTCCGTGGCTGTTAGGCAACCGCAATCAGTGGTTACGTACTCGGGCACCTAAAGCATCTACCCCTGTCACCGACGTAAGCTCGTGCTTCGCTGCAGCGTCCAGTCTACCTCAGCGCCGCGCCTCTTGTCCAGGCAGGCAAGCAAGTCGGCTGCTACCTACCGACGGAGCTTCATAGCCAACGGCTTGCGGCGCTGCAACACATCTCCAGTCAACGACGTATCGCCTCCTGCTCACTTCCAAGTTGCAAACCATCGCCCATCCACCCTCATTCTCTCCACCTTGCGGGCGCAAATCCTCCACCTGGCCTGCGCATCAAATCGCACGATAGCTATCCGACCCTCCTGCGACTCCCTCTATCCGATCCGACGCCTATCCCTTGCTCGCCTCCCACCGCGGACCAACGAACCAGCCATACCGCAACGAAACCACACCGACCTCTACGTCGCAGGCCATCATGATGGGATGGTGGTCCTCATCAGCGTCGTCCGCTCTGGACGAGCAGATCAATAAGGCCACCAGCAGCAGCTTGTATGAACACCGCTCTGGTTCTCCTGTTCTCCGGGTCCCCGGCTCGCGAGCATAGCGGGTGGCAGCTGCTAATGAGATGCCATATTCCACAGGGAGGACATAGCTCTGAATCTCGAGATATCCGACGTCATCAGGTCCAAGACTGTCCCACCAAAAGAAGCCATGCGCTCTCTAAAGAAGCGCATCGGCGACAAGAACCCAAACACCCAGCTGAGCGCCTTGAACGTATGTCCCCCCAGCCAAGCCAAGCTCTCCAGCCCAATACCATATGGCTAGGGCGCTTGCGGTGGTGCCCTGCGATACTGCGATGCTGACTTGCCCTGAAGCTCACAGACACCTGTGTCAAAAATGGCGGCCAACATTTCCTTGCCGAGATCGCCTCGAAAGAGTTTATGGATAACCTCGTTTCGCTCCTCAAAGCCATCGGCCCAGCTTCTGTCAACCATGATGTTCGCACCAAGATTCTCGAGCTGATCCAACACTGGGCCGCTGCGACCGAGGGCCGATACGAGTTGAACTATATTGGCGAGGTGTACAGGACGCTGCAGAGAGAAAGGTTTCAATTTCCACCGAGGGTGTCTGTGTCTAGCAGCATGATTGACAGCAGCGCGGTACGTTCATGACCATTTCGCCTCAATTCATTCCTGCTCGCTGACCCGGTACGAACCAGCCACCCGAATGGGTCGACTCGGATGTCTGTATGCGATGTCGAACAGCCTTCACCTTTACCAACCGAAAGCACCATTGCCGGAACTGTGGGAACGTCTTCGACCAGCAATGCTCGACCAAGACGCTGCCCCTCCCGCACCTTGGAATATTACAACCAGTCAGGGTTGATGACGGATGTTATGCGAAGCTGACAGACAGGTCTGGTGGCAGGGGAGGTGGCTATGGTCCGGAGCAGTCACCGTCAAAGGCTTCATTCAAGCGTCATTCGGTATCTATGCAGCCGCGGAATGCAAGGGTGGATGACGGTTTTGATGAAGACCTGAAAAAGGCACTGGCAATGAGCTTGGAGGAGGTTCAAAGCCACCAGAAGGGCAGAGACTATGTTGCCCCGGCCAGTAACACCCACCACTCCCCTGCGAAGGTGAACGGCGACGCTGCAAGCAAGGCAGCTGAGGAAGAGGACGCTGATTTGAAAGCGGCCATTGCAGCTTCTTTGGCTGACATGGAAGAGCAAAAGAAGCAACACGCCGCTGCTTTGAAAGAGCAAACATCGAGCGCAGGCAATGCACCATCCAGCTCGTTTGCGCTGCCCAAGAACGACTACGAGTTGTCCCCGGTGGAAGCCGAGAACATCAACCTTTTCTCCACTCTTGTCGATCGACTGCAGACCCAGCCTCCAGGGACGATCCTGCGGGAGCCACAGATCCAAGAGCTCTATGATAGTATCGGAACTCTTCGTCCGAAGCTGGCGCGGACCTATGGCGAGACGATGAGCAAGCACGGTGGGTCATGGTACATCCTCGATTTTTTTCTTTGGAGTTGCTGCTGACCTAGGGCCAGACACCCTCCTGGACTTACACGCCAAGCTCCAGACGGCAGTGCGCTACTACGACAGAATGCTGGAGGAGCGACTTTCAAAGGCGTTTAACCACCAAAATCTGGGAGGCTACAACTTGCCTCCACATCGTCAATCATCCGGCCCTTACCCGAACCTCCAGGCCAACGTTCCTACCAACCACGCCGGTCCTGCGGAGAGCTTCTACACAGGCGAACCTCAGCAGGATTATGGTAGAGCAGCTGCCCAGCCGTCATATCCGTATCCTACTCAACCCACTCCCCAACCCCAATATGCCACTTACGATCAACGTGCCTCGTTGTCCGGTCCTCCTCAGCATCAATACCCCCAGCAGCAGCAGCCGCCGCCGCCGCCGCAGCAACAACAGCCTCCACGACAAGACAGTTGGAGGGCATCTGCACCACCAAACCAGTACCCTCCACAGTCAAACTATCCTCCAAGTGAAACTGCTACCCCTCAAATGAGCCACCTTTCGCTTCCTCAGCAGCAACCCAATGCTCCCGAGTCGGTCGGCACAACTCCAACAAGTGACCCGAATGCATCCTTTTACTTCCAACAACCAGGCCAAAACCCGCTTGCGTCGCCCAGTGCTCCGTCTGAAGCGGCACCATCACCGTACCCGAATCTCCAGCAGACAATGCAACAGTACCCCCAGCAGGCCCAGAATGGACCCGAGACGCCAACGCCAACTGCTCACGCGCAGCCAACGCACCAGCAACCTCCTCAGCAACAGGCGCCGCCGGCTCAGCAACACCAGCAGCAGCCACAAGCGCCGTACTGGCAGCATCCGGCTGCCCAGCACGTCCAGATGCCACTACAGTCCTCTGCGCCGTGGCAACAACCTCCTCAACAGCAGCAGCAGCAACCGCAATACGGCGGGTATCAACAGGAGGCTTTCCCCTCGGCTCCCCAGCACGCGATTGCGCCGCCAAAGCCTGTAGTAGAGGAGGCTTTGATTGAGCTCTGATGGGCTTTAGTATGCATGGCGTGGTTTTTGGATGTAGCATTGTCAGATGGTTGTGTTGTGGTTTCATTCCAAGAGTTGTCCCACAGACGGAAGCCCCGCATATATTACCGATGCTCGTCCGAGAATAGCGCGCAGAGGTAATGTTGGGGCGAGGGGATGCTTCGCAGCATTTAGGAAGCTCATGAGAACAAGATAGCAAATGAGACTGGATCACGTCTTGACATAAACCCTGAATCCTGATGTCTCCGGGAAATGACTTTCTATTCCTATAACTTGTGCAAGTAGCAGTGGATCCACCCGTTTTGTCGAGTCTATGCGACGAGATGCTCAGTGAGACGCTTCATCCCATGGCCCTGGATGGTTGGTACAGGGTAAAATGGTTGCCACGTAAAGAGTCACAAGGACCATGGGCCAGCCTCGCAGTACCGCCTGATCAGTGGAAGCATACGATATTCGGTCGACATCGACTCATCTGCGCCATCATCCCAGCAGCGAGTATGTCCGATTAATACTCGAAGCTCTCGTAGACCACCTCCTCACCCTCCAACCATCCCAGAACCGCCTTGATCAATCCAGGTCCCGCGCAGCAATAGAACTTCCTCCCCCGCTCTCCTTCCTGTGCCCCATCACGCCGAAGCACATCATCCCGCGTCAGCCTGCCCACTGTAACCACAGCCCCGAGACCCTCGAGCTTGGAGATATCCTCGGCCGCCGTGGAAGCCTCACCGCTGACGAAGACGCGGGTTCGCGCCGCGAGGCCCTCGCACCGCGCGAACGAGTCGAGCGCCAGCGGCAGGTCGGCCGCGCGGAGGCTCCACAGCAGGGAGAAGTTGGGCTCCCCCGATGGGAAGGAGGCGAGCAGCCCGGGGGCCTGCGCGAGAATGGGCGTGATGCCACGCCGCCCGCGACGAACACGGCCGCCTTCTTCTTCGTCTCCCCGCCGCCGCCCAGGGGCGCGCGGAACTCCTCCGACCCGCCGAAGCCCAGCACGGGAAGCTCCAGGGGCACGCGGGGGTTCTGCCTCCACAGCAGGCCGGTCGCGGGGCCGTGCCTCCTGGCCGTGATCTGGAGCTCTGTGCCGTCGCTTATCGTGTCGTCGTCACTGTCAATCCTGCCAGGCGCGGCGTTGGAGACGGTGAAGGTGCGGACGAAGTCGTCGTTCAGGCTGGCCGGGTCGTCCTCGCGCATGTGGGACCAGCCGATGTCCAGCTCGGGCGCGAAGTCGAGCGTGGCGTGCTGCCCGGGCTTCCACTTGTTGAGTTTTCTCGACGTCTCGAGCCTGAACGTGAACCGGGCGACCGTCGGCGTGATGATGTCCCTGCTCACGAGGGTGGCCGTCGCGGGCGGTTTCGTGTTGGCGTCCCCGGGGAGGGCGAGCCCCGCCTCCTGCTCGGCGGCGAGGCGCCGGACGGGCGGGTTGTAGGGGCTGTAGTCTGGCATGCTGCCGCGAACGGGAGGCCCTTGGCGACGTACTTGGCTGCGGTGACATGGATCTTGACGGCGAGCTTGGTGTGCGGGAGGATCCTCCCCGCGTCGGGTCCCACGAGAATCTCCGTCTCGCCCGTGAGGTAGAGTACGTCGCCCGAGTCGAAGTCAGGGACGCAGATGCCTACCAGGGGCCGGACGTGCATGTTCCCAAGGCTCTGGTATAAGCGGTTGCCCGAGTACTCCGGGTAGACGAGGTCGACACCGTCTCCGGGGCTGTTGTGCATGACGCGCACGAAGCCCGGCGGTCCACCACGGTTGTTCGTGTCCATCGTCCGACTGTCAGCTGAGGCCGTCGTCAGGAAGAACAGGTCCGCCTTGCCCAGCAGCTCGACGGCCTCTGCCGGGAGCGGGAGGCTGTCAGATACCAGCCGCGGCTCAGGCACGGCGGCGCGGATGTCCCGCTTGTTGATGTATTTTGGGCAGTTCCCCAGGCCCTCCTCGACGAGGACCACCATCTCGGCCCTGGCGACCCCATTCTCGTCGCCGCCGAGCGGGCCCGGCTCAATGACTACGCCGCCCTCGACCAGCCTCCCGGCGACCTTGACCCGGTCCCGCGTGGCGAGGTCGATGCTCAGCCCGGACACGACCTTCCCGCCGCCGGACGCGAAGTCGGCCTGGTCCATCTGGTACCTGCTGCTGGGCCCTCCATCCCCCTTCCCTGCGCCGCTGCCGAACAAGGCCGAGATCACCGGGTCGTGCTCCGCGTCCACCAGGCTCCCGGCCATGAGCAGGTCATGCCCTATGGGCCTCGCGAACCCGGGCATCCCGCCCCAGACGGTGGTCCACGGCTTGCCATCGTCGTCCAGGGCGCCCAGTGCCACGAGCGGCGACTGCTGGACGCGGTAGCCGTATCTTGCGGGGAAGCCCGCGGCTGTTGGGTTCTCGGGGGTCGGCACGTGGACCAGCTTGTGCACTGCGAGCTCGCCTGCGTGCCAGGACGGCCGTTGGAGGTGTAGTGTCATGCTGGTGGGGTTGCTTGGTGCCGTGCTCTTTCCTGGCTCTGTGGCTGCCCGTTTGAAGCGTTTCTGGTAGTTTTCACCTACTTGGGGCTGAACGTGTTGGGAATTTCACGACTCTCTCTTCCATTGAATGTGTTGATCGATGTTTGAGGACTGCTCCTTCCTCGTATGCGATCAAATAGGCACAATTTAGATGTCGTTGTCCAAAGAGGGCGCTGCTTTGTCAACTACGTCGAACCTGGTCGAACCCCGTCATCAAACCCTGGCTGCAGTCGACGAGCTCCAGAAACGTATTTCCGCGGGTGCTGAGTCGTCGAGGCCATCGCGACGATGCGAGACGGCTGGGCCTGAAAGGCGTCTCACCCGTGACAAATCAGAAGGGCGCGGGAATGGCAAGGCGGGCTGGGCAATTCTCCGCACGCCACAAAGCCCGTCAATGCTATGACAGTGCGTTCTGTTTAGTTCTCTGCCGCGTCTATGAGTATGTCAGCTCAACTTACGCTACGTGTACCTGCAATCGATTCGATGGACAGATGCATAGCAACGGGAACTGTTGCCAACAGAGCTTTTCTGACGGCCTATCAGGGAAGATGACAAAGACTTGTGGTTTTGACGTTCCAACAAGACATCAAAAGAAGACTACGCCGCACCAATAGCTGCCCGTCCGTTCAGATTACGAGGTGCTGTCGAGGCTTCATAGAGTCCAGGCCCGGTCCGGCCGATGCCGGCTCTCCGATCGGACCCACCACCGAGGCCGACCCGGGCCCCGCGGGCCTAGGTCGGACGCATGTCATGAACACAGTCGGTTCCGCGGCGACATTCTGTGTTGAACCGCCATGTCTAGATCGAGGAAGCCGGGTGGCTTGTCACTGAGACGCACGCCTCTTACCCGCCGACAATCGCTGCATTCGGCAGAGTCAATTGAGCAAAGGTCGACTGTCAACCTCAGGCGGGCGTTCTTTCCGGCCATTCAAGGGCGAGATGATGGAAATAGGCCTGTTGGGACACCATGACTCATCTTGCTACGACGAGTGTTGGACTTTCATTCCCGATCCATCTGCCCTCATAAGACCTGAACGTCCCTTCCCATAATCCTCGGGAAATCAAAGTGCCAAACGCACACAGATCAGACCGACGAAAATCTACGTCACGTCTCGTCACTGAAGACGTGCCTACCGCCACATGCTTCACTCCCACGACCTGAGCAGACAAACAAATCCAGCCCAACATGACCATCACCGTCCACCTCGTCCGCCACGCGCAGGGCTTCCACAACCTCAACGTGCCCAACCAACAGATCCCAGACCCCTACCTGACAGCCACGGGCAAGGAGCAGTGCGCCGCCCTGCGCGCCAGCTTCCCGCACCACGACCGCCTCACGCACCTGGTGGCCTCGCCGATGCGCCGCACCCTCCAGACGTGCGAGCAGTCGTTCCGCCCGGCCGTCGAAGCCGGCCTGAAAGTCGTCGCGCAGCCGCTCGTGCAGGAGGTGTCGACGCTCCCCTGCGACACGGGGTCCGAGCCCGAGGTGCTGGCGGCCGAGTTTGGCGCCTGGGCGGACCTCAGCGGCGTCCCGAAGGGGTGGAACGACAAGACCAGCGCCGGGTCGCCGTGGGCGCCGCGCATCGAGGCGCTCGAGGGTCGGGCCAGAATAGCGCGCGTGTGGCTGCGGGACCTGGGCCGGAAGTGGAAGGCTGAAGGGCGTGGTGATACCGCTGATATTGTTGTCACGACTCACGGCGGGTTCCTGCACTTCCTTACGCAGGACTGGGATGGGCTGGATCTTACGAAAGGTAAGTTCCAGAGTGGCTGGTCGTCGGAATGGCGGTGGTGTTACTGTTACATTTAAGGTTCTCGTTGCTCTGCCGTGCTTTGATTAACATGACTGCACAGGCACCGGATGGGTCAACACCGAGTACAGGAGCTACGAGTTCGACAACCCAGAGGGCGACGATTCAGAGGCTAGGATCCACGAGACCAAGCCCAGCTGGCGGAGGAGGCGCGGCAGCGCCATCGGGCTGACCAGTACCGAGCAGCAGCAGTTGCGGGCCGTCTTTATCGAGGCCTACAGGAAAGAATTCGGTGATGCCAGTGCGGCGGCAGCCGAATAATCGAGACGACGGTTTTCATCCTGTCAAACAGAGGAGACAGAGGCGAAGTCGTCCATCCGCGCGGGTGCTTCGGCAGGGGGCGCTTCATCAAACGTTAACAGCCCGCGCTGCATAAGCGCTCCTGCTTTGTTTGCATCGTGTGGCATGCGTAGAAAACAGACAGAATTACCGGGGGCCAGATAGACGCAGCTTCCAAAAATTGTCAGAAACAGCTAAACTCAGACGGGATGGCCAGGCGCGACGGGGACGCAGGAGCCGCCTTGTGATGTTCACGGGCTGCATCTTCTGTCTCACGGCTGGCGGTTGTTTGCCGATCCGGAGAGTTCTCAGTGCCAGCGGCTCTTGGGGTCGTTTCTACGGCTGTCATAATGCCTTGGCTATGCCTCGGCGGTTCATTTGTGATAGAAAGGGTCTTGTCAATACTGTAACTCACTCGGAATTACATGCACCGAGGTGCGGACTTTGAGAAAAGTATGCTCTGTTGTGGGCAGACTCCGCGTCCGAAATAGTATGCTTCGACGGATGGAACAGATGCCCCTCATGCGCATCAACACGCGACGATATGCAGTGGTACGCAGGAATGCGCAAATTGCAGCAGCCAGCATGGCACGGTTCGCTTTATCGGCAGGTAGATAAGCTTCTGGCGACCGACTCATGAGAAATCGGCAGTCCACATCGTCGGCTGCGTTGAGCTTCGTTGGTATCCAGAGCTTTTGATTGCCCAATTTGCGCTCACGGTAGACAGTAAGGTGGCTCGTAACAGTGTGTTCTCGTCAATTGGAAGTGTTGAGACGTCGTTGGAGTTGTAGCACGTAACGAAGCCTCGATTCCCACAGTGCGAGGGTGCCCCGAGCAACAGGACTCTGATGGTGTCACAGAACCCGCCCCATCCGTTCGCAGCTCGGAAGAATACCTAGCCTGCCCCACCGCGGAGGCGCCAGGGTCGCTTCTCTCTGATTTTCTCTGCGATGGAGCCGCGCGACAAGCTTGGCTTTGACACAAGACTGACATGGCGGAATCGTCGAGTCCCGGGGACTTCTGTGGCATTTGCGAGCGTCGCGCAGAGACACAAGACAAGACCTCCCCTATGCAGGAGCTCCTGCCCAGGTTGATCTGCAGCCAGGCCAACTCGGTACGTTCCGCTCGCAGTGTTGGCCAGCGGCCAAGCGGCCAGGCAGCCCATTGACAGAGCGATTGGAACAGCGCGGGTGAAACGAACCGCCGAACACGTGGACGGGGCGGGTGGATAGAGAGAGGGCCTCTTGAACTGCGGCCTGCATACAGCAGTCTGCTCTCTAGTTGGCTGGCTGGATTGGCTGGCTGGATTGGCTGGGCGGTGCTCTTACTAGGCAAACATTTTTCGCTGATGGATGCGGCCACCTGGCCAAACAGAATGACGAAGTAGACGCCCTTGTCGTTGATCGGTGGATGTTTTGTTTCAATGGTTCAACGGCTCGACGATGGCTGTCGTCCTCATCCGCCCTTTTCTGCCAGTGTCGGCGCTTGATGAGCCTGCGGAGTAATACCGAGCAGCTGGCAGCCCCATGCAGCCCATGGTGTCTCATCCAGATGGCCACAGGCCATGGGGGACGCTGCGAGGCGACTTGAGAGGCTGTCGATCGGAAATAAGGGGGTCCGCCAGGGAGACTGCCAACGATGACTGGCAGCACGGGGAGAAGCCAATCGAGAGTCCCACGGTTCGAAGGGCTCAAGGGATGGTACCGATGGGTTTGGCGCTAAGGACGCATGCAGGATAGCGCATCCTCGAACAGAGGGTTCCTGCGTCAGACAGGGGCCATCTGACAGGCATTGGCCACCTGCGGGATGGTGCCACCAGCGGGCCATGTCCTCAGCCCAGAGGTGTGCGGGTGTACTGCAGATACCTACCTAGGTAGAGTGGCCCTCAACATTGCTGCCCCTCTGATAGCACCGCCACCCGGGAATGCATGGAACAGTAACAGATCAAGCTCCAAGAGGGACCTTCTGTATGTCAGTCTACAACATGCGGGACTGGGGGAACCCCTGCTTAGCCCTGGCGACTCAGGCTCTCTGAACTTTCCCTCAAACACGCTCCCGCCGACGGCGTCTTCATGCCGGGCAGTGCCCATTCAACCTTGCTGTCGCCCATTGACGTTGTGCCTCCCTCCCCTTCTTCGTCCCCTCCCCGCTCTCTGCCACAAACCAAATCACCAGCACTTGGGATGAAAGAGGCGGCCTCCTCCAGCGGCCGGTCGACCGTCCATTAGACCTCCTGGTCGCCCACACTCATTCAGCACACAATATCAACAAATCGTCGCTCATTTCTTGCGCGAGTAACATTATCGATCATCGCAATACGCATTGTCCACTAAATGCCCCATTTCCACTTACAACTGCTCCGAATCTGATACCCAGCCTTGTCCACTACCGGGCAAAGCGAAGACGATCAAACCTGTGGCAGTCTGTCACCACCCGATAAACCCAAAACCCAACACACCGGGACGCGCATCCAACCGCCATCCCGAGAGACTCTCTCCCTCTCTTTCTTGCCGAACTACCCATACTCCCGGCTTCTCACCACCTGCCACCCATCACCGGGCTGGTTCCTTGGTGCCTTCATCCATGCGCTCGCTCTCATCGTCTCCATCCCTTCCGCTCTCTCCCACACGGCTGGCCCAAACGGGTGACGACGCCGGCGACTGACTCCTTGGGATTGCCGAACTTGGATTACGTCGATCAGCCCCAGAATAGCAGCCTTGGCAGTGTCAGTATGAGAGGCCCTCCATAGCATCAATCACTTCCGCTGTCGTGTCGCACATTCGTCTGGTCTCCCGAGCCGGCACTTGGACTGGACTGCCTCCTGTCACCCCTTCCAAGGGACCGAACCAACTCCACTCCTGCAACCTTTCTCTTCTGCCCTACCGGCAGCCGAATGTCTCCCGAGCGTCCAATACACACGAGGACGCCGAGTATTCATTCTTTCACCACCATTCCATTGTCGACAACTTCGCAGGCGAGGGCACGACTTTGGTCCATGACGGCAACGACGAGTTTTCTTTGAGTTTCGGTCCGATCATTTCCACCAGGGGACGCAGCGGCGCTGGGACCACTCTACGACTCTCCGTTTCCTTCAATTCTTTCCGACGGGGTCGACGGTTCGCTTTTTCTTCTAGGGCAGGATCCATTGAACGTTCGTGACGGGGTCACAAACCAAAGACAGCATGGGTTGCATGAGCCATCGCAGACCAAACGTTGAGGTCCGGCCTGAGCAGAAGTGGGACTACATCGTGAGTACTGGCTCGGCGCTATGCCATGTACGGGAACTGTTCGTTGTGACTGACAATTCCTCTTACTGTAGCAACTCAACGACTTCAAATCAGGCAATGCCTTCACGTACTTCGCATACGGCTATCTGTACTTCTCGCTCATCTTGTCGACAGTCGTCTACGCAGTCGACACCTTCACGGCCGTCAACCTACTCGCCTTCAACAAATGGTCCTCCGAAATCCAGCCGGCCGTCTCCTTCGACGTGACGAAATGGATATTTTCCATATGTATCATTCTCTCTTTCATCAATGTCGGGTACGAGCACATCCGAGCTCAACGCATCATGAGGCGGGGTGCCGTTGCTGAGTCGTACCTGGACAACTTGGCTGTCCGTCTGGAAAGCGTCAAGATGGGGAAGGGCAAAGGATGGCGGAGATTCCTCGTCTTTGCAGAGCTGACAAAGAGTAAGAAGGGGGCCGAGTACATCGCCCTCTTCACCTACTTCAGTTTCCAATGTTTGTACCAGGACCCTTACTACCAGCATGTGGAAGTCACTAACACAATTTCAGCCTGGATTCGTGTTATTTTCTGCTCTGGCCCACGCCAAGCCGTTAATGCCCTCACCCTTTACTCGGTGTATACTGCCAAGCTTGCGATTGAAGGGGACAACTTCGAACACAGCTTAGAGAACTTCTTCGACAAGATTAAGACGCTCGCCGAGCAGGACTACCAGCAAGCTTTGATTCTCTCCGGCATGCTTTTCACCCTGGTAATCTGGGCTTTCTCCATGCTGTCGCTCATTCTCGCGGCATTGTTCTTCGTCTTCTTCCTCTGGGGTTGGATTCCACGGGACGATGGCGGCCTCTCGGGGTACTGTGACCGGAAGATTAACAAGAGGTTGATGAAGATCGTCTCAAAGAAGGTTAATGCAGCCATTGAGGACCAGGAGCGGGCACGGAAGAAGGCCGAGCTCAAGGCCGCCAAGAAGGCAGGCGAGCTGCCACCTGAGGAGCGCAAGGCCACTCTGCCCAACCTAATGCCAAAGGGCAGCGACGATGACAAGCTTCCGGGAATGCCAATGATCAGCAGGAACGACACTATGGCCACGCTGCCCTTGTACACTTCCCGACCAGGAACACCAAGCGGCGGACAGCCTGCCTTGCCTGCCTTCGAACTCAATCAGATTCGACCCGTCCCCAGTAGGACGGGCACGACAACGACTGTATCAAGCCGAGCGCCTCTGCTCGCGGCGGGTGCAGAGATGGGACGTGCATCTCCGGCTTTGAGGTCTCCCGTTGGTGGTCCTCCGCCTCTCTCCAGGGTGCAGACCAACCAGTCAAACTTTGGTGGTTCGTACATGCAGACACCGTCATCATACTCGCCAGAGAGCAATTACCCTCCCATGCCGCAGCCAATTCGGTCACCCACATCTACTTCAATAGGTTCCTACGGCATGCCGCCAAGATCAAACATGACACCAGCCCCACGCGGAACATTCGACGACTACAACTCTGGGCGAGCTAGTCCAGCTCCGTTGAGGCAAATGCCCTCCAACTCGTCTTTCAACGACTACAGTGGTCGATCAAGTCCAGCCCCTTCAGCAATCCCGCCACGGATGATGGGTCCTGGGTACGGGCAAGGAGGCTACCCTGGCCCAGGATTACCTGGAGCTTACCCTGCCAGGAGTGCGACCGGTCCCGTGCCTAACCGTGGACCCCCGATTCCACAGCCACAGAGGAACATGACGGCTCCGGTGCAGCCAGGCATCCGGAGACAGGGAACGGGGGAGTTCCGCTCTAATACACCTGCCCAGTCGGACGCAGCAAGCGGGTATTTCAACCCATCTGCTCCCGCAGACGCCCGCGACTACCAACGGCCACCCTCGGACGAATACCAGTACCGGCCCGGCACTGCTCACAGCCAACGGTCCATGAACAGCCAGCCAAGCAGACAGCCGGCCTATAGCAACGGACCACCGCAACACAACAGGCAGCCCACAAACGGCAGCGGTTGGATGCAAGATCTGGAAAGCCAGCGAGGAACGCCTGGACCACGATATTAGGCCTAACCTATCTACGTGCCTACCCGCCCATCCACATAAATTACTTCTTTTTCCCCGCCTCTTAACTTACTTGGCTCAATGCTACCCGACTTCTTTGATACCTTGATACCTTTCTTGACTTTCGCTTCATTCTGTACGAGACATTAGAAATGTTCAAAACCACATTATACCACACTCGTGATGTCGAAGGTGTTTAGCCGGGTTGCGCGAAAAAAGGAGCCCGTCCTGGACGGCGTGTATACAGTACAACATGTTTTTTCTATATGTCACATTTTGGGATTGATGTCTGCGTGGCCAGGAGCAAGGCCCATATTATAGCGAACTTTGCATCAGCATCCCCTGACACGAACTCAGGATGGAATGAATATGAAGATAATTACCACGATCACGAGAACTTCGCGTCCAGTGGCATGCAAGCCTCTTCGCCCGTTGTGCAATGAATTATTAAAATTGAACTTGGATTTCGAGGTTGGGGATTTTTCCGTCCACCTCCCCTGGTCTATCTTTGTGTGTCTAAAGAGATACAAGATGGTTCGGGTCCTCAATGCCCTCTGCCTTCCCAACAGGCACTGCATTGCCCCCTCCCAGTGCCCAATTGTGGTCTGCCCCCAATGCGCCCAAAATAAGAAAATAATTACCAGACATGGCGATGAGATCAACGAATCCATCGCGGCGCTTCCCATAGATTTCATCCCTTTCCCTGGCTTTCCTAATTCATATGCAGATGCCGTAAACACGTTTTCGTCGTTACATGGGTTTCCTTTTCCTCCCGTAGTACATCGTCATTATTTGGCTGTTATATCACCAATTTCTTCTTGCACCGATCGCTGAGAGTGCTAGGGTATCCAAAATGTGTGCGGTGCTGGTGGTTGTTCCGAGATTAACAGCGCCCCCCCCCCCCGATGTCTCAGAGAATCCCGGGTTTGTACGCATGCTTTTTTCCTCAGAAACAACTCGCCCCGGTCCATTGTCCCGCCCTGCCCGCCGCGCCTCGACCAAGGCAGCAGCAGCGGCGCCGCAGGTGCAGAGCACCGGGGACAGGCCTGGGGGGAGGGGGAGGGGGAGGAACCCCCCTGCCCGCTCTTCTGCCACAGTAGGGGGGCTAGGAAGAGCCCACCCGCCGCGGGATTCCCCCGCGATCAGTCGTTTATTATCTCGCTGCTGCTGCTGGTCGACCCCGAGGTGACGGACATTGAGCGGCGGGCGATGGAGACGAGCCTGTAGATGCCGAAGGAGATGAGGGCGAGGACGAAGAAGAGGACGATGATGATGATTGCGATTGTGTCGTTTTCCTTGACCATCTTGGCGGTTTTTCTTCTCTTCTTCCGAGACCCCTTGGGCTAATTGGGTGGTGGTGGTGGTGGTGAGGGGCTAGAACGAGCTCTGGAATGGAAGCGGGGATGGTAGCTGTTCGATGCCCTCCGAGACAAGTAGATCTCTCTTCCGTTCTCTGGGCGGCGAGCACTCAGTGCACTGGAATGCTGGGTCAGAGCTGGCGGCAGACGATGCTGTCTAGGAGCGCAGTTGTTTGTTCGAACGAGGGACTCGTCGCATGCGAGGGTGGAGCCGATGACGAGCGTGCGTAAGTCTCGATAGAGGATACAGCACACAACACAGCACGGTCGGGAGGATATGAGCTGTGGAATGCAAGGCAGAGGGTCAGAATGGATAGTTCGAATATGGAAGAGGAGAAGAATTACCAGCAATACAGGACGACGACAATTTGGTTTTGTGGTGGCCAGACAGACAGGTACCCGACCGGTGCAGCAGCTAGGCCCGGAGCTTGGCTGCTAGGTGGTTGCTGGTTGCTGCTGGCGCTGAGGTGCTCCTAGGCTTGTTGCCCCGCCACCAAATATGCCATGTCAATAAATCGGCGGGCTGGGGGTGGGTCCTGTCCTCTCCTGTGGGAGCCGACCCCAACCACCGCTAAGCCAGATCTGATGGTCTCCTGCAAGGCACGACCAGCCCATTTTGTTGTTTGAAACCAGGCCCTGATGATTCCTTGAAATTGGGATATCTTGTTGCTGACGTCGTTGACCTATTAATCTTGGTGTTGATGCTGACCCTTTTCAATCCGCGGTTATGGTCTTCTCTTTGGGGGTGTTACTCCTAGTAAAAGTACCTGAGTAGGGCGGAATCGCTATGAAGCTTTGATCCCTGCTTTCCCCAGGCCATGGGTCGATCGGCAGGGAGCTAAAAATGTAGGGCTGGCCAGCTCCACCTCGGACGGCGACATTGTTGTCTGAGCACATGGACGGGCACGATTCTATGAGCAACCTCTCCAGCAACAATGATTCAATCCAATGGGAGACGAACATCACTTCTCTGAATTATTTTCGATGCCATTGATCCCAAAATTCACGGTAAATAAATCAGGCCCGTCATGAGGCCGTCCACTTACGCGCCTCAGGCTGTCGTTGCTCGCACAACGCAGACTGGTGATGACACCTTCACGGTAGTCTATCGGTTTTCATATTTTTCATAGGAAGTACACGTCAATTGTCAAGCTTGGGTATTCCATGTTCGATACTACGCACCCTCCGATGCTTTCCGGCCAGGAATCCTTCCTATGGCAGATCGAAACCAGCTCAACATGACGAGAAATGGACATGGAGCATATTCCTTTGCCTGTAAGCTTCTGACATTTTTTTCCATGCCATCCCGACCTCTCCCTACCTCTCGGGCCGGTCAAACATCACGGAGATGGAAGCCCACCGGCATGAATTTGGTGATCACTCAAGTCCACCTTCGGACCGCCGCTCATCCACCACTATTGGTAGGTCTCTCGTACGTACGATAATCATATGGGAAGCAATTATGTATTAGTGTTATTCTATTTAAGTTTTAAGAGGCTACATGCTTTAAAAGGGATAATTAAAGTAGCCTTTTAAGTATAAGGGTTATACTTACTAATACTTGCAATTTTTCTTTTTTTTTAATAAATATATATAATTTTTATTATAATTAATAATTTTTATTATAATTAGCCTTAAAAATTATAATTTATTATATATTAAGTATATATATAATTTTTATTATAAAAAAGCATTATTAAAAAGGCTTAAAATTATAACTTATAAGTTTTAAAGCAAATCTTAGCAACCCTTGCTATTATATTACTCTTTAAACTTATAATCTTTATTATTATATTACTTTTTAAACTTATAACCATTATTATTATATTATTTCTTAAATATTATACTTATTATCTTTAATACTTAGCTTTTAAAGTTATTTCTTTATAAAAATTATTAACTTTTATATAATAGCCTTAATTTTAAATTTCTTCTTTATAAGGAAAGTTAATGCTTATAAAGTTAATGCTAAACCTTTTAATTTATATTTATTTTTATTATATATTTTTATAATATAAATATTATTATTTTTATCCTTATTCTTATTATTAAAATGCATTTAATATTATTTTAAATTAATTTTTTTAGCTACTTTTTATCCTTTTAAAATTAAGCATTATAAGTAGCTTAATTATTTATTATTTTCTTTTCTTATTTTTTATTATTTTTTTTAATTTCCTTAATAATTATTTTTTATTTAAATTATTTAAATAATAATATATATTTCTTAATAAATTTCTTTATATATAAGCCTTATATATACTTATTAATAATTTAATGCAAAAAGTTTTAAAGCTAAGTTAACATAGCAATTTAATTCTTTAATAATTAAATCTTTTTAATTTAATATATATAAAAAATACTTAGGATTAAAATTCTTATTAAGTTATTTATTATAAAAATTATAATAATTTAATATTTAAAATAATAATTACCTTAATAATTCTTATTATTAAAGATATTATATAATCTTATATTAAGAGTTTTAATGCTTTTAATATAAATATATAGCTTTTTAACTATATTATTAAAAAATATTTATTTATTTTAATATTAAAAGTTATTAATAATTTAAATAATAATTATTATAATAATGTTATTTAAGAAAAGTAATTTAACTTAAGCTATAGCTATAACCTTTAGCTTATTAATTTTAATAATTCCTTAAGAGTTTATTTTAATAAATAGCTTATTTTTTTTAATGCTTAATATAAAAATAAAATTAAAGGCAATCTTTATAATCTTTATTAAGATCTTATTAATTTAATTTTAATTATCTTTATTATTAATAATAATTAAATTACTATTAATATTAAGTAAATAAAAGTTATTATTATTAACCTCTTTATTAATATTTATTAAATAAGTAAGTAAATAAGAGTTATTATTATTAACCTCCTTATTAATATTTATTAAATAAGCATTATTAATAATAACCTTATTATAAGAATTAATAAGATTAATAAGCTTATCTTTATTTTTATTATTTAAGGCGATTTTAGCATTTTTTATAATCTTAATAATAATTTTAATTTTTATCTTATTGCTTATTAAAAATATAATTATAATGTTTATTTTATTAATTAAGGTTATAATTATAATATTTATCTTATTAATTAAGGTTATAATTATAATATTTATAGGAAAATCTTAATTTTAATTAAGGGTTGCGGTAAGGCTACCTTTAATATTAATTATATTAATAATAATTATAATAATAATTATATTAAGTATATTTTTAATATAAGTAATAAATATAATATTTATTAAATAATTTTGCTTATTATTATTATCCTTATAAGGCATATTAATAAAAGTATTAAATAATTTTTATAAATTATTATTAATATTTTTTATTATAAAAAAAAAAGATTTTATAAGAATTTAATAATTAAAATAAATATTTATAATATAAAACTTTATAATTATTATATAATAATTATTAATTTATTCTTTAATTATAAGAAAAGTTAATAAGTTATAATTAAATTTAATAAAAGTTAATTTTAATATAATTATTAATAAATAATAATAAAAGGCAATAATAATAATAAGATTAACTTTAAAATAATAATTATTAATAATATTAATAATTATAAGGTTATTCTTATATATAATAAGATATTAAAAAGGTTTTAATTAAAGTATAAAAGGTTAAAGTTTATATTAAGAATTTAAATTTAAGAGGTATAAGGTTTTATAGCTAGCAGTAATAAGGTTAAAAGGAAAAGGTATTAATAATAAGTTACTCCTTTTTTAATAAAAAGGGGCTACTTTAAGTCTTTTAATTAATTTATTTATTTATATATAAAGCTTATTATTATTAATAAGCTTTTATAATGTAATATTTAAAATTAATTTTATTATTATATTAATAAAATTATCTTTTTTATTTATTTACTTTATTTTAATAATCTTTCTTATCTTATATAATTTTTATAATAATATAATATTAATTATAAGGCGCTTTTCCTTTATTATTTTTAGCTTTATAAGGTATTTATATAAATTATATAAGTTTATATAAATAATTAAAGGTATATTTAATAATAAAAGTTATTTTATAGCTATCTTAATTATTATAATTAAAAAGATTTTAATATTTACTTTATTTATTATATTATAAATTTTGCTTATTAATATACTTTAAGTAATATATTTATACTTTATTAATAATTAATAAAGAATATTACTTATTATTATAAATTTTTTAGTTTTCTTATAAGTCTTATTTATAAAAATAATAATATATCTAAGTTAAAATATTAAATCTTAATTATTTATAAATAATTTATTTATAAATATAAAAAGTTTTGCTATTTTAAAATTAAGGGGTATATATTTAATTTTTTATATAGCATTATTTATTTACTATAATAATTATATATTTAAGCTCTTATAATTTCCTGCTTTTAAGTTTTATACTTATATAATTATTAAAAGATTATATAAAGCTTTTAATTAATAAGTTAAAGCTATATATACTTTGTAAGCTTTTTATTTAAGGTATTTTTAAAAAGCATCTTTAATTATTGCATTAATAAAGGTAAATTTATTAGCTTATCCCTTTTATTAAATAATAATTAAATTAATAATATTTATAATTATATAAGCCTTATTATAATTTATTAAGTTTTTAAGCATTAGCTTTTATTTTAATTTTCCTTATAATTTCATAGCTTTTATCTTAATTTTCTTTTTATTTTAGAATTTTAATATAAATAAAATTAATATATTATTTATTTATATACTTATTATTTTAAAGAATTATATAAGCTTTATAATTATTAAGCAAGAATTATATATAAAGCAATTTATTTTAAGCTTTTATTAATAATATCTTTAATATATATTAAACTAATAAATGCTAAATTTTACTATGCTATATAAAGATTAAATAATATAAATAATTATGCTTAAAAAGTATTTATTCTTTAATTTCTTTAATAATTTTATAAGGATTATTTTATATAATTTTAACTTTACTTAAGGATAAGCTTAAGTAATATCTTAAAGTATAAAAACTATGCCTTTTTCTTAAATTAATAAAAAGGTAAATATAAAGATTATTTATTAACTTATTCTTTAAATAATTAAGCTTTATATTAAAATTAATCCCTTTTTATTATTATTATAACCTTAAATAATAAATTAAGATTTCTTATAAAGTTTTATAATTTTACCTTTTACTTTTTATATTATATAAAACTTAAAGAAATAATATTTATTATATTATTTTGCTAATTAATTCTTAATTTAAAAAATACCTTTAGCAATAAGGTTATTAATTTCCATTTTATTAAACTCTTTAAATAATAAGCTTAATATTATAATAATTTTATTTTATCTTAATTTAATTATTAAATTATAATTTTTATTTTCTTTTTTTAAAATATATAATATAATAATATAATCTTTTATTTTTAATAATAATAATTATATAATAAGTTATATTTAAGGTTTTATAATTAGGTTTTTTACTTATAAAGGTTGCATTTCCTTATTATTATTTTAATAATATAATTAAATAACTATTAACTTAAATATTATAGCTTTATTTAATATATTTAAGGTTATATTATAGCTATTTATAGTAATAACCTTATATAAATCCTTTCATCCCTTTTTCTTTCTTTATATATAAACTTTATATTATAGTAAATATTTTATATTAAAAATAGGTTTAACCTTAATATTTAATGCATTTTATACTTACCATTTAATTATAGTTTTTTATAATATCTTTATAGCCTTTAAAATAGCTTTTACTTACTTTTATATTAATAATAATAATAATAACTTATATAATATTTATAAGTAAGCATTAAAAACTAAAAGCATAAGAATTAATTTATTTAATTTAGCAATATTATTAATAGCTTTTATAACTATTTATAAAATAATATTATTATTTATATTATTATATAGTTTAATATATAAGATTTTATATGCTTATTTAAGGGCTTAATAATATTTTTTAACTTTCTTAATAAATTAATATATCTTTATGGGGATTTATTTATATTTAATTTCTATTATTTATACCTTTAAATAAAATTCTAAAAATATAAAGTTTATTTTCGCATTATATTTAATAATATTTAATAATTCCTAATATATATTAATTTAAAGCATTTATAATATTTACTATATAATTTTTATAAATATAAATTTTAAAAATTTTACTCTTTAAAAAGCTATAGCTTAGTTTATAATATAAAGAATTAAGCATTTACTTAAATATATTATATTAATTAAGATTTTATAATTAAATTTATAATTATTATATAATATAAACTTAAAACGCTTAAGCGCAAGTTTATTTATTTAATAATAATAATATATCTTCTTAATCTTTGCCATTACTTATTTATTAACATTTAAATTACTAGCTTTTTTAAGCATTTAACATAATTAATTTATTAATAAGTATTTAAAGCAATAATAAAGTCTCCTTATTTCTATCTTTAAAAGGAAATATATAGCATTAATAATTTAATTTAGGAAAAATTATAAATAACTTTATTTTTTAAGTATTAATATAATAATTATATTATTAAAAAAACCATTTTATTTATAATATTATTATAATATATTTAAAGCTTATTTATATTTATTAAATAAAGTAGGAATGGGATTTATACTTAAATAATATAAAAGTTAATATAATTAATTAAGATAAAAACTTTTATTATGTTAAGTAAATTAATAATTATTTTATTATTAAATTTAACTTTAGCTTTTCCTATAACGGTTATATTAATTTAATACTTTAAGTTTTTTTATTATAATATAAGAAATTGCTTATATTTAGCTATAAATATTAATAATGCTCTTATATTTAATAAAATTCCTTAAAAATAAGTTTAATTATATTTATTCTTTAAAATAAATTAGCTAATTATAATAATTATCTTTATTTAAAAAATATTATTTCCAATAATTTAATGCATAAATGCTTTATTAGCTAAGAAATTAATATTTATATAATAAATCTTCTTATTAAATCCTATCTTTATAATATAAGCATTATTATTATAATTATTATCTTAATCTTATTTATCTTTATATTTATAAAATTCATCTTTATTATTTATCTTATATCTTTTAAACTTACTTAAAAAAATATTAAAGTTATTATTATAACCTTTATATTTATATTATATTAAATAGCTTTTTTTTATTAAATATTACTTATTAGCTAAATATTTAATTAATTAATATTTCTTTTTTTTATAAATATAATATCTTTTCTTTTAAGGTTATCTTTCTTTTTTTTATAAGCATTATTACTTTAAGCTTTATAATTAATATTATAAGATCTTAACTACTTAAAGCTTAAATAGCTTAAGTTTAATTAACTAAACCTTTAATTTCCTTAAAATGCTTAAAATTATAATTATTATCCTTCCCTTAGCTTTTAGCTATTATATTTATAATTAATATAATATTAATTTAAAACTTTATTTATAATATAAATTATAATTATATAGCTAAGCTATATTTTTATTATAAATTTTAAGTTTAAAAATAATTCTTTATATAATTAAGTTAACTTAAAAAAAGCTATTTTTAACTTAAAAACTCCTTTATAAGCTTTAATTACCATTATTCTTAAGTTATTCTTTTTAATATAATCTTAGCTTAATGCCTATTAATAAAGTTATAACTTATTAAATATTAAATATAAAACTTTATATAAATCTTTATTTAAGTTTTATGCTTTTATCTTTATAAATATTATTATTATTTAATTTATATAATAATGTTAATAATTAAGATTTATATTAAAATGCATCTTAATTTTAAGATATATTATTATAAATATATTAATTTAATTTATAAAATAAAGGTAATAAGCCTTAGCTTAATCTTTAAGCATTTAAGGAAAAATTATATAAAATTAACTTAGTTAAATTTTAACATAATAATAAATATTAAAAACTATTTTTATTTTATTATTTAGCAAATTATATAAATCCTTAATATATTTATAAGAATTATTAAAAATTTTTATAAATTATGCTAACTTTGCTAAATTTAAGTATTTATTAAAAATATATTATAAGGAAAGAATTTTATATAAATTATACTTTTTATTTAATAAAAACATTTTTAAAGCAGCTTAAAATTATGCTAAGTATAATATATATTTTTAATATAAGCTTTATTTCTATCTTTTTATTAATAATAATAAGCCTTATTAGCTATATTTATTTTTAATAAATTATATTATTAAATTTAAATTTTATAATTATATGCTTAAAGTTAATAGTAATAATAAAAGTTATCTTAAGGATTATTTTCTTAATAATTATTATTATTTAAAGCCTATTTATAATACTTATAAGGGCTATGCTTATAATTATTATTTTTAAAGTTATATATAATATTTATTTATACTTAATTTTAAGGCTAATAAAGTATTGCAAAGCTTATTATTAATTTATTTTAATCTTTCCTTAACTTAAGCTATGGTAATTAATTATAATATTATAAATTAATTATTATATCTTATATAAATGCCTTATATTTAAAGAAAGACTTTTAAGCATTATTAATAAAAATTTAATAATGCTTTAAATATTACTTATATTTATATTGCATAATTCTTATAATAAGTAATAAAAAGGTTATTATTATAAAGGTTTTATTATATATAGCTTGCTAAAGTATTTATTAAATAAGTAACTAAGTATTTTATTAATGCTTTTTATATAAGGGCTGTAAATTATAATTTTAAGTTAATATATTTATAATAAGCTAAGTTAATTAAAGTTTAAGCAAGCATTTTATTAACTATATACCCTTTAATAAAAACTAATAGCTTTTTAATATTATTAATTATACTTATAAGTTTTTATAATAAATATTATAAAAAGTAAAATTAATAAAATAAAGAAATATTAATAAAATAAATATTATTTAAAAATAAATTAATAATAATAATTTAATAATAAATAAGTTATAATTATTAAAAGAAAAAAGTTATTAATTTCTTTAAGCCTTAAAAGCTAAGGCTTTCTCTTATTATTAAATCCTTTTATATTAATTAAAAGTATAATGCATAACTTATACTTACTTATAATATAGCGTTATATTAACTTTAGCAATTATAATAATTATAAGCTTTATTTATTTAGCAATTATAATAATTATAAGCTTTATTTATTAATAAAACGAAGCTTTATTAAGTTTTACTAAGTTTTAAAGAAAATTTAAAAATAAGTTCGTTTTTAATAAAGTTTTATATATAATAAATATATATTTTCTAAATAGTAATAAATATATATATAAATATCACAGGAAATGCTACTTAATTTATTTAATCTTTATAATATTTGCTTAGGGAGTTTAATAATACAAAGAAGCCTAAAAAAGCAATTATTGCTATATAGTGCTTGCTAATAAGGAAAATATAATTTTTAAGTTAGGGAAATCCTTATAAGGTTACCTTTTCTACCTTATTAATCTATAGTATTTATAACTATTAATTAGTATTAATAAGTTTCTTATATATACAATAATTATATAGAAAGCAATTATATATTAATATTGTTCTATCTAAGTTCTAAGAGGCTATATGCCCCGGAGGGGATAACTAAAGTAGCCTTCCAAGTGCGAGGGTCGTACTTGCCAACAACCACAGCCCCGCACGCAGATCCTAGCGGTCCAGGGCAGTCGCCCGCGAGTTCAACTAATTGTATCTTCCATCGCGCAGCCTGGTAGCAACCGGTGACCGCGTCTGGTGTCTCTGCGTTGTATAAGCGACGGAAAAAGTGCGGGCGGGGCGCGAGGAAGTTTGTACAGTGCCTGGGTAATACTCGACTTGTCTTGAACAAGGCGAAGAACAGTGCCGCTGATGTCCCGGTGGGCAATAGGGGCAGGTTTGTCTTGTTGCCTTCTACGGTCGATTTCTGAAAGCAGGTACCTAGGTATCTATCTAAGCAGACGCGTATCTACAGCCAGCTATTCTGAGGCAGAGGTCTTTTACAGCCACAACCCACTAACACGAGCCCAATCTGGTGTCGGCTGTTTGTGTCTTGTACTAGCATAGTCTTAGAATGAATGACCCAAGATCCATTTGTCGTCCCCTACTGTCCTATCAACATGTGACAGGCGGAGGCGCTTGCACGACGGCTTAATGGCAACATCATTCATGCTTTGCAAAGTCCGAGGCATTCCAAGCCCTAGACTTCACCAACAGTTGAGACCAAGGTTGCTAAGTAGAATTATGGAGGTTCAGTAAAAATAGCTCAGTTGACAGTGTTGCCAAAGAGATAGTAGGAACAAAGGGTCTAAACGTGGCGATACCACACAGTATCCTGAACCGAACGCCCCAAGCGTCCATGAGACGGAAAATACAGCATAGCCTGATTTCACATGTCCAGGCTCATCTGGAACCGTGATTGAAAAGTGAGTTGCATTTATGGCTCCCTCGAAATATCACACCGCCTCATCAACAATCTCCAGATTGCCCACCTTGAAGGTCTGGCCCTTGCGGTCCCCATAGTCAGTGCTGTTGTGGTAGTCCTTGACCCTCGTCCGCACATACTCCAGGCCCTTGACCGGCGCAGCATCCTCGGAATTCTCACTGACCAGCCCCAGCCTCTTGAGCAGCGGCGACGGCGCCGGCTTGATGTCGACGTCGTTGCCCGGCCGCACAAAGTAGAACAGCCCCAGCCTCTTCCCGCCGACCTGGTCGGGCGGCGGCCGCGTGACCCTGTGCGTCGTGGACCGCAGGTACGACGCGGACCAGAAGTCGAGCGTGTCCCCGACGTTGCAAACGATGCCGCCGTCGACGGGCGGCACGTACCGCCACTCCCCCGACGCGGTCCGGATCTGCAGGCCCGCGACGTCCTGGCTCCACAGCAGCGTCAGCGACCCGAAGTCGTGCGCGCGCGCCCACGTGTTGTCCACTTTCGCGTCGTCCGCCTCGGGCCGCGGGTGGTAGCACATGTAGCGCAGGTGGTCGTCGGACGGGTCGTCGTAGCGGTGCGCGTCGGCGAAGAAGCCCTCGGGCAGCTCGAGGATGAGCGCGAACAGGCGCAGGATGCGGTCCGCGACGCCCAGCGCCTTGCGGCTGAAGGCCTCGACCTCCGGGGCGTAGGCGTCGAAGAAGGGGTGCCGCGGCTCGGCGGCGTTGGAGGGCGTGAACTTGGCGTGGTTGTAGGACTCGACGTTGTCGCGGACCTCGGTGCCGCGGACGGTGCGCTCGTGGAGCTCGCGGTAGCCGAAATAATTACCGCTCGCGAAGTCGCACTTGTACTTCGGCTGGGCCTTTTCCTCGTGCGGGAGGGCGAAGAAGGCCTGCCCGATGTCGTACTGCCGCTGGATCTCCTCTTCTGTGAGGCCGGTCCCCGTCACGCTGAAGAAGCCCGTGTTGTGCCCTGGTGGTCTGTCAGCTGGCTGGTCGCTTGTGATGCGGTTAAAAACATGTGTTATGATATCATGTACGCACCGCATCTCGCAGCTCTTCGGCAAGCTTCTCCTTGCCGCCGGGTTCGTCAAAGGTTGAGAGGTTTAGGACCTTTATATCGGCCCAAGGGAGGTCATGCGACGTCTTGGCTGGCCGCTTCCACTTGGGTAAGGGCAAAGCTTCGGAAGGGCTCAATGCGGAGGGCATTCTGATGAGATGATGTTGTTTATGAGTGTGAAATAGTCGTAGTGTTATTGTGGGCGGAGTTCTGACGACAATTAGGAGGGGAGTGAATCTTTTAGCTGTGACGTCTCAATATCTCATTCAGCGACCCCGACATTGAAAGTATACCTGTCGAACACATGCGAACCCTAATAAAGGTTAGTGCAGAAGCATGTACATATTTCTCCAACTTCGATAATCACACCGATTCTCGCTGAGGAGCTCAGGGTCCTTTGGTTGAGAGGTAGTCCTGATGAGCACGCCATTTGAGCTAAGATGGTGAGGAGAACATATGGGGAATACCATTAGCAGAGCTCCTGCAGCTTGATGTTGACCTGTTGTATTCTGCCTCTTGCTTAGCGATGGCGACAGCCGGAAATAATATCGGCAGGCTGTTCGGCGACATCGGGAGTCTCACATGAAGAAATTGGCAGATTGGATCACAGCATGCATGTATTGATACTCTCTGTGGGTGCTCGATAATTGAGTGGCATAAAAGCTGCAGGAGGTGACTCGCATTGGCTGTGTATGCGCCAGACAAACGCAGAGTAGATTGTCCCTCGAGAATTTATAACTTGAGATTAAAGTTAGTTCTCTCTGCTGAGAGCGTGGTACTCCTGTGGTAGTAGGACCAGACTTGATAGTCGAAGGTCGCAGAACTTGCCGCAAACAGTCCCGGATATCGCAACCACACTGAACTCCCCACAGCACGTCATTGTGTGGGATGAGTGGTATTCATCAGATCTCATAGTCGGGAGAGATATGATAATGCAAATGCAAGGGTGGAAGACAGAATATGTGAGATTTCCGCTCGTCATACACAAGAGTGCTTGTCCAGCTCTCTCCTAAACACACAGGTACAGTCCGTTCGACAACGCCGCGAGCACGACGTCGACATTGAAACTTTCAGGATGCCATCAAAGATATTCTCAGAAGGCATCACATCGCCCGTCGCCCATTCGCCATCAAACTCAAGCACCACGGACCCCGAGCAAGATGACCACCCCACCCACGCAGCAGACCTCAAATCGGCCCACCGCAAGGTCGACCGCCGGCTGGTCCTGTGGTACTCCTTCGTGTACCTGATCATGCGGATCCACGTGTCCAACATCAGCAACACGGCCATCATCAACCTGGAGGAGGGCGACGACATCAAGGCGCAGCTGGGGAACCTGACGTCGCAACAGTGGGCGTGGGTGCTCAGCATCTTCTACTACCCGTACATGCTGCTGGAGCCGTTTGCGACGCTGGCGCTCAAGCGCTTCACGCCGCGGCTGTGGATGTCCCGTATAATGGTCACCTGGGGCATCGTCAGTATGTGTCAGGGTGCGACGGTCAACTATGCGGGGATCATGGCGTGTCGGTTCTTCCTTGGGGCTGCTGAGGCTGGGTTCTATCCTGGTGTATTGTGAGAATGAAATTCCACATAGATGGGCTGCCAGATGTGTAGGAGTGCTGATTTTATGAGTTAGATATCACCTTAGCTTCTGGTTTCCAACTCAGAGGCTGTCATTTCGAATTGTGCGTATACACCGCTTTTGGAGTATGTACACGAGTGCTGATATACATCCAGGCTTTCTTCTATGCGTGTGGCATGTTCTCGGGAACAATCAGCGGGCTGCTAGGTGAGTTACCCGAGAACACCCTGGGAGATGCGAATGTAGTTGACACATAACTAAGCCTATGCGATTTCTTTCATGAACGGTGCTGGTGGACTTGCTGGCTGGAGATGGGTATGATCTGCACACACGCTTTGCTCTGTTTACCTGATCGTACGAACTGACGTTGCATCAGGTCTTCATCTTGGAAGGACTGCCAGCGATATTCTGCGGCTTTTACACATTCTTCTTCCTGCCAGATTGTGAGTTGCTCATAACTTTTGCTCACACTAGCTGTATCCCTCTTTGCCAATTCCCCTTCGTTGTCTGGCAACTGCGCCCCAAATGCTGTGAGGCAAAGACTTTGACTTTCTGACGGTAACATTCGAAGACCCGGAGACAGCTGCTTTCCTGTCAGAGCCAGAGAAGGAGGCTATCGTTGCGGACCTGCCCTCCCGAGCACCGTCCATGGAATCCAAGACATTTGACCTCGACCAGATCAAGGCAATGTTCAAGAGCCCGACGTTTGTCCCGTTTCTGATAATCTGGATTGCACACGGGATAGGAGGCTTCGGAATTACCTTTGTACTGCCCACGGTGATCTACGAGCTAGGCATCTCAGACACAGCGATATCACAGCTTATGACCATGGTAAGCACGACGGGTCGCACAGGCTTAGTGTCACCTCCATATACTGACTTGGCGCCACGTAGCCAGCATATGCCGCCGTCTTCCTCATACTGCTCACCCTGGGGTACCTCACCCACACGAAGCGTCTCAGCCCATGGGTGGCCGGGATCGGGCTCGAGGTCGCCCAGATCATCTTCTACATCCTTCTCATCACAATCAACAACGCAACTGCAAAGTATATCTTTGTGGTGATAGCCACGGCCGCCACCCAGAGTTTCTTTCCGATCATCTGGCCAGGTGAGTTTCGTGTGACACGGACCTCGTCCCGGTCCTTCCCCCAGGACCTAGACCTTGGTGCATGGACTTGCTGACACCGTGCCCTCGCGAACAGAACGCATCAGAGCGACGAGTGGGACGACGAGTGCAGGGTTGGCCATTGGTATTACCAATGTGAGTGAGCGAACAAGGCTGGAGCCTGATGCTGAGGAAATTCTGACTGACTCGACGGTTGCCTTGTAGGGTGTAACACAGCTGATGGGCATCGTGGTGAGTGAAATCCCCCTTTCGCCGTGCCACGGACAGGTGCATTTGTAGCTGACTGCATATCGTGCTAGGGACCACAAGTCTATCAACCCAAGTTCGGACCGTCCTATAGGGTCAGTTACAGTACGAGTGTCGGTCTGCTGACAGTGACGGTGGCCACGATCGGCCTCACTTGGTTCCTGGTGCACAGGCAGGACAAGAGACCGGAAGCGGCGGCCCTCATTGAGGGTGAGGGCGTGGGTCTTGCGGGCGAGAAGAGCTAAGCCAAGCAGCAGGGTTGTTGATCGCCATGTCTTTGATCCGCAATGGCTGTTCCATGTGTACATGCCGAGAGCGGGAGTGTGGAGCGAAGGTGGCATTGCTTGTCTGTCTTGAAGGCCGGTTTTCCGAGTACCACAGTGAGACTGCCTCGTGGTCACGTCGTCTTTGAGGAGGCTGAGTATTATTGATTGTACCACGGTATTCAGCACCGGAGGCCATTGTTTCCTAATTCCCTTTGGTGGCGATAAGCTGCAGCTCCCTCCCAAGGCCACGTCCACAGGTCGATGGATTGTAAGACTGGGGCCTCGGGGGCCTTAGGACCCTTGGTGTCACAGCTTCAAAGGTCAGGGATGACAGCTCCATGCTGGTCACGGGAGCGCCAATCGGTTCCGGAGACCCTGCTCCAGCTCTTAGCAATGCACATGTCGTAATGCAATGCAATGCAATCGGCTATTAAGCTTTCTGGTCGAGCGTTTGTGTTCGGCGGCGTGGGAGTGGCAGCTGGGCGTCGTCGTCCCAAGACAAACTGCGGTCGCTTGACGGGTCTGAGCACCTGTACTGAACTGTAACGACGTCAGATCCGATTGACTGGGTCTGACGTTGCCGGCCAGGCAAATGCTCTGTCCTTTCTTCCCAAGTTTCGACTTGCTGACAGGCAATGCACCTTTCTGCTAGATGGTGCAGTGAAGCTGAGCAGGCGGGAAGGATGTGGGCCCCAGCCTGGGAGGGAACGGTTGAAACATGTAGGAGGCAAACAACCATGTGCTGTGCATTGTGGGGTCTGCTTTCCCTTCTCCTCTGTCTCGGTCAGCTGCTTGCGCTCCGACTGAAGCGACAAACGTGGGTAAGGAAAGTGGGATCAAAACGGACTGCCCAGGCCCCTTCCAAGTGCGGTCGGCCCCCGCCAGAGGAGGTCCAGACTCAAAACTTCGGAGTGGCGCCGGCCCAGGTCAGGTCAGGTCAGGCAAGGTCGAGCGCAGACGGGCCCCAGGAAGTTGCCAGGAATTTAGGGTGGCAGAGTAGTGGTAGACCGACCGAAACGGCTTTGAAATCGCGTGCCGTGGAAGATCCCGTTTCTCTTCTTTTTGCACCGACCATCGGCGGAAGCTGGCACCCATCCAACGCACAGCCCACCTTCTTTCTTGGTCGCTATTCCCTCCCATCTTTGACCATTTGAGAAGACCGTTTTGTATAATTAGTTGGAAAGGACTTCTCTCACTCTTTCCTCTCTCAAGACAGTTGATAACCACACAGCTGCCATCACCATCACAGGCTGTGATTCGTCATCGCGCTACCGCAGCCCCGTTGCCCGACCACAGAGGGGTAACGACTCGACGCTGACTCTTTTGCTGCGGCCCACGGCTCAATCGGCGTCCCGGCCACCCTGACTGAAGTGGGCATTTCCATTCCAGGCAACATCAGCTAGATCTGATCGGATCTGATTTGATCTGGTCTCGTCGCAACCAGCTTCCCAACAAGACACACCTCGGCTGTTGCTTTGCTTCTGTCTCGACTGCGGCTTTCGGCATCGCAGTGCAACCAGGGCCCCCGCGCACCCGCCGCCTACATAACCTTGCCTTCCCTGTCGCAATCGCCGTCACAGGCAATCCCATCCACATCCCCGAGACTCGCCCTTGCAGCCAGCAGCCCTTGGGACCCCTCCTTCCCATTCAACCGTTGCGACCGACCGAGAGTCATTACTCATACACCAAACCGACGTCCAACATTCACCATTCGTACGAAGTCCCTCTTCGACTCCCACCACCAAACCCTCACCACAAGCATGACGGCCGAATCTTCCCAACAACAGCAGCTGGCCGACCCTTCCATCGACAGGATGGATCACGATCTTGACCAGGACGCCCAAGAGGCAACCACCTCGCTGCCAAACATCATCCCAGACTCGCAATTGTCGCCAGACACCTATCGATTTCCCTCGGAGCGACTGCTGCGAAGGCAAAGGCATGAGGGCAAGACACCTCTGGTTTTGGTAGCTTGCGGTTCCTTCAGGTCCGTTATCCCTCTCCTGCTGTCACTGCCGTCCGCAATGACGCAAAGCAAGCAACTTTACTGACAAATGCCGCCATCTCCACAGCCCCATAACCTATCTCCACCTGCGCATGTTCGAGATGGCCTCCGACTACGCTCGCTTCAACACCAAGTATGAAATTGTCGGTGGCTTCCTGTCTCCAGTCTCCGACGCCTACAAGAAGCCCGGCCTGGCGCCCGCCAAACACCGAATTCAAATGTGCTCCTACGCCGCAGAGAAGACCTCCGAGTGGCTGACCTGCGACCCTTGGGAGGCCATTCAATCCCACTACTTCCCCACTGCCCAGGTCCTCGACCACTTCGACCACGAAATCAACCAGGTCATTGGCGGCTGCGAGGATGTCCACGGCAACAAGCGGCCCGTGCGCATTGCCCTACTCGCCGGAGCGGACCTGATCCAGACCATGAGCACCCCAGGTGTCTGGTCCCCCACGGATTTGGATCACATCCTGAGAAAATTCGGCGCCTTCATCATCGAGAGAACCGGCACCGACATCGATGAGGCCTTGGCCGGCCTGAAGGACTATCAGGACAACATCCATGTCATCCCCCAAGTGATCACTGTATGTCTTGCCCACTGCCCACTTCTGAAGTGCTATTACTGACGTGCTTGTTGCACAGAACGATGTTTCTAGCACCAAGGTTCGGCTGATGCGGAAAAGGGATCTGTCTCTCCGATATGTTGTGCCGGACTCGGTCATCGAATACATAGACCACCATGGCCTCTACCGGGAGTAGTTTTCATGCCTCGGATCATGTAAAGTTTTCTCTCAAGCGACTTGTACGGATATCTTTTCGACCAGGAGCCTTAGAAGGCCCTAGCGAACGGCATGAGCACAGAAGGAACGCGAGTCCTACGCTCCAGTGCCACAACACATATCGGAACATCGGCATCCCTCGGCTTTTCATGAGCTTTATGGGCCCCCCGATGCCGTGTACATTACCGACGGTCGGTGATTGTGAATTTAAAGCCCGTGCTCGGGCTGAATTCTGTCTTCGGTCTTCCATGCGGATACCATCAGCATCCAAGATGGCCGAAATAGCGGACACCGCCTTTGATCACCAACGCCGTGCGTCAAAGCGCCGACCATGGGAGAGGTCTGGGAGGGAAAGCATTCGAAGAAAAGAAGTTATTGTTTTTCTGGATACCAATTTCGCGACTACCATCTGGGACGGCATTCTGCTTCGTTTTTGTTCGGGGCTCGGGATCCCAAGGCCACCCCTTGCGGGAAAGCTGATATGCTGTGGCGTTTGTGGAGGCTCATTTGGGCCGACAATGACAGCATCTGTTGGATCACTGGATCTGACCTTGAAAGCGTCAATACAGTATTGGCCCTTTTTGCCACAAGATGACCACGATCAATGATCGTCTTCGTTTTCCAGGCAAGATTCTAGTGTTTACTCACTTCGATTGTTCTCCTGGAGTAAGGTCTTGACACACCGATAAGAAACATTGACGTGCTTTTGCCCCCTACATAACTGAATGAAGTGGTTCTAACTATGGAAGCTACTGGCTTCCAAGACTGTCCAGCCCGATGTTGTTACCTGAACTTGGTCCTCTAAGCATAAAAGAAAACAATAACCTCAACGAGGCAGACAGAGAAGAATTCCTCCGGCTTAGGCAGTTTGAGTGGGTGAGGTGGCCCAAGACACGGCACAGGCTGCCCCTGGGTGGCGTCAGGAGGCTTGGGAAAAGCAACCCCTTCACTCATTATGAACAGGTTTCCAAATCCCAGGACGGCTGTCTGAATAATTTAGATAAAGGCAAATGTCCCGCACTCCCATCAACCCATCTGGGGCTCTCCCACTCGCCAGCACACGTGTATTCTCCAATGAAGATGCAACAACCGCGTCTCCTCGACCCGAAGACGTTTTCCCCTGGTCCAACATCTACACTGTGGGCCTCCAGCTGGCAGCATCATGTGCTCACGCGGGCTGCCTCGACTGGGCGAGCAACCTGGACCAACTGCGGCACCTCAAAGTCCAAACCCGACTAGGAGCCAGGCGGGCCGCCACCACGACGGCCGCCAAAACTTGTCCGCAGACTATTCATCTGGGGCTTCATCGGCGCCAACGCCGCCATCTCCATAGCATGGGCCTATGCAGCGGACGAGGCCGCCGCTGCCGGCATGACGGGGACAAGGTCCGTCTTCCTGCGCCCCTCGCACGTACGCGCGCCGGGAAGCCTGGTGTACATGGTCAAGAATTTCGGTCTATCGGGCCGCAGTTTGCGCCAGGGTCGGTGGTGGACACTGCTCACGTCCGGCGTAAGCCACATCGCACCGGCGCATCTGATCGTGAATATGTGCGAGTTCTACACGTGGGCCTCACGGTGCTTTGACCTCGGCCTGGGGCCCGGGAGCGTTGCGGGTCTGATGCTTGGCTCGGCCGTCTGCTGTAGTGTTGCGGGTCTTGCGAACGAGGTTCCGTGGTGGCCGACTTTGCACATGGGAGCCAGTGGCATTATTTCTGGGCTTAGTGAGTTGTCTGTTTCTCCCGTCGTTATGGTCGTGTTTTCTGTCGTTGCGTGGCGACTCTGCTACGTGTGATTCGCGCCGAGCACGCCCTTCTGATGATGGCCAGACTGGTTGACCTTGAGATAACATCGCAGGGGTCGCTGCGATTCTCCTTGAGCCCGTGATGGGCTTCCGGGTCCCAGTCGTCTGCGACGTTCGCTATCCCCTCTTCATCACGATGATGACAGGCTGCGCAATCGATCTCAACGGCATGCTATCTCAGCGCCGTGAACTGACCGCTGCCTCGGTTGCCAACGGGGGTGTTCGCGATGCGCACAAGACTCTCGTTGGTTATGCAGGCCACCTGGGCGGTGCCGCCTTTGGAGTGATATACTGGTATCTTTGGCTAAGGTCTCGCTTTGGCACTTGTTGATCTAAGTACTGAACACGAGTATGGGACCCTCTGTTTCACACGACGACGAGTGCTGCCATATAACTTTCAAGACTTGCATGAATACTATCAAGGACAAAGGGAACTTGTCTCCTGCTGGGGAGTAATGGGTGGGGAGCCACCGTCGCAAAACGAACCTCTCCTCAATCACCACTCCTTTCCTCGGCTCTTCCAGCCTGCAACGGTCCGAAACCGAGAACACAGCCAAAACCTCAGCAGATTCACATCCCAGATCTGTCCTCGGCGAGATTCTCTAGCTCATCCCATCTATCTACCGTGTCTATTCCAAACCAAACCAAGCTCACCGAGGTAGAATTATTTTCTTATAGGCTGCCTCACGGTTGCCGCCCATCTCCACCTCATAACCTCCCCAGTAATGGTTTCAGCGTGCTTCCAAAGCTACCCCTTCTGAGGAAGAATTAGCACACGCCATCCAACCTCCACATCTAACATGTTGGACTCACAACAGAGATACCAAGGTCAACTCCACTAACGCCTAGGTCAACGCTTAGTGGACCGACCATTTGACGGGTCAGCGTTGTCCCTCTTCCTAAACAAGTCCTTGATCCTGTCCGGAGCCGAGCTGCCCGGCCGGAAGCCAACGCCCCCGCGCGCCCCGCCCGGTCGGGGGCCGCCGGTAGTGGTGCTAGTGGTGGTAGTAGGGATGCCGCCGGGCGGAGGAATCACGGTAGGGGGCCGGGGGTTGGTGTTGGGCGGACGAATAAGATTAGGGGGCCAGGTGGTGGGGACGGGGACGGGGACGGGGACCAAGGGGCCCGTGTCGGCGGTGCCTGTGGTAGTGGGCGCGCGAGGGAGGTCCGAAGGGAGATCAGGAACGTCCAGATCAGGAGGCTGGGCCGGGCCGCCGGTCGTCACGACTGGTGGTCCGAGCTCGTCCGGACTGTCCTCGTCGTCTGAGCGGCTGATCAGGAGCCCTGTCTTGTTCTGCGGGCCCTTGCCCTTGTTCCACGGCTCCTCGCCCTTCTTGTAGGGCCGGTTGCCGTCGCCGTACTTGCCGCCGCTGCTGGTCTGGTCCCTCTTGGTCTTCTGGCTGTCGTCCGAGCGAAGCTTCTTGCTGGAACCCTGGTCTCCCTCTGTCGTGTCCGCCGACCTCTTCGGGGGCGTCTTGGTGGTGGGCTCTTTGGGGCCCTTGGGAGTGGTGGTTGTGCTCTTGTTCCGCGCTTTTTTGTCCGGGTCTTCCACCAGCTCTCCGTACTGGTCGCGAATGACGTCCTTTGCTTGTCCCAGGGTGTAACCTCCGACTATGAAATTATTTATCCGCGTTTGCTGCTCCGCATATACCGCTCTTGCTTCTGCCTTCTTATATTCCTCCTTACTTGCAGCTTGCGAACTTCTCGCCTTTTGCTGCTCTCGTGCCTGGTTCTCTTTCATATCCCGACCTGCTTGCTTTGCCTGTTCTTTTGTTCTTCGCGATGTCTCGTCTCGCAACCTCTCGACCTCTTGCTGCCTTTGCGTCTCATCCGCGCGTCTCGTCGCATCCTGTACTGCTTCCGGCCCAAGTTCATCCAGTCGCTGTAGTGACTGTTCTTGTATTCGCTTCTTTTGTCCATTCTCCTTCTGTGCTGCTTGCGCGTTTTTTGCCGATTCGCTTCATCTGCCGCATCCTTTTTCTTCTTCTGCTCCTCCTGTGCCTTCCTCTGCTCCTCCTCTTTCTTCCTCTGCTCCCGCCGCTGCTTCCGTGCTTGCTCGTCTTGTCTTCGTGTTGGTTGCTCTTCTGACCCTTGAGATTTCTCTTCTGGCTTTGCTCGTTTCGCTTTGGTCTTCGGTTTCACGGACCAAAACTTTTCCGATACTTCCTTTACGGTCTTCGGATCCTTTGCCTTCTTCAGGATCGCCTTGTCTGCTGCGGCCGATTCGTCTGCCCGTCTCTGCTTGGCAATCTCTTCCTCTTCCGGGGGAGTCAACTGCTGAGGATGCTGCGGCGGAGGCGGCGGAGGCTGCACAGGGGGCCGAACAGTTGGCTGCGCGAGAGGGTTGAGCGGAGTCACCGGCGGAGTTGGCAGATGAGTCGGTCCGAGCCCAGCGCGGTTGGAATTAGAGGGGAACCACTGGCGCACACGCCCCTCTACCTGGACCTGTCGTGCCGCCGCGGCTGGGGCACCCGGGGCATCGTCATCACCGTCGTCGTCGTCGGCATCCGAGTCCGGCGGGTCCCGCGGGGGTGGGCCGCCGGGGGTGCGGCCGCCGTCCCTCGGGCGAAGCTGGCTGCGCGGCGGCGGCGGCCTCGCGGCCCGGAACGAGCCGGTGCACCCCCTGGCCTCCCCACCCTTGAGGTTCCTCTGGTACCGGATCTCCTTGGCAAAGTCCAGGTCGAGCGCCGCAGCGAGTCCGGGGTCGATGTCCTCCTCGTCGATGGCGGGGATGTCATTGTACTGGATGTACCGCGACAGGCGCATGCGCCTCTCGCGCCAGCGGCGGCCTTCAAAGTCCGGGAGGTAGCCCATGGCGACGGCGTCTGCCGGGTACTCGTCCGCGTCGTCCGGGTCCTGCATGAGCGGGTTGTACGTCTTGCGGAGTCTCCTGTTGCGGGCTTCCTCGCGGCGGCGTCTCTCGGCGGCAGTTCCCCCCTCGTCGTCGTCAGCGTCTGGCTGCCCATTTCGTCCTTGTTGGCCAGGTGGCCCAGGCTGTGCAGGCTGTGCAGGCTGGCCTCCCGGGGCACCGGCCGGCGCTTGGACAATGGTACCGACGTGGCAGCCTTGAGTAGACTTCAGGAGTCTCAAGGTGCTTCCATCTTTGTGTCCGGAACCGAAAAGAGCAGATACATCCAGGCCATTGACCAGCGCTGCCTCAACCGCGACAGATGATATCAAGCCTAGATATTCAAGTTTTAGCTCGCGTACGTCTATGCGTCACTTTTCTAAGAGCGCTCAAGCCTCACAATGATACTACGAGGACTTGATTGTGGATGGATGTGCATGTCTTACATTTGCCAAATGGAATAGACGCGATACGGTAAACATCGCCGTGGATGACCGCGTATTTGTTGTTGGGGTGGCTGTTGTTGTGTGCTCCGACCTGCTCGAAGGTAAATTTTCGTGGCATTGTGGCGACTTGGCGGCGTCTCTGCGCGATCGCTCGTGAAACGATTCACTCTGCCAATTATGGTGCTGCAATATCGGTCTGCCCTCTTCCCCTTGCCAAGAATGCTGATGAATGCTCGGAGGGTGACGTTGCAAATCCGCGAGATTCGAGGAAGCACGCGGTCGACGCCGATTTGGCCACAACAACCGATGCTCATATGAAGGCTAAGTTCAGAAAACCTCGGAGGCTTTCAGCAGGAGAGAACCCCCAGTCTAAAAGCGTTTCAGCATTATTCATTGTCGTGCCGTTTCTGGCGCCGCTTCGAATACCCCATGTATGCAGCCGTTTCCGGCCACCGAGGTTGACGGCCCTCTTTGTTTTGACTCCACAGAAACGAGTCCCCAGAAGCGATCAGATCGAATCCAGAGCCCCTCGGTATGCGTGCATCTACCTATTGCAACGAGTTGGTCTTTACGCGATGCTCCCTCGGCCTTGTTATTCCATTGTCGGTATGGACTCGATTACCGGATATGGCTCAAGTGCCGCGGGAAAAAAGCGCCACAAGCTCCGCCTCCGGCTTTAATCTGAGTAGAATGCCTCACTACTTGATGGGAACATGATTCCTTGTTTGGCTGAATTTGGATTGCCAAAACACATGCTGGCGGCGTGGTATACTTGCGCTGCACCTACGCGTTCTATCATGTCGAGGTCTTGCTTGAGCGCAATGCGACAGCACCTGCTGGACCAATAGCTTGGGGATTATTTGTATCAGGCTGGAGGGAGCATTGAGGCGGCACCACTGGACATCAATGACATAGTATCCTGGCTTGTCCAACAGCATGAACGCGCATACGAAGAAACCCGTCTTGGAAAATTCGTCTTCTAAAATCGATATAATGGTCGACGGCCCAACTTGATGTTTTTCTTCCCAAGATGGCTCTTGGAAGGGTATATGGCTCCAAACCTTCACACTTTGGCAAGCGAATGATTTAAAAAGACGCTCCCTTTACGGCAAAATCTAAATGTTTTCCTCCGATAACATGCCGTACTGCTTGGACCAGGAATGCTCTAAGATTTCCTGGACATCAGGACGCCTCGAGGGGTCATAGACGAATATCCGTGTCAAAAGATCCCCGAGCAGTTCAGCCTCATCGTCTGTGGTCAGAGGGAACGCACCCCAAAACGGGCTCGCTTCATCTTTGTAGAATATGTAGTGTGTTCCATCCACTCGAACTGCCGTGGGTTTCCACAGCATAGATTGATAAGCTAATGGATACGGAGTAACTCTCTCGGCCTCTTCTGAAAACAGAGAGTCATCAGGGGTTGAGGGTTGCGTGTACACTGTGGTATCAATCTCACCATGGCTGCGCATCGACAGCGATGGAGGCCCGTCCCAGATCTTTCCAATCTCATCTGGAAGACTGCATTTCTCCATGAAATACATAAGCGGCGTGCCGCTTTCGTCCTTGGTTGGGTAGCCTTCAGTGTCGAATCGCGCCTGCGCCAGGTTGTCCGGAAGATCGCCGAGGAACCTCTGGATCTGCTGCAAAGCATCCGCGGGGTTGAATGTGTCGTAATCGAAGAAAATGTCCCTGCCCGCCCGCAGCCGGAAGATGGTGCACCCCAGTGACCAGACATCTGAAGCTTTGCTGGGTGGCCCACCAGCGATGACCTCCGGGACCATGTATTTCGCGGGTGTGCCTGTTCGTTTCGGTGGATTGTCGCATTCGAAGCACTGATCAAAGTCTAGAATTCGAATCTGCTTGCTGAGGATATTTGTACTGGAAGCAAAGAAGTCCAAGGGTGCGACAAAATATTGCGGTGCGTGCGGTCCGGGGCCTGGGTCATCTTCATTGCAAAGTCCGAGAGGCCCAGTCCTAGGATGCCCAAAGGCTCGATAAATGTCATCGATTTCATACGATGTGATCTCTTCTGATAATGCCAGAGCAATGTTGTTCGCCGTGAAGTCTATTGAGTTGATCAGCGCCTTGGGACATATTTTGCACGTATCTGCTACATTTGAAGAAGTATTTCATACATACCTCCGTGGCACCGGTCTCGAGAGTGTAGAAGTGCCATTGCCTGTGCTGCTTGCATGGAGAGATTTACCGAGAAGCGGGATGAGATTCTGAAGTAGATGCCAGAGGACAGTGTCGCAAGATTTGGTCCGACGAAGGGGCAGCACAAAACACAAATGATGCCCGTTGGGGCCGTCAACCCAGAATTCACGCTCAGGCCTCACCAGCAACTCAGAGCTGGCGAGAACAGTGTCTGCAATGATAGCAGATGAACGGGCAATGTAGCCTTCAGACTCAGCCGCAACGATGAACTTCAGCACCACCCATCGCCGGCCCGGCAGATCCTGTGCGAGCCACACGGTCGAGAAGCCGCCGGCCCCAAGCTTGTGGATCACTCGGTAGCGGCTGTCGTCGTAGTGCTCGTCAATATGGACAGGGTGAAATCCGCCCGGCTCGTATCGTTCAAGGTCCTCGCAATTGTCCATGCCATGCGGGTTGAATCTGAAGACTCGAAGATCGGACGCAGAGCCATCTTCCAAGCTGAAAATGTTGCAGCAGCGATTTCAGCTGCCCAAGCAGCAAAACAAGGAATTTTCTTGACAGGACAAGGCTGTCTCGGCTTTTGGAGCAGTACGTGCTGCAGTATGGATGGGACTGTTCACAACAGAGGAAGGCGAGGTGACCGCCTCAGACAAGGCGGGGTTCAGGTTCGGCATGCTCCCCAACGACTACGCTAAGATAGTATGTGTGTACCCTGATGCCTACCTTGGTTATCCATCTTGATGAGCCGTCGTAGTCTTCCATGACGAAAATGACAGTCTAAGGACGTTGGTAGCGGGCCGTACGAATCTGAATACTATAGTCCGGAACGTGAGTAAGTAGTCAGTTGCATAATGCCCAGATGTGCGCACTGTATTGGAACCTCCATACTTCTGATCAAATTACTCATTATCATGGAAGTATAAATTCATCTTTCCATGTTCATTCACCCACATCATCTAGGTTCTGTACCATCTGATTCCAGAATCTCCACACACGGCAGAGGACTTCTCATCACTTCTATAGCCCTGCAGCAAGCACCACATATCACCATTAACCCAGCCACACAGTGCTGCCCATCAGAATCATCCTCAGCTTCGCGGCTGCAGCATGGTAAGTACACATCAGAATCTCAAGCATCTGTACTGGTCGCACGTGATTATTAATACCAAATTCCGACACAGCCTTACCTCAGGCCTGCGTCTCAAGTCTTCCCAGTTTAATCACATCAACGCCAACAACTTGAGGTCAAACAACACGGATAGCTGGGGCTTATTCGACACTACTCATATGGACCTCGACCAGAACCGGAATGAGGACGTATCAGCCATGGCCGAAATTGCCGCGCTCGTGCGAGGGAAGCATCTGGCTCGTCGGGACAGACTCTGGGCCGACCAAGTCGAGGACGACAGCCTCCCAGAATGCTGCATGTGCCAGTGCCTTCCTCTTCCAGGGCAAGACTAACCGCCGGCGCCGCAGCTCCGAGGCAAGTCCTCCATTAGCGTCGGCAAGTTTGGTCTGTAAAATCTTTGACCTACTTGAATGCAAGATTCATCGTCGATACCCACCACTGACCGTACGCACAGGCAAACAAGTATCGAGCGGTTTCTATTCTATTAGTTATCTGATCACTACATCATCCCTTGCGGAAGCTACAACTGTCCCATGGCACCGAGCCGCCCAGGTCAGGCAAGGCATGCTTTCACGGTAGTTCCATGCGGAAAGACAAACCATGTGTACCGGCAAATTGGAGGGGTAATCAAAGCTAAGTTTGAATGTTGGCAGTGAGAAGGGCATGTTGAACTTCATACTCGCACAGTAAACTCTAGGGCTAGCAGTTTCGACTTCCTCGCGCCGCCTAAATGTGACGCTTGTTCAAACAAGGTCACATACCAATGATGCTTGCGATGTAGTTAGAAAAGCTCTCTTCAGAAACCAATCCTTTTCAATATTGGAAACGTCACCACTTAGGCATTTAGTTCTGCGACCCTCCCTCTAGCATGAACGCAACATCGAGTCGTTATTATGGGAAAAAGGCTTGATTAAAACCCACCTGCTTGGTAACCGTTACTGTTATCGCTTCACAAATGACCATCCACAGTCTCTTTAGTGGGTGGAGAAGTGCCCAGAGCTTTGTAAATCTCTTCCACGTAGGCTCTCACAGAAGTGTTTCCCGCGGTACCCGTCTCCATTTTATTCATCGCATACCCAATCGTCATATGACGATCCAGATCGTTGATGACCATGGAACCGCCCCAGCCTCCCCAGAAGCAGATTCTGCCCTCGGGAATCCACGAGTCAATGATGGCATCCCCGTTGCCCCTGATACCCAGGCCAATGCCGAACCGAACAGGAATCCCCATGCACAAGTCCGGCCCATATGACTGCTCCTTGAAGATGAGGTCGATCGTGTCCTTTGAGAGAAGCCTCTTGCTCTCGTCACCGATGGTGAGCGCATTCGACCAGATTCGAGCGAGTGCTTGCGAATTTGTGTGTCCGTTCGCGGCTCCAATCTCAGCCTTCCTCCACTGCGGGGTGCGAGAAAATGTTGCTTCTGCAAGGGGATACAGCATTTTGGCCATCATTGATTCCGGGCCGAGTTTGGCCATCTCAGCCATGGCAGACGGAGGCGGCGGGATCAGCTCCGCGATGCGAGGCCAATCCTCCTCGGCCGCGCCGATCTGAAAGTCGGCATCGAGAGGACCTGCAATCCTCTGCGAGACGAACTCTGTCAGGCTCAAGCCTGTCCTGCGGCGGACAACCTCTCCTAGTAGGAAGCCATAAGTCCAGCTGTGATATCCCGAGGCTGAGCCGGGCTCCCAGCGAGGTGCCTGTTTTGCGAGCTTCGCGGTGATGAGCTCGACGTTGCAGAGCTCGTCCATCGTTGCAGGGGCTTCGATGATTGCGAGGCCCGACGTGTGAGAAAGCAAATGCCGGATTTCAATGTCCTGTTTCCCGTTCACAGCAAACTCGGGCCAGTATTTGGAGACCTTTTCATATGGTGACAGCTGGCCGTCGTTGATGAGTAGTAGGACGGCCAGTGCGGAGATGGTCTTGGTGGTTGAGTAGACATTGACGATGGTGTCTTCATTCCACGGGCGAGTGCCTTCACTGGAGGCAAACCCTCCCCATAAATTGACGACATCCTTGCCATCAATATTGACAGTCAGGGAAGCCCCTACTTCCTGCCCAGTCTCCAGGAATTGCTTGAACTTTGCAAAAACGCCTTCGAATTTGGGGTCGTAGGTGCCATGTGCCTGCGCCATGTTGCCCGCTTTAGCTCCTTTTTTCGGTGGTAGCAATGGAGGTGAAGACGATGGCTTCCCCGCAAGAGGCAGGCCGAGATTTTAAATACCTAGACTACCGACTAGACAGGGCCACATTCACGCGATCAAGATGACTCATCCAACCACTACCCCCCTGGAATGAGCCCCTTGGATTTACAGCGGGGCTTTAGATCCAATCGACACTTCACATGTTGATACGTGATTCACTCTGATTCACCCTGAGTCGATTCTAACGCTACACAAAGACGGGAGACGTGCTCGAGGCTTGTCGCAGCCACGATCAACTGGCACGAATCGTCGTTTGAATGGCTTACTAAGAGTCCAAGCAACAAATCGCGATGTCCCTGTACCAGAAATTTGAGCTGGATGCCTCTCGACAGATAGTCGGGCGAAGCTCTTGAGGACCTAGTTTGCTAGCCAACTGATTAACACAAGCATCTCCCCCTCAATACTACTAGGTGGATGACTTCGCCTATAGATTTTCCATACCATATTGCCGCCCCCCTTATTAGACAGTCATGCACACCAAATCGGGGCAACTGCTATTGCACATTATTCGAGTGTTAATTTACTAGGAAGGGTTTGTAGCGTTGAGAGGCTGCCTACTAGATTGCCTGACGTCGTGTTACTCCCCCTCGACGCCCTCACGAAGTTTCGACGGCTTTGCCCGAGCTGTCAGACCCACTACACTGAGAGATCGCTCACCCAGAGATACCAAAGCTCCATACAGGTCGTCAGGAGCGCCATGGTAGATTATTCTAGAACATATAGAAGATGAGCCTGTAGCAGGTTATCCCACAGGTTACCCCGTGGGAGGTGATGAATGTGGACGGCTCCAATTTCAGGATACCAAGACCAGATCATCTCACATGAGCCTTTCTCCACCGTGAATTTGTGCTGGTGATGCTGTACACAATCGTTTAAGAGACCGAGGTAGGTGTGCCCGAGTCTGAGATGCAATTCAGCATGCCTAGCCTGAGATAAGGAGCCAAATCCCACCAGAAATGTCATGAGCCTGCAATGTAGCCGGTTCTCCATGGTGTCGACGACCACCTCACTCTTCTTCCTTCCATTACCGCCCGCCAGCAGCCGCCCGCGGCATCTCCGGGGCACCTCGATCCGAGCCCTTGCTTGCTCGGCAACCGCAAGGTGAATCATAGCAAGATGTGTCGGCACGATGGGCGGGAGAATGCATCACCAAGAGGCTAACACCAGGCTTCAAGGTCCGGGCTTTGTTGATATTCGACGTCCACACATTCTTGGTCCTTCGAAAACGACATCACAAATTGTTGTGATTATCAGCATGAGCAATCGAGAACATGGTGAGCGCCTCTACGGTGGGGCATGGAAGTAATGTTGCAAGACAGCGCGCGACAAAATTTCATTCCTTTGTTCCAACCTTTCCGGAATGCCCGAAGGCAAGGCTGACTGAGACTGACGGACCGACACCTATGTAAATGAGCCGAACCATCTCGGCCCTTGAACCCCTCCGTATGGGTTAAGACGGCTGGCTGGCTATGTTTCTGGGGCAAGCCAGCCTTCCGAGCGCTCGGGTGCCACCGCAGATGCTTTTCCTTCTGTAATGTACACGGGAATTCGTGCTTCTTCCTAGCGTCAAATGAGCTCAAACGCGCGCACGCAAAATAGAATCGAGATGAAAACCAGCATAGCAAGCAACAACTGAGCATGCCTCCGCACCCATAGCTATCTCTTTGCCGTCCAATCGTACACGGTGTACGCAGACCAGACGAGTTCGCAACTATTGGGTCATGGTTCCGATGGCAACTGGAGAACCGCCGTCGCGGGAAATACGAATGTGTCGCTCGTAGAACCGAAGCATCTGCCAAAGTCAGTCCTGCGCTCGGGTTCCGGGTTGGGACCTGCTTGGGGACCTACCTTCTGAGGGCACCTTCTGTAAACAACCTCCTTGGGATGCTGCGTCTTCTTGCCGTTCTTCCAGGTAAGATAGACGATGAATGTGCCATTCTCCTCGTCCTGGCACATGTCCACGGTGTCGACCTCCTCGTCCCAGCTGCCGCTCGGGGGCTTCCACTCGACCGCCCTGGCGGTCGCGGGTGGGGTCGAGTCTGCCGGGTGGCCGTTCTTGCGGGAGCGCTTCTCGGCTGGGGTGGCTGAGTTGGACTGCCGGCCGCGCTTCCTGCCCTTGAGCGCGCTGCTAGTCTGCTCGAAGATCTTCTCCCGGCCGCCGATGCTCTTAAAATACTCCTGCAGGATTTCCGCGGCATTTTCTCTGGAGGAAAGAACGAGAATAGGTCAGCGGGCCCGTTTCTTGGGTTCTGTGGAGTTGTTACATACTGGAGGTTGTCCTCGGTTTCCCAGGTCCGGTCTGACTTTTTGTTCCAGCCTTCCCATTTCACCTCGAAACGAGGCTCACCCTGTACGGCACGTCAGTGGAAGAGTCCTTGTAGAAGTCTCGTCGGCAGGAAACCCACGTCGTCGGCAATGTAGTGGGAAAAGATCTTTTCGACCACGTACCTGCACACTCGTCAGTGGCACGCGTCAATCGATCATCTCAGGCCCGGGAAGTCCTCACTCGTCCTCATCCATGTCCTCGTCATCCTCCTCGTCGTCCTCGTCCTCGTCGACATCGCCATTTGTAACTTTGCCGTCGGCGACATCATCGCCCTCCGAAACGTCCTCCTCCTTCTTGGCCGGCGTGCGCCCGCGCCCCTTCTTCGGCAGGATGTCGCTCGTCACGGCAAAATCGCCGCTGTCGGAGTTTTCGTCATCACTGATAGCTAGACATGCAGGGTGATTAGAGATTGTGAACTCAGAGACGCCCGCGAATTGCAGCCCCGTCGCGCAAGTGACGCGCTGTAGGAGGCACAAGCTGATTGGGGAATCCGTTTGCGCTGCACTTACCCGGCGGCATGGCTGCTGTTTGATTAGGGTGACGGGTGCTTGAGGAGGTAGGGAGGAGAGTCCAGATTGAAATGGGTCTCGACCAAGGTCGACTTGCTCTCGGCGAGTGTTGCGACCGGAGAGGCGGTGCGGAGTGAGGTCAAGCCGTGACGCGGAGCTTGGGCGTTGCGAGCTGGGAAGCTGCCCGCCGACGCGCCAAGCTTCTGCTTTGCTCTGGTTAGCTAAGCACAGCGTCCGATAAGATAAGCCCGCAGCTGCAGGGGTCTTGTCAGCATCGACGACAGGCAGCCCATGACCTCTTCTATCTACTGGTTGGAGCGTTTTACTTGGACGACAGCATCTGCATGTTGAATGGAGACTTTCCAAGCAAGTCTTGATTACAATTTAACATGAGCCTTGTGTGTCTTTTTCCGTCTTGAGTTTGGAGTGTGGCGTCGTGAGGATTGGTCTGACAGTTCGTTGACATCAGCCCGCCTACGAAATGCCCTCAAGCCCTTGTTGCAACCCCAAGCGTCCCTTCAGATGATGATCCGCAGCTCGCATTCGGTCACGGAACACCTATTTACTGGTCTGAGGACCATCATTCGTCTGAATGGTTAACTGTTCGATCACAGCTGGCCCGGCAAATCTGGCCCGAGGACTCAAAGTGCGAGGCCTGTCCACAACGTTCTAGGTTGCAAGCACGACCGCACATTCATGACCGTCCGGCCTCTTCGTTCGTCTCAACCTCCGGAGCCGAAGGAGTGGGTGGAGCACGGCGGGTTCAGTCTAGAGCTGGGCAGAGGCTAGGACTAGACGAAGTGGAATGTGGACATTCGGCAAAAGCGACGGAGCTCGTCCTCGGCAGGTCGGTCCCTTCGGCGCGGCGACGGGATGCCGCACATCACCAAAATACACCATCAGCGTCTCCCTGCGAGGGAGATGGTGCTGTATCACATGCTAATAAAAGACACACACACACACACCGCGGAAAGGCCAAAATGAAGCTGTAGATAATTTCCAATCTCGTTGCCTCACCGTTCTTGTTGCCCCGTGCTTTCTGGGGGATCCACCCGCTGCAAATTAGCAGGTTTTCCGAGCCCGAGTCTCATTTCGTGAATCTCCTCCCGAGAGCCTCTTTTTTGCTTGCTGGCTGGCTGGGAGTTGGCCGCCTCCATCTTCCAGTGGCCGACTACCTGGGCACGGCCTCCTCTGGAATGCAAGCCGCCCAAGGCTCCACGAGCAGCGGGGTTAGAATCTTTCGACGATCGTCCCGCCGCGGAAGGCCGACGCGATTGGGGCAATCGGCCGAAATTTGGATTGCTAGAGGGTACTGGCAAAATATCATACATGTCATCGCTACCGCTCTTGTAGGATGAAGGGAGAGTCACGGCTTACCACGGCTTTTCGTGACAGCTTGAGCTAGGGCGGAAGCTAGAAGAGGTGCTGGCGACTGAACGGTCGCATTCCATGTTCGTTGTGGCAGTTAGACTTCCTCGCTACCACCTGGCTATTGTAAGGTTTCGAAAGCCTGAAGGTGAGATGTAAGCAGAGGTGGTTTGTGGCATCACATCCCGAGTCAGTAGGTATTGTGCTCGACATGAGGTTAGGATCCGCGAACCAGACCCTGTAGAGCCCTGTTCCTCCCACCGTTCAGGAGAGGATGTGCAGCTGCAGTCCCCATTCACCAGGAATCAACACGGGGGAGGAGTGCAACTGACAGCTGTCAGTAAGTCCCGTACCGGACAGGGGGGCCCGGATGGAATCCACCCTGGACCGCATCTTTCAAGCTTACTTCGGATGTGTTCATCAAGGGCGATCATTGGGGTCGCCGTTGTGAGAAACACAATGTCTTTGGAAAGAGCTTGCCATTCTAGATGCCAGGAAATGGGCTTCCTCGCCCAGTCGGGGATGATCTGCCAGTCGCCATGAGGCAGTACGGCTATTTTCAGCGATCTGAGCAGAACGTCATTTCTGGCTGATATCTGCCCGAGACTCCATCCTTGTTCAGCGCCACCAACCAAGGAGTGCCACCCTCACGATGGAAGGGCGGAGCTGCCCGGTGTTCTGTTGTGCTGGAGTACACAGTACAGTACTCAACGATCGACATGAGTCTGGCCCATTGACGGTCATCGGAAGTACTGTGTTTTCAGACCTGTCTGCTTCGCTGATCCCGGTTGGAGGCTTCCTCAGACCTCTGTGCTCCGTGTCGCGGCTTCCAAGGCATTGGGAACTCAATCCCAGCAGGGGGTCCGGCAGGCAGTGGGTTGAGCCATCGCAGGCCTCACAATGATTTTTCCGGTTCTGGTGGATATGTGAGGCAGGAAGCAGTCCAGGACGGAAGTCTGAAGAGCGGGCGACGAGAAGCCAACTGGGTTTGAGGTCGCCACATTGTGGGCTGCGGGAGGATCCGCTCGGTGTCCTGAGTCGCGAGCCGGAACGCATTCTAGCTGGCTTCTTTGGCAATGCACATGCGGCGTAGGGCATCTGTTTCTCGGCCAGGAAACTCGGATTCACGCCCATTGATTGCTTTGACCGCCGTCAGAAACCCATGACCCAAACACCAAATCTTTTACTTGTTGAAAGCAGAACCGCCACTCCTGCATGTCCCGAGTATGCTGGTCTTCCAGGAGCCTTGCCCCCTTGCTTCCAGGCGGGACTGCGGAGTGCAGGGTACAAGACCAACAGGGCCTGTCGTGGGCTGACCCGCATGCTGCGAAACCAATTTGACAAGAACCAGGAAAATATGGGTGTAGAGGATCTATCGTTTGTTGTTTTGGCCAATGGCAGAGTTCAGAATGTGACTGAGTGTTGCTTTCTGGGTTCCGCGGATTGCGACAAGGTGAGGTCGAACCAAAGGCACGTGGGAGAAGACTGTGCGTCTTATACTGTAGCCTGGCCAGGCGCATGCGTTTCTTCGATGTCTTTTGCGTGCGTGATAGACGACCTCAGATGCTACATCGATACCAAAAAAAAAGGAAAAAAAACATGAGCTGTCGACTGTTGGCCCATATCGTCTCCATGTGAATGACTAGGAGTATTTTTGGTTAAGCGCTGGATCATGCTACTTGTCACATTGCCAGTGGCGCTACTGTCACCACCGCAGGCAAGCGATAGCGAAGGAGCGAGGTTGATCAAGTCCACCGTTGAAAGTCACTGTGCCTGGACATTTTGTCTGTCTAATTAGGATATCGTGTTCGCGAAATGGGCAGCAACGTCCATTATGCTGTGCCAGCGTCAGGCTGTCGTCGATGCCTGTCTTGTGCACGGCATTGCATGGTATATCATGGTATGGGAACGCACGAGCATGGGTGAGACTTCCAAGCTGCTGCCAGGCGTTGAAGAAGTGCGTTGCCTTCCATCTTCCAAGGCCCTCCATCCCTGCCCCTGTCTTGAGTGGGCCTGCTCTTAGACCCCTGCCCTGACCGTTGGCTGTCCCCACTTGCCCGGCGTTTCGAGCCACTCAACGCTCGAACTTTCCTTCCACCGGCAGGTTGCCTAAAAGAACCACCCAGGTGCACCTGCAGTCCCTGAGCCCAGGCACCCGGACACCTGGGGCGGCAGAGGTGCTACCCTTAAATCCCACCTCGAGGTTCCAATGCTGGTTGGCAAGAACGACTTTCCGTTTGTCCTCGACCGTCACCGTCACGCACGGCGGCATCATAACAGGGACGGGGACCGCCAGCTCGTTCCATGCTCCTGCGTTCTTAGCTGTGCTGTGTGCTGTCCAGCTCTTGAAGAACAGGCGTTGCCACCCCTCCCAGGCCCCAATCTGGACCTCACGAGAATCTCTTGTTCGGGTAGTTGTTCTAGATTTAATTAGGACGCTAATGATAATTAAACCAGGATGAGCTCTCACAATTTGCTGCTTCTTTTTTCGGCCGGCTCGTCGCCGGTCGGTCGGTCACAATGCCAATCATTGCATTTTCTCTTCCCCCCCACTGCCAACCTCACCCATCGTTGACTGCGCGGTTTGACTGCCTCGCCACCGCGCCACAACACACTGCGTGCCTGCATTAACCCAAATCCACGGCAAAAGGCCATGGGTCTTTCATGTGCATACACACTTCATTGCCAGCTCGTCATTCCCGTGTTGCGTCTATTTCCTCGACCATGTTCGGAAATTTAGACACACGGCCATTGGTCTCGCCCTGACGCCTCCACACCTCCCTCCTCGCCTTCTGTCTCGTATGGAACACTTGGGAGCACACCAGGCACCAGACCCTTCTCTGCATATCATATCCACACATCCTGTGCAGCCCACCACACTTCTGTCCAGGACGGCATCGAGTCGAGTGTGTCGTCGCGGCTACCCTTCTCCACGTTCTGGCACGGACTGTCAATTGGGCTCCGCTCCGGCTCCACGTTCTTGCTCTCGAAGCTCATCGGGACTTGGGCCCCTGCCTGGTCCCCCCAGCCCCAATGAAGAGTAGGGGTTCGGAGAAGCGAGACGAGCAGCATTTCCCAGGGTCGACGCAAATCGATATCGCCTCCCTCTCTGCCTTGGTCGCGGGGCTTTTATCAAGTCACCAGCTATCCCGACCTGCCTCTCTTGCCCAACTGCATCTCTAGACCATTATCTCAACATCCAACCGCAACAACCTTGCCCTTGTCCACCGGACCTCTCCTAGCTTGTATTGATATCGCCCTGTGTCTTTGCCCGAATTTCCCAGCGAGGCCGAGTCTGTTACTTTCCTACTTCCTCTGAGTCGTTCACTCACTGTTGACTCTGTGCTCGAGGGTTGTGGTCTGACGACTCGTGAAACCGCACCACACGGGACTCATTGCCTCCCGACGACCTGTCATATCGTCCCTCTTTCCTCGATCTCGCGGGCGGAAACCTACGGCCCACCACTCTGAAGCCCCAAATTCTCCGAGTCGGGCCAGCCAGGGTTCTTCAGCAAGGATGGCCGAAGTGACCTTGAGTGCCGAAACCACGACCAAGGCTCCCAAGGACAAGAACTGCCCTTACTGCGGCCAGGCATTCACCTCATCCTCGCTTGGAAGACACCTTGACCTGTACATCAAGGAGAAGAACCCCAAGGCACCCGATGGCATTCACAACGTCGACGAGATCCGGAAAATCCGGGGCGGCATCACACGACGGCATCACAAGGGCAGCAGGAGAGCCAGCTCAGATCCCGCGGCCAGTCATGCCGGATCCAGACGCAGTCCAGAGGTCTCTGATGCCGAGTCGGCAGCGGCAAAATCACCAGGTATGCCAACGGAGAAGCAGTCCGCAGCGGACTTGACCAAGGGTTTAGCGACCTTTACTGCCCCATGGGAGACAACCGGGGTTATTAACAACATCCCTGAAGCAGAAGCTGGAGGAGGAAGCGCAGACGCCGTCCGGAGGGCAAACACACAAAGGGCCCATAGCAGACAGATGATGAAGTCGTCCTTCGAGGTCAAGCAAAAAGTTCAGGATGCTCTCGACCGGGCCAGAGCTGCTGAGTTGGCACTGCGGGAAATCCTCAGCTCGTGGAGGGCCGCAAAGTAGGACCGACCAAAAATCCCCACACTCATCACGTAGGTTCTTGTGCTGACTTGGACTCTCTAGGCAGCAGGTGAATGTGCACTCGATGCCGTTCGACTTCGATCCGCTCTCGTTAGATTTCCCAGCACTGTGTCTTCAATGTTTGGAACCGCCGCCGACGTTGTTCTCGTCTACTCAACATCCCACTCCAACTTCATGGTCCATAAACCCTCCTGGGGAGAAGCAGGACCAAGCACTGTTAGCCTACTTTCAAGAAGAGTTTCGAAAGTGGAAGATAACATGCTCTTCTGCAACGACAGCAGTCATGGAAGAACTGACTTATCCCCCTTCGCAAGCAGCAACGTTCCAGGAGAACACCCGTGACTCGGTACAAAAGGCAGAGAGAGCTGCTGAAAGGCTCGAAAGGCAAGTAATAGAGCATCTAGCGTCGGCCTTCTCCGTGTGGCAGCAGCTTCCTCCACAACGCCGGCAGGAGCTGTGGGTACTGGAGTTGGCGCGAAGCGTAGGGAGGAAACAGAAGGAGGTGGACAAACTGAAGGAGACGCAGCACTCCCTAGAGCAGGAGAACACCAACCTCAAGTCGCAAATCGACCATCTGAACCGACTACAGCAACCGCGGGAGTTTAAAATCGCCAATCCGATGACCTGGGGCATGAGTCAGCAGATGATACAGCTTGCGGCAGAAGCGGGCGTCAGTGGTCGCCGAGTTGTCGGGCTGAACATGGAGGATCGCCATTCAGATCTCAACACTGTGGTCTCCAGCGCTATTGACAGATGGAAGAATGTGATCGTATCTTCAAGGGCAACAGGCGGCTTGGCCTCTCAGAGACCTCTCGACCCGCCGTCAGCTTCTACCCAGATACCTACCACCACAACGCAGCCTCCCACACCGACTGGCCAACAGGCGCATCTGCACCAATCCTCGCCAAGCATCTCTAACTTTTCTCAACCGCCGCTCCCACGACATACGTCCCGAAGCTCTGCTGTTCCTACAATCATAGCCACCAGCGAGGCCAAGACATCGACTGCCGGAACACCGTCCGAACAATCTGTCGACGACTCTGACCAAGACTCGGACCCGGATGCAGAGGCAGGGGAAGATGCAGACGCCGACGCTGACGCCGACGCCGAAGCTGACGTTGAGATGGAAGGTGGACAGGGATACCTCTCAACGGCACACACGCCTGTGCCCCAAAACATTCCTCAGATGCCTCACACCCCTATGCCTCAGACTCCGATGCCTCAAACACCGATGACTCAAAGCCAAATCCCCCATGATCAACAACCTTATGCCACTCAGCAAATGGCGGCAGAGGCGCGGCAGAACCCGTATCCGCAGAACCCAGCAGGAGGTGGCAACTTCGCGGGACAGGCTGGAATATTGCCCAGCCAACAATTACAACTTGGCCAGCAGGCTTTCGGCCAGCAGTACCGGCCCAGCCAAGGCCACGGTGGGGGAATTAATATGTCGTGGGACAATCAATGACGGCGCGACGACCAACCGGCGACTGACCCATTAGTAGTCGACTTCGTCAGACTCGGGATAGTCTCAGGTTGGCCAAAGCAAGCAGCCGAATGGTTTGCTGGATTTGCTGATCACGGGCTCAGGGTTGAGTCGTGACTTGTGAATTTGATATTGTCCGTATCAAAGCGCATAGCCTCGTACTCGGAGCACCGCAAGTGTATATATCACCGGGCAATCACTTTTAATCAAGCGTCTGCATTAGCAGTCGCCCAAAGATTGTCCCACCCGTCCCCAGCATCACCTATACTCACACTTACCGGTATGGCGTTGGTGGACGGAGGACCTAGAAAGAGTCACCACGTCGCGCAGTACTTCAAGATACATCAAACTCTTGTCCTGCGCATTTAAGTAGAGCTTAAGAGACCTCGAGGTACTTGGCCGTTATAGAACCATAAATCTAATAATATTAATAGTAATACGCCTTCAATCCATGTCCAGGTCTGTCACGCATCAACTACTTGCTCCGTGATGTCTGGTAGGAATACCTTACGAAAAACACATAGAATTTGGCCAATGTCAGTCTGCTCCCAAGAGGTCGGATCCGCAAATCTGGGGCCCGTCGGCGGCCCCGGCTGCCCCGTCTCCCCCCGGAGGCTAGGTGCTGCAGTGGCTAGCAATAATATTCCGGATCCCTGCTAATAAAATTCCAGCCCGAGGGGACCTGCACGACATCCTTGAACCGGACCGACTGCCACCAACCCACCTACCCCTTGCGGCTGAAACAGAAATCCCAACGTTGAACGCTCGCTACCGAGCGGAGCCACGGCACCTCCCGCTTCTCTCTACTTCTAGCCTCCGTCAGTCGTCCATTTCTCGTGCTTCTGGAAGGCCCCAAGGATCCGGCACTCCGGTGTTTTTTCTGCTGGAAAATGCCAGTGCCAGGACCCAAGGCATGAAAACCCTATAGCGGGCTGACCTTCGCTCCCATCGGCGTCTCGACTGTGATCTGAATGAACTTTGTCACTTGGCCAGCGGGGTGAGGTAGCCCTTGGCCTCATAATCAAGGCGGGGGAGAGAAAGCCGCCCATGCCCTACAGAAACCCGGTCCGGTCCGGGCTGCGAGACAAGCCTCGGTGACGGAGGTCTCCGCCGGAGTCTCCGCCGACAGGACTGCCGGCCCAATGATCAGCGGCCCCACCACGTACCGGGGCTGGGAGAGAATCTTAAAGGACGTTTCAGGTGCAGCAAATGTTCATACCATGTTTTTAATCTCCCTGCCAGGAGGACGGACAGCGTGAATTCGGAGAGAGACTCGCCTTGGGGATATTTTCACGGAGATCCCGAGATATAACCTGCCCACGAGGGACCGGTCCGAGGATCAATCTGGTTGGCAATTGCCGTGCTTGGTATGCAATTCGGTTTCCCGGACCTGGGCAGTGGCCGAGACTCAGATCTAGCACGCTATCGATGCCATCGACTGTACCGTGGCACAGTCAAGACTCCGGACAGTCTATTCGGGAGGGGCACAGGAGCCTTGGGGCCGCAAAAAAAATAAATATTGGACCTTTGTGTGAGCCCAACTGGGCCACGGGCTTCAACAAGTACTGGTTTGTGCCCGGGGGACTTGTACTAGTTTGCATTTCAGAATCACGCGAATGCACATAGTTCCTGAGCTCGGAAGTGCAGGTTGCTGTCACTTGGGAATTTCAAAAATCACGAGGGACTTCCGTGTCGCTGGGTGGTGACAACCACAGCACCACAATTTCCTTTCGCCGTGCTGTTGTTTATCGTGGGACAAGGTATTTTCCAAAAAAGGAAGAGGTCATCCTAGCCCTCAATTTTCATTGAAAATGTGCCAAGGTTCTCTGAGTGTAACTGTGACAGCTATTGTGACGTGGAAACCACAGAATTGGGTTTAATAAAATTGAAGCCCTTCAGGAGAGGGCATTCGGGAGAGCTTCGCGTGAATACTAGATAGGGATTCATTTGAGTCTCTCATTTCTCAAGGTCTCGATATTTACTTTGATGCCTGCCGGGCCATCTGTGACGCGACTATCTCTCATTCACCGCGGGGCACGTGATTGTTGTTTTCTACCTCGCGCTGAGTGCTTGCAGCCACCAACGCAGTGTTGTCTCTTCCTTCCTCCACTCTGCACGCGCGACACAGACATCGGAAGCAACGACTCATCATAACAGTAATCATGTCTTCCCTCCGCGAGCACGAGCGTGATGACGCAGGAAGCGAGTACGTATTTGAGAGACAATTTCCATGGACGCGTCATTGTTTGGTGCAATACTAATGGCATAACAGTGGTGCCCCCGACGCGAAGCGTCAGCGTGTCGACGAGTAAGCAATGTCTTGGGACATCAAAGGCATGTCAACCCACGAAGTACATGCATACTGACTTTTATTTTCAGCCAGGAAGATGTACCAGACCCACACGTGATCACCATCGTGATCAAGGATCACGTGGACCCCTTCAAAATCGACAAGGAGATGGCGATGACGCACTCGGTCTATTTTGAGCGCATCATGAGCGGCCCATGGGCCAATGCGAGGACAGGTGTCGTCGAGCTCGAGGAGGGCGATCATGCATCGCCATACAACGTCGACATGTTCATTAGATACGTCGAATACGCCGAGGACCCCGAGGGCGAAGTTGACCCTCTCGACGAAATCAATGATTTCAACACTTTCGCGAAGCTGTGGCTCTTCGCCGACTACATCCAGAGCAACACGCTCGCCAACGCCATCATGGACCAGATCGCCGGCGAGGCAGACGGCTCGGACGGGATGCTGATGAGCAAGGAGGATTTCATGTTCTGGTGGAATGAGACCGATGCCCGCCCCTCCTTCGCCAACCTGCGCGGCATCATGGTTGCCATGCTGGTGGAGTCCGGCAACATCCAGGACGACACCAGTCGTCACGAGCTCATGCCGTTGCTGCCGGCCGATGCACAGCAGGCCATCGTTGACGAGTTGATGCGTCAGCATCGAGATGTCAAGTATGAGATCGAGGAGGGCGCCGAAAAGCTGAGGGATCACCTCAGTGCCCAGGGCAGGAGGGTCCTTAACCAGATCCGTACTCGAATGGACCAGAAGGTGGTTGGAGAAGACTACCACGCGGCGTACGGCAACTAAATGTAAGATTTTCACGTCCTCTCATCACGTCAGACCTCCCGCTAAGACCTTCATAGTGGCATCAGTGATGATGATATGTTCGCCTGAGGTTTAGTTGAGCATAGCACTGAGAGGCGTGTTGAGAAGAATGAACTATGTACTATTAAATGAAAGATGACCACCTCTGAGTGCTATAGACATCTGTGTCGTGAATTAGAAGACTCGTGGCGTGATGAAAGAATATCATGAGTAAATAACATACAAGCAAGATGAATGTATAAACTATGTGCATTCTTTGAGTTCTTTTAAAGTGCTACTAAGCCAGAATCACAATTATGGTTCTAGTGGGACAGGAGACAGAATACTTTGTAGACAATCATAGTCATTTTTGCCATACACGGCTTTAGATGATGATGAGTTATATTTCCGGCAGAATGAGTTACTGAACCTGCGACATTAGTTTGAGACGACCGAAGTAGAGCTGGTCGCACCCGAAATCTAATCAGTCACCACTTTGGGATATCTGGATCTGTGATAGCCTCCTTCCAGACGCGAAGCTGGGAGTTTGGGGCGAACTGAATACAAATAGAAAAGTTCTGGTAGCTTGAAACCCATATGCTTCAAGGAATCGAAGGCGTGGATCATCGAAATGTGGGAAGTGGCTGTTGCTTGCTTCTGACTTGATATTACACAGGAGCACTATACCGCCCATTCGCCAACTGCTTCATCTCTAGCGTCCTCGATCACTTACACCAACAACTTGATTCCTACTAATTTTAAAATGATTGCAGTGGCTATTGCTCTATAACACGTTGTTGCCCATTCAACGCCCAATTATTCAACATCAATACCTTTCAAGCAGCACTCCCTCCTGCTTTGTGAAACATTATATCCAAATTGGAAATTAGGCATCAAGAATCTTGGGGATAAGCACCTCATTGTACTCCCAAAGAATAGTCTGCCAGTTAGCCGAAAAGGCAGAACCAGTTTACCACGTGGATCGACGGCCTTGTAGAGCCTGGAAGTCCTGGATGAACCCGGCCTTGTAATCATCCGTCGTCACCCGAGCGTGCATGAACCCATGGTCGGAGACGAACTTGAAATCAAGCTGTTCCTGGCTGCTGGTGGGCAAGATGTGAGATCCGATCAAGGTCTGGATGTCACTGTTGAGCTTGGCCTTGGCGTCCTCGGGGCCCAGGAAGTTGTCCCCGGTCACGGTCACGGAGAGGTGGAAGAGGCTGGAGCCTGGGGCCAGCCTGGAGATAGTACCCGTGAAGTTGTAGTCTGGGTAGTGTGTCTGGCTGTCGTCATCCGCCGAGATGGGGAGGTTCGCCAGGCTGGTGTTGGTCTCAAGCGACGGGCTTGACGCGACGAAGACATGTTGGCGGGTGTACTGGAGCTTGCTGAAGACTCCGAGCTCTTGGTCATCAAGGTCGAAGATAGAGAACTTGGAAGAGTCAGGCGCGATTCCGAGGACGAGGTTCTTGGCTTGAATGATGGTCTGTACTCCGGTGTTCACGTCCTGGACTGTCACGGCGACGCCGGCATCGGAGCGCACCGAGCTGATGGCCTGGGTGCTGTAGTAGACCTTGTCGCCTAGGAACTCAGCGACTGCGTCATAAATATCCTGATTGCGCCCTGACACGGTCACATATCGTTTCTGAGTGCCCAAGATAGTTCGTGCAGTCTGTGCTGGGAAAGCTCGCATCACCGGCAGGACTTCTTTGTCCACGATGCGACCCATCGCTCCGGCAATTTGGAAAATGGTGGGCAACGCGGCGGAGATGTTGTACTTCTCGACGAACGCTCCAAAGTTCAGCAGCAAGTCCTCGGGAATGTCGCTTGCGTCGGGAAAGTTCCAGTAACCTGGGACTAGTATGTCCTCGTACTGTTCCGCGACTGTGGCGTACCGCTGGAGAGCAGCATGCACGTCCGCCGTGGATGGCGCGGTGTAGTTGGTGAGTACTTGGCCAGTGCTGAAGTCGATGCGCCTTGGGGGAGTTGACGAGGACGCCTCCGATGGGGTTGTGACTAAAAGTCGCCAGTAAATAATGCCACTACTTTACAGACTGACAAAGCTCAATCAAAGTAGTTCCCGAAGAGTGTTACAAACACGGCATTGCTTCAAGCTCGAACTCTTTTGGCCTTGAAAACCTCTGAGATATCCCAGAAAGAAGAACGGCTTCCTGGTAAGGTTACTTACTGGGAATATTAAAGCGAGCAAAGAATCCCGTGGCGTTTCCATAGTCCGCAAAGTCTCCAACGCCGATGTCGTACGTCTTTCCCGTAGTGGGATCCGTGAAACTGTCGACAGCGCCGCCCTAGAACCCGGATTTAGTACATCCAGAACGATGCTTTCTTCCGAGAAAGTGAAATCTACCAGAATGGGTTGTCTCTCAACAAGAATCACATCTTGGCCATAGTCCGTCAATCGAACTGCCGCATGTGCTCCGCCAGCACCTCCACCTATGACAAGTGTGTCTGTCGTCACAACGCTGACGTTGGAGCTATCAGAGGCAGCAAGTGCAGCCAGGAGGCCGCTCGTTTGGACGAGGGTTTGCTTGAGAGACGACATGGTTACTGGCGGGTGGAACGCAAGGGATCAAGCCTGGAGCCGAGTGAAAGGCGGTCTTGAGCTGTGAACTGTGTTGCAGAGTCTAGGACAGGAATGAAGCTGCTGGTGAGCTCTTTTATATTATTTTGAGGGACATGTCCATTTATTCCGAGGATGAGTTACTACATCTGTAGGCCGTGACTCTCATTCAGATATTCACCGCTCTGAGTGTTTTCCTTACACAAAGTTTGGGATGCTCATATCTCCAGGTGCGGTCTTAGTCAAGTGGAACGCATAAGCTTAGACTTTACTAGTCAAGGTAGTAGAGCAGGATCAAGATAACCTTTGGAGAGCACCGGGAGTGACTGACGAGCTGCCATTTGCTACTCTGTAGATTGCTGATAGGCTTGACGTCCTATGGCACGGCAGTCATGTAACCAATATGTGTCCCCGCTAGTCATTGGCATCATAGCAAAATCAGCTTTGGAAGACTCCACGCCCTGGGACATCTTTGAGGATAGGCAATTCGGCTGGCTTACTAAAGCCGCAGCTATGTTTGGCATGACTTGTTGCAGTTCCCATTATTGAAACTTTGATTATCTCCGGAATATGTTGAAGACTGGGTGATGATTCAAGGCCGAATGAATCTGCCGTTATAATTTAGTTGCAAGGCCAACAGCATGTGAAGTATACTGTCGTGGGACTTATGGACCACTACACATTCAAAATCGTCCACTGGCTTTTGAGGCACTCGTCTGATTTCAGAGATGATGAACATGAAAGTTTGTTGTTTTTGAGGGGATTCAAGTGTCCCAATGCCAATAGAGAAATTCAAAGCAATCTGAAGGGTTAAAATGAAATTTACTGCTTACTAGCTTGTTGGAGCTCCTTTTGTTTGTCTCCTTGACTGATTTTACACGCCTTGCTATCCTGGTAAATTCGATTAAGCCACAATCGTCAAAGTGTGTGTTGAACGCACACCATGGAGATGACTCATCATTGAACTGACGAGTCAAAATAAGGGTATTGGAGCGTTCGGATGCAGATGCATGCGTTGAGTTAGACGATCAATAAGTTCATATGCAGACTAGAGCTGCCATGTCGAGTCAGAGGATGAACCTTCGCCCACAAAGCTTGACTAGTAGATTGTGAGAGAAGTATATTGCACGACGGCAACTTTGAAATCGTCCGAAGCTTATTGACCTCACCTTTATTAAGCTTTTAAGATTGCGGGATGGCGAGCTAGATTCGTCAACCATCCAAAATCCCTCACATCCACAGGCTAGCGCCTACATGAGTTGGGATTAATGAACAAGCTCACAGCAGAGTGATGGGCCGAGGCTGACCCGCAACTTTACTAATACTGTATGGTTGATGATGATGCAGCAAGGCCTTATTAAATACATTTGTAGGCTCACATCTGTTGAAAGATATTCGCCAATGCTATCGACTCACATGGTACCTTTCCAGTATCGTGAGATTGTTTCCGTGAAGAATAAATGTTCACCATGGATAGCTTTCTTCATATTCATAATCATAGCATCATGCGTACTGAGGGTGCATTGCCGCTCCTAAAGGAATCCCTCGCAGTGATCAAAGCCGTCCACAGTATAAACATATGCGCTTGTTCGCCGTCCTCTTCGGTCATGCCAAATGCCTACCATTCACGAGTAGGAGTGCGCCTTGATTAGCAACCCTGGTTACTTCTAGAATACTCTTTCAAAGGTGGTATGAACACAGGTTAATACGCCGCCGGAAATTTTCACATCAAACGTGTGCTTTTTGGAGGGAAAGCGCTGAATCTTTTCGTGAAAATTGTTGTCGAAGAGGGGGCACAATAGGTCCGAGATCATAGGGTTTGCATAGTGAGTGATACCTGTGACCGTCTTTGCAGGTCGAGGGCTCTCCATTGTCTTGTTTATAAGCTTATCACTCCAGTCTGCTGAGCAGCAGTGGGAAACCCCTTGGACATTAGGCTCCTAAAACCTCTAGTAAATACCCAAATGTCGCCTCAGGGACAAGCTATTATATGTTGAAAATCCATCGTGGAGACGTCTGTCAATGGTTGCAATGCACACACAGCGGCAGTGCTTGATGTTATCTATCGTGAGGCATACAGTCTTCTGAGCCCTAAAGAATGTTGTCCTGGACTAGATCCCAGGTGAATGGCATCTTGCGTAGGACAACACCCCTCCCGAAATCAGCCTGAAAGCTTTGGGTAGAAATTAAGTGTAGCATTGTTGTCCAGCGGGGCAAACAATTCACGAGGTCAAGCTGTTGTGTGTCAGCTGAACAATCGTTACCCCCAAGCTTCTGTAAGACAACATCCCTGTCCTTCCACCCCCCAATCTGATGAGGTGACAAGCGATGCTAGATTCGGACATGGTGTGATCACGTGGAGCCTAGGACAAAGTCCGGTTGACAACCCCCATCAAGACGAAGTGCTCAAGTGAGACACTGGCAGTGTGACCCGGCACGTCAGTCTACTTACACCTTAAATAATACCATCCGCCCGAATCCCAACTACGTGAAACAAGGCGCAGTCATTTGTCATTCTGGTCCAAATTTTCTCAAAAATCCAGCATCATGAGCAACTTCACAAGCAATCCTATTATCCAACGCGACGCCCCGAACGCGGTGGTCTACGACCTCTCCGAGCCGCACCAGGTCACCATCACCCTGCCCGCCAGCTCAACATGGAGCAGTGGCCTGCACTGGCACGAGCGACACGTTGAATACCTGCGCGTCGTCAAAGGCAGCGTCCAAGTCACCCTTGACAGCCAAGTCCGCACGATATCAGCAACAGACGCCGAGACGGAAGTGAGGGTCAACCGAAACGTCTGGCACGAGTGGAGGAGGCGGGCTGATGTAGAGGACGACGAGGATGTGGTGGTTGTGGAGAGGACGGATCCAGAGGATGGCGAGAAGACGGTCTTCTTTTGGAACCTGAACGGGGTTCTTCTCAAGGCGCAGAGCCTGAACTGCCCGCCGTACATGCCGAAGCTGCTGCATAGCATCTTACTGGATGCTTGGGTTACGCTCAGCCTCTTTTCCATCTTTCGTGTGCTTGACAACGTCCCCGTCTTTGTCAACGTCCTCCAAGCATTTTCAAAGAGGGGTTTTGTCTTTGCGGAGAAGACGCTGGGGCATAACGTCTTGCGTGGCGTGGATGTCATCATTTCTCGCATACTCCTATTCGTCGCGTCTGGCATCTCACTGTTGTTTGGTATCAGAACTGTGCGGGAAGAATTCACCCCGGACGATGTGCGACAGGCTTGGGTCGCTTCCAACGCCGGGGGAAGGAAACCCAAGAAGGCTTGAGTTTTGTTTTCGCGTTTAAGCTCTCTACTACTACTACGTTGCCTCTAGCTATCTGCCCAACCGTGTTCGCGTTGTCCTTCAACTTTCAGTCAGCCAGAAACTCTTTGCGCTTTTTTTTTGGCAGGTGTCTTTACGAAGGTATGGTGTCAACTGTTATAGTCATTAAGAGAACTTCCCTTGCAGCTGTATCAACATCCTGGCTTTGACAGAGTCGGGCAGGGCATACTTGCCCACCTGCGCACGTGATTACCTCCGATCAGTGTCTCTACGTCCAACTCCCAGGCGACGCACTGGAGGAGGTCCAGGACCGGTTGAGGTCCAACACGTACAACTGGGCATTGAAGCCCAGTTGTCAACCTTTGGCCCGGCGTTGCCGAGCGTCGTCTTGGCGGCTGCCACCAATGGACACAGAAGTTTCAATTAGTATAAGACACTTGTGAAGCTTTATATCCTTGCGCGATGAGGAAGTGCGAGATATTCGCCTCGAAAATGTCGTAAGCTTCCCGTGATTGCCAAGAGACTTATGCTCTCAAAAGCTGCATGAGCCAACATGCATTTGCATCCATATTTGATGGAGATTCACCTGTTAGTTAACTCAAACGCGTTTGGGGGCAATCTGCGGACAACGTAATTGGTTAGGACCTGGCTGACTGATGTGTCAACATACAGATGTGTCATGGGTTTTACAAGTTCTTCTCGACTGGTGGCAAGTTTTCTGACAAATTTCGGGTTCATATGTACTTGCGACTTCCTTTCTGGCGGAGAATATATATACATGAAGTAAATATGTGCAAGAGACCGTTCCTTCAAACCTTCATCCCGGCACTCGGGTGGAATCTTTCAGACGGGAGCGATTCTTTCCTCTCAGCGAGACCGACCCTCTCTCTCAGACAGCCACAATTCCGTCTGGTGGAGAGATTCCGTCTCTTCCAGATGAGGCGCTCCCCTCCTTCAGCTACAAGCACTGAGAGTAGTAGGTGTTCTGCACCTGGCAAGTAGACCCGCTTGCGCAGACCGTACACCCGCTGAACCCAGTCCCACCACACTGCGCATACTTGGCCGCCGTACACGTGGCCACGGGCGGGCTGGACGTCGTCGTGGAGGTGGTCGTCACCTTAGTCGAGCTGCTCGTTGTTTTAGCACTAGTGGAACTCGTTGAGGATGTGGTTGGCCTGACACTGTTGGAGGAGCTCGTCGAGGACCTGGAAGTCGCCGTGCTGGTGCTGCCGGCCGTGGATGAGCTGGAGGAAGAGCCGCCGCCGCCGCCACTTAGTACCGTCCCCGAAGCATAGAAGACCCCGCGCCCGTTGGTGCCCACGTAGACCTGCCCGGCCTTGTTCGCGCTGCCTGCGAGCTTGCAGCTGCTGATGGAGCCGAAGCCCTGGGTTCCTTGGATGTCCGTCCAGGTCTTGCCGTCGTCTGCGGACGCGTACAGCCTGTTCCCTGCTGGGCCGTTGCCGAAGGCGTAGAGGTTCCAGGCTGTTCCTGAGCCGAGTCCGAGGGAGATCTTCTGAGTTGAAGTGAGAGCAGTCGATATCTGGGTGAAGGCAGCACCATAGTTGGTAGACTTGAAGATTCCAATGTCAGTGGAGACATAGGCTGTTCCTGCAACGGTCGGGTGTGGCGCAATGTCGACAACTGAGGTTGCGCTGCCCAGAGCTCCAGCCTTGCTGAACGATGTTCCGGCGTTGGTGGACACGTAAAATACGCCTGATGCGCCCCCGTAGAACACAGTATTGTTGCGCTTGTCGCTCGCAATAACTGCGCCTGAAGCGAGACCCGTCACGGCCGCGAAGCTGCCCTGGTTCTGGGAGCGGAGGACACCCGAGGTCGAGCTCGACCAGACAATGGTATCAGCGTCGGCGCTGTAAGCTACGAGGCCGCCGTAATCTGTTGTGCTGCTGCCGTAGTTGATGTTCCAACTTGCGCCGCCGTCGCTGCTGATCGCGACTTGCTGCGATCCGGCTGCGTTTCCAATGCGAACAACGTTGGCAGGCTTGTTACCAGCGTAATCTACAGCACGACATCATTAGAGGAAGGGTATTCATTAGACTTTCAGCATCACTTACCAACGTCGGGCGAGGTCGACCAGAAAGGATTCTCCCATGTGGCTGCGGGACTAGTCTTCAGGTCGTTTGCGCTCTTGAAAGTGTACCCGTTGTCATCTCCCACAGCTACCAGGAGCTCGCTCCCGCCTGGCGCAGACACGACATTCTGGACAGAGAATTCTTCAATTCCATCCGCCAGAGACTGGATGCTGATGTTGTGTGTTGTGTCCCACTTTGTCAAATCATGACCGCCATACACCGTGAGGCCAGTGCCATACAGCCAGTGGTTGCTGTCAAAGGGGTCGATCTCCAACGACTCGATCATCCAACCGAGTTGCTCCGCATCCGCCCTAGAGATGAAACTCTTGTAAATCCATGGGGCCAGCGGTGTGGAAATACTGTAGTAGCGGTTCATGGCTGGGTAGTTTGTCCACTCCCACAGGACTGACCAAGTCGCGCCGGAGTCGGTGGAACGGAACAGCTGAGCCTCAGGGTACCATGAGTTGAGTGCTGCAACCACCAGCGTTCCCGGCTTGAGCAAGTCCAAGCCCAGGCCGCCGAAGCCAAAGTAGAGGTTCAAGCCCGAGACGGGTGTGATGTTGGCCCAGGTGTTGTTGGCCAAGCTAAAGCGGTACACGCCGCCATTGGTTCCATCGTATGGCCCAGTGCCGTCAGAGTAGGTGATGTACAGATTCTTCTCCGCCGGCTGTATCTTGGCCTGTGCGGGAAGAACGCTCCAGGCTGGCCAGCGACCGCGCTCCATGTCGCGCCAGCATCAGTCGACTGCCAGACAGCCGGCTGAGTGCCGTTGCTTGCGGCGCCAACGAAGATCCTCGATGTCGCCCCGTTAGTAACCGCAGATGTGGAGTCGAAGGTGACAAATGCGATGCCCTGGATGTCGCTGTTGTATCCATTGGCGTCGCTGGGGTCGACAATATAGTTGCCCGTAGCGGTGAAGGAGGAGACCTTGGTGAAAGTCGCACCTCCATCCGTCGACTTCCAGAGGCCGTTACCGCTGCGCGCGCCGAAGTAGATGATCTTCGAGTTGGCCGGGTCAACTGCCAGACGTTCACCCATGCCTCTCCCGGGCATGTTTCCTCCGAATTTAAACGATAGGTTCGTTATGCTCCATGTGGCACCTCTGTCCGAGCTCCGGGCGATGACGCCGTTATTTGGGTCCCAGCTGATTCAAGGTCAGTAACTCCCTCGACTGTCTGATAGCACAACAGGACAGGACCAACCTGTTGGTGTACATGCCCAATGCGACGTAGACTTTAGTGTCATCTTGAGGATCCAGGGCCAGAGCATCAACACCCCATCGGTTCCTGTGATGCGAAGATTAGTAGTTTTCTTACTTCCCACATCTCAGTGCACGTCTTACCAACTTGCATCCGTGGTTATGCTGTCTGTGATGGCTGTCCAGGACTCATCAGCATTGAGCCTGTAAAGGCCACCGATATCTGTCCTCGCGTACGCCAGCCCTTTCGTCTTGGGGTGGAAAGAGATCCCCGGCACGAAACCTCCCCCGCCTCCGATTTTAACAGAGCTCCAGGAGAAGGCCGCTCGGACAGGTACTGCTACCGCAGCAAGTAGCTGCAGGGCTGAAAGATACTTCATCTTCGAAGATCCTGACGCCACGTGGGTACTCGACAAGATAACCAAGAGGTCGCGTACTTGCACGTCGTACGGAACCTCGTCATCTGGGGCGGGAAGGATGACTATGTTTATAGGGCCAATATCAGATCAATATCTGTCCACAAGCCAAGCTTCACGGAACCAGGAAACGAGTAGTTCCCGACTTGCCGAAATGGCAGGCCCACAACATCATGTTACCAGGTCCCGCCATCACCAAAGGAGGTTTGTGGCGACATTGGCAGGGCAAAGACAAGGCGGGCATTAGAAGCGGAACCTTCCTCGCTGACAACATGAGGATTTCCCACAAATGATCGTTGCCCTTTTTTCCCTGTTTTGGGAAAATGTGCTCCTTGCAAAGGGTCGAGAATGTCTGTGGTTCCCGTCGACCCGCCATTTGTGTGGAAGGTGTGCTTCCGTGATGGGCGTTTTGGGAAAGTGGGGGGAAAGAAGTAGAGGGTGGTTCATAATTGGGGTTCAGGGATCTCCCGTGCATGACATCTAAACGTCAGATGATCGTCAGGTCCCTGGATCAGCTCAGTGGACCACGGGGCCACTCACTTTTCGGTTGTGAACAGGAACAGTCGATAAATTCATGACTGGCCTCAAAAGCATATGCGTACATATGAAAGCCTTCGGCCAAGTGCAAGATACAAAGGCAGTGTCGCGTTAAAACGGTCGATGTTCGTGGGGCTCGGGCCCGGGCCGCAACATGATCAGCCACTTCACTTGATTAGGCAAAAGATGATTATGAACTAACTGCTAGTGAAGTCCCAAGTCCTTGGGTGCGGATATTTAAGGCAGACTTCTCGCTTGCCACACACTCGATTCGAGGTCTGTGCCGAATGTAGTCGACCTAACGGGACGAGGGCCGTCCCAGGGCCATCATGGGATCTGGAGTGGTGAGTGCAGAGAGGCGCATTGCCTGTCACCCGGATGACGCGTAGATGTTCTCCAGGTTATTGAAAAGTGAGAACTAAATACGGTCTAGTCTGTCACACTTCCTACACTCCCTGACTTGTTACCATCGGGAGCCTTGCCGGGAATCCTCAAGAATCAACATCAACGACCCTGCCGTCTTCATCCAGCCCAACCCTGACCTTCTTGGTGCCAGCCTTCCTCGGGTTGGGGGCTTCAAAGATCTAGCTCATCTCCAGTGTCTTGCCGCAGGCGTCCGCAATTTCTCCATTTTTCTCCCATGGGGAAAAACTGGGACCAACGTTCTAGACAAGAGCCAACAACACAGTCAGGAGCTCGCCACGACCGGGCATGCCAAGCAGACTTCCTTGGGTTTGGGTGAAGAATACTGCGATGGGTCTTCATAACAGCTGATACTCGACCGTGGAGACTGTCATCTCTGCCCATTCTCCCACTATTCTTGATGGATAGACCCAGAACGCGAACGGCCACACTGGCCGCCAACAGGCGGGCCCGGGTATCGGAATGTCAAAGTGTAGAGACGCGCGACGGCCCACAGGACAGGGATTTCGCGCTGTCACGAATTCGCTGACTTTGGGTTCCTTCGTCCCTAGGCGGTCGCCACTCGAACAAAGTTCTCAGGTGCATAGGCTGCGACTCCTGTACGAGCAAGCTGGACATGGAAGGGAGCAATCGCCGGAATAAGCCTTGACCTCGGCAGATCCACGGGTCAGGGTAGGAGTTTGAGTGTCGGAGCCGGCTTGATCCAATAGCACCGTTTTCCAGCAAGGTAACGCCAGGTCTTCGGAGCCTACAAATTTATCGACGGCTCTTCTACAGCTTGGCGAAACAGAAGCTATAATCGGCCCCTTTTCAGCTCCGGTCGACACATTTATTGTTGTCGCTTAAGAGCCGATTCTTGACACAATCCGTTTATATGACAGTCTACTTCGTAATTAGCCTCTGCAGATGACATGTCCTGGTTCATTGATGGAAAGTCGACCATCCCTCAGAGCCAAGAATCCGCAATTTGTACATCTTCTCCCACAAGGGGAAACTGGAACCAAATTCTGGACAAATCCACGTCTGACCAAGACACTACGAAGCGGAAGTCTATCAATAAGCTGTGCCATGGTGAGCTCGGATCGCGCCGTAGAGAGGATATCAGCCATGGCAAAGACGGCGGCGCTGCGTTGCTGCACGTCGATAATATCCTCGATTGGGACTTTGGATCCCGGCTGACCAGGTTTGGGAAACGAAGTCATCGTCGGGTTTAATGAGTTGCTTTATGAGCGTGTGTAATTAAATGGTGCTAGCGAGACACAGTTTGCAGTGAAAATCTGCATTGATGAAAAGACAGGGTAGATATAAGCTAATATGGCCGGAGATGGTTGTTGAGTTATCGGGTCCCAGGCAGGCGAAAGCACCAACAGCCAAGTCAAATTCTGGCGTGAGGGGTTCGTGATTCACTAGCTGCCTCCCATGCAGGAGATCAACCTGGAAGTGAGTTCTCAAGCTGACATCCAAGAGATCTCCGTCTTATTGTTATCGTGTAAACTTACAATGAACATCCATTGAGATTTCGGCCTGCCTACATCATCACCGTGTATAAAAGTTCTCGAAACTTCTGATTGCCTCAAGTTTCTTAGACCCTCACAACAGAGAAACAGTTCCATAGTTCCGGCTTCGATTCGGGCCCGGCTCTTCGAGTTCTGCGGGCTCGCATCGAGCTGGGCTCATTCGCTCCTTTTTCAATGGCTCGAGCTCAAGCGCCCCCGATCCTGGCAAAGGATTTGGGAAGAAATGACGGTCGCAACGCAGCAAAGTGCCAGAAATCCATGCTAGTTGTTTACTTGGCGAGATTCACAAAGCGCTCCAATTGTCACCTTCATTGGAACCTTGGCGACATGCAATGGCAAGCGATTGGACGCCATGTCTGTACTGATTGGCCGCTCTTGGTGACACCAAATATCTTTCAAGGCGGGAATGATATCATCTGTCAGCTGGCGTCATATCGCAGTAGCACCCAATTGTCAAGCAACAATATTGCGGCTCTGCTTCATCCCCGCAGGCTTTCCTCTATATCTAGTACTAGCCCCGATGGAAGTAGGGAAGTCCTTGTTGGCTTCCGGTCAAAGTGTTTGGCCAACTTTGTTCAGTCAAGATCCAGGATAGTAATTAGGGCGTAACAAGGTTCAAGAGAGACGGTAACTCTTCTCTCAACACAACAATTATATCAACCAGAACCAGGCTGATTTATACAAGGTTTACAGCCTTATACTTGGAAATTAAGCGAACGAAAGGAGTCTTCCACAAACGGGTGTATGTCTCAGCAGCTGCGATGCCATCCTTGGCCGATATCAACAGGAGGGACGAAACCGCCTCGAAACCAGACACGGGTAAATATGGCTTGGAGCCTTTCCTGGCAGGCAACGGTTTTGCATTGGTAGCCTGTTGCCCTATCTACACCGTCGTCGGCATTGTGGCAGGTATCACGCATCAAATCAAGAAGAGAAGGGCCAAAAAGGCTGGGGTCCAGGAAGCTGGGGAGGAAACTCCTACTACGGGTGATGATCACTCTGGAGCAGAGGGAAAGCGCCCAAGAAAGAAAACCGAAGACACGACGTCATCAGGACTCAAAAGAGCCACTAGCCCACCCAAAGTCGCTCACGGATTCACAGGAGACCCTGAAAATCCTCGTATATGTCACCCAGAATGTCCTGGCTACGAAAAGAAATACTGCGCGGTTCATCAAACATCTGACCCGGACCGACCCACTAGTCCCGGGTTGCTGGCGGTCTAAGTTGTTGTTCCAAGTAAATGAGCTCATGCGGAAATGCGTTCTCGAAGGATTGTTGGCTGTAGCCTTGCTTGGAAGGACAATATTTGAATGTTCAGCTTGATTTCTTACCTTGAGTTACTCTTTCTGTATTGCTATTAATGACGAAGTTCCACACTAAATGAGATTGCAATGAAACCAGGTGCCGGCCCCGAGACATCCTTAAAGGCCTCCATGTCTCCATGATTGCAGATCTATTACTTCACTCTGTACTAGTACTCAACGGAAAACGATGCGGAGGATGCCCAGGTGCATGTGGCGGGCCTCCCTATGGAGGGCCTCTGGATAGACCAATCAAGGTGAGGTCTCACATGCTGATAGAATGTGACCTTGAGGATACTTGCACATCACAGCTCCAGCCCAGCTTGGCGCCGAATGAGTGCTTGTATACTGCGGGTTGTTTATTCGCAGCCGAACTTCGTCCATAATGTGTATAAAAAGGAGCTCTCAAGCCGCTCCGACTTCTTTCCCTTTCATCTCATTTCAATTATTCATTATCCCACTACAACACTTTCGTTAACACTATTTCAGACTGTCTTTTCCGACATATTTATTGGTCTCTCATATAAAAGGGATTGTTCGCTTCCTGCCCCACCTCCTTGTCGACCTGGACACGTTCCAGGTCGTCAGGAAGTTCTGTTGTGGGATCCGACCTACCAGGCCACAATGAACTGACCTTCTTGGACGAGATGCCTTTCCACCAGCATGGGTATCTATGTGACCTGCTTCAGGGCCCAGGCTCACATTGTTTGCATGCTGGTGGGAAGCATCCTATTTCAAGGGTTGGGGAGCTCAAGCTCTGAAATTCTTAGATGAGATGCATTCCTAGCATCATGTGTTCCTGTCGGCTTACGTCCTGTGAGTTGGACAAGAGCACATGATGCTAGGAGAACATTTCATCTAAGGTCGTGTGAAGCATGACAGTAGCCAAAACCTTGAGTTCTGCTCGGACAGAAAGATGGAAATGAACGTGCCTGGACCCGTGCACAACCAAATGGACATACAAAACAACGAATCCGCGTCTGCGGAGCTACTTAGAGCCTGCGAGGGTGACCAGGTATTCGATGATCTGCTGCATCTTGAAACATTTGATATCCAGGCTTTCGAATCGCTGCTCTACATGTCCGCCGAGCAAGACACCTCATTACAACAAATCGAAATGTTCAATGACTACCCCGAATCACATCCTCATGAGCCGCAACGGTCCCAGAGCAGTCATTGCTCTGAACAAACAGCAAAAATCACATCGCCTGATCCCGGTCTATCCCTGACACAATGGAGCCAAAATACCGCTCAAAATTCAATCCAGGACATCCCTGATGTTCCACCACCCTCCGCCCACCTCGATACATCTTTCGCAAGGCACACATACCAGGAGAATCGACTGCAGTATATTGCACCCGCACCCTATCCACCTGGGTCAATCTCTCCACGAGGATCCTATCGCCCGGTGTCAAGCCATGCGACACCATCACAGAACAGCGATGCGGAGCTTCCATCACCAAGTACGAGCTCGAACTCGGTATCGGCCCAGTCCTGCCCAACATGTGCGAAGAGTTTCAGTAGGCAAAGCGACCTCAGGTGCGTCAATTCCAGGGACGAAAAAACGAATGAAACACAACTCCTACCTCCAGATGTTGTCATCCTTCTGGGACATGAGAGCTCGGTTTTGATGAAGCAATGAAGCAAACGATAGTTGATTGTGGTTGTTGAGGAGAGAAATCTCCCCGCTATTAAACGCTTAGAAGGAGCCTATTTGTAAGCTAGCGTTAATATATAAGCATATAACCCTTATACCTTTTAATATACTCTCCATTGCAAGTATCGTTATCTTAATAATAATAAGAAATATCCCGTTTTAATAACTAAAAATATAGTTTAAATATTCCGCTGTAATTTATATTAAAATTATTATATAAACATTATTTAATGTTTATATATTTTGCTTATATTATTTTTAATTAACTATTTAAACGCTTTTTTAGCAATATAAATCTTATATTTATTTTAATCTTAATTTTATATAAGCCTCTTTAAGGGTAAAGCAAGGTAATGCTTTTATGTAAATATTAATAAGATTATTTTTAAATGCAATATAATAAATGTTATATATTTTTTTAATTCCTTTATAAATAAAGTAATAATAAATAGTAATATATTTTAATTAAGCATTAATTTTATAATTTTAAATAAGGTTTAATATTAATTAATTATTAATATATAAAATAAGTAAATATTTAATATACTTAATATTTAAATCTTTTAATACTTAAATTATTTAATAAAGATATAATAATATTAATAAATATACTATATATTTTACTTTATAAATAAATTTTATAATAATAAATTAATGCTTTAATAATTAAGTAATTAAGCTATTATTAAGAAGTTATATATATTTGCTAAATGTTTTTAAATTATTTAAATTAATATTATAAGAAGCATTAATATATATATTAAGTATAGTAAATTAAAATAATAATATTTATTTTAAAAATTATAAGGTATAATTTAATATATGCTAAATATATTAAAGCACCTCTTTTATAATATTTAAATAATAAATTATAGGCTTTATATTAAATATTAAGAGCATTGCATATAAAAGAAATATGAAATTAAGTTTTATTTTAATAATAAGAAAATTAATAGATTTAGTAAGTAATTAATATATTATTATATTTATTATAATGTTGTTAAGTTTCTTTTATTATAAAAATAAATTTAAATTTATAAGAGTTTATTTTTAATTATAATTAAATATATTAAAGCGTTTTAAAATTTATTAAGCATATCTTTTTTAAAAAATATAAATTTTATTATTAATTTATATAATTTTTAATTTAAGTAGGTATTTATAAAGATTAAAATCTTTATACTTAAAATATTATATAAGCTTAATATGAAATTTATTAACTTAAGAAAGACTTTTAATAATAAGAATATTATTAATATAAATAATAATAATAATTTAGTTTTTAATAAAAACGTAAGGGTTAAATATTATCTTTATTAAATATTTAATTAATTTCTTTTTAAGAATATTAAACTATTTATAGCTTAATTATTTAAATTTATATAAAGCATTAAGAAGTTTTAAAATAACTTGTTAATTATTAAATAATATTTAATATTTTTATAATAATTATATATAAATATTATATTTTAAATAGTTATATAAGTATGCTATTTTAATATTAAATTATTAAAGCTATTAACTTATTATAATAGTAATAATAATGATTAGTTTTAAATTATTATAATACGCTATAAAATTATAAGTATTATTATAATTTATATTACAGATTTATATATATTTATAAGTAATAAGTTAAGCTTTATAGCAAATAAGCTTATTAAAAGCATTAAACTTCTTTATATATACTTAGTAAGGATTAATAATATATTAATTTATAATAGCAAGCACTTTAATTTATATACTTATATTTAAGAGTAATTTAAGTTTTCTTTTAATAGCTTATTATTAAGCATCCCTTTTATTACTTTTTATAGCTTATATATATATATTAAGGATATTATTAACATTTATTATATTTATAAGTAATGCTTAAATAAAGATTTAATTAAGGTAGTTTGTGGGAATAATGGGTGTTGTTTATATAGAGGACTGTTTGGGACTAAGCAGCTTTAGCCTATTAAGATGCCCGGCAAACAGCAGCCCTGGCGCTGCATACAAAATAGCTAGCATAATCAAGCCTTTTACCTTCTTCTCTTCCATAATTAACAATAATTAACCACTACATTAACTAAATATTATATTATAATATATAACCTAGCTAATATTAATTAATAATTATAAAAGCAATTATAAATTAATAAGGCTTAAAAAGATAACCTTTTAATTATATTAATTAGCATTATTAATATTATAAATTTATATAGCGTAGTTTATAATAATAATAATACCTAATATATAAAAAGATAATTATTATAATAAGAAACCATAGCAAATTCCTCTATCCTTAATATATATATATTTATTATGCCTTAAATAACCTTAATAATAACTTTTAAATTTAATAATTATAATTAAAAAAACTAAATTAATATTTATTTTTATTAATAATATATTTATTTATATCTTATTATATAAATAAATATAAAGAAAAAAACTAATTTACCTCTTAATAGCTAAGTTATAAAAGTAACCCTTAACTTCTTTATTTTCCCTTAATACTACTTATTTCCCCTTTTCACTACTTCCTTTTTTAAATTAAACATACCCTTATTATTACTTTATTAAAATAATAAGAAATAATAATAATATAATAAATACAATAAGCAATATTGCTAGTTAAAATAATCCATTAATATTAACTATAATAAATTATATTCCTATACTTAAAAGCATTATTAAGATACTTAATCCTTTAATATAAATAAATCCCCTAAGATTTCTTAATAATAAATAATACTTAAATACTTATATTTAAAGCTAAATTTAAGCTATGGCATATATATTAAATAATAAGGTATATAAAGCATTTATTAAGAACTTTTATAATTAAATTAAGCTAATATTTATGTAAATTAATAAAAACTTGCTATATATTATTAAGAAAACTCTTTAAATTAAGGGCATTTATATTTAAAAAGTAAATACCTTAAGAAAACTAATATATATCCTTAAAGCATTAAACTATCCTAAATAGCTAGCAAATTAAAAGCAAAAATACCATATTATATTTAAAATTAATTAAATTTAAAGCTATAATTTAAGTACTTATATTATCCCTAACTTTAATTATACCTTAATAAAAGCTAAAGAATTACTTAATAATAATAATTCTTTTAATCTTAAATTACTTAAACCGCTTAACTTACTTAGCGATAATAATAAAGGTAATAATAATTCTTTAAAACCTTTTAATTTATTAAGAAAAAACAGCAACCTTCCTTTAGCTAATAACTTTTATATAGCATATAATTATTATACCTTCTTACCTTTAATAAAGATAAAAAACTTTTTATTTAATTTAAATATAATAGCTAACTTAAAATATTATTATAAAGATAAAATATTTATTAAAAAATTATATAATATTCTTAATAATAAAATTCTTCTTTTTTATAAAGCTTATAACAACCTATAAATTTAGCCTTAATAATTTAAGGCAACTCTTCCATATATACTTAAGAAACTAATAAAAATATATTATACTTAAATTATTAATTAAGAAAACTTATTTACTTAAATATATAAAAAACTTAAAAACTAATTTAATATAAATAATAATTATTATAACTATTTTATAAACTAAAATACTTTAACTTTTTTTACTTTTTAATAAAGAAATTTAAATAAAAGCTATATAAATATTCTTTAAATGCTTATTAATAAAATGCAGCTTTATTATAAAGCATTTAAGTATATTATTTATAAGGATAGCTCTTTATAAAATATAATTTTAAAAGCAATATAAAGCATTTTTATATTTTATTATATTATCTTAATAATGTTAATAAATATTAAGCAGCTTTACTTTATCTTATAATAATATATTAAGGCATTAAAGGCTTAAAACCTTATATTATAATATATAATTATAAAAAATAATTAATAAGCTTATAAATAAGGTTATATTAATAATTATAATAATTAAAATAATAATAATTTAGCTATTATAAATATTAAAAAGTAATATTATCTTAATAAGTAATATAATAATAATAATTAATGCCTAAAGTACCCTTAACCTTTTTTTAAAAATAATAGCTTTTAATTAAACTTCCACTTAAGCTAACTTTATTAATTTAAAAGTAGCAATTATAATAAAAAATTTTATAAAGGTAATTATAATAATAAATATTAACTTAATAAAGGCAATAATAGCAATATATAATGCAGAAAAAAAAAGTATTTTATATATTATAAAGAGAAATATTAATTAATAAATTATTTATTTAAAAATTAATAATATATTAAAGCTATATATATTTATATATATAAGGATATTAAATAATAAGTTAATAATAATAAATTTAATACATTCCTTATTAACTTTAAAGGTTTTAACTTTAAAGCTATTAACATTATAATAACTTTAGCTATTAATAATAGTAAAAAGGGGCATACTTATTATACCTTTTTAATAAACTAAGCCTTTTTTTATAACTTTTTTAACGATATAAATAGCTTTAATATTTATATTAACTTTAAAGATTATTTATTAATAAAAATATTTATTATTTAAGATTAATACTTTTATTAATAATATTAAAATATTATGCTAAATATAAATATAAGCAATTCTAAGCTTTATAATATTAAATATCTTCCATATACTTAAATATTATATAGGCCGATAAAGCATAAGTATAATTTAACTTAAGCTTACTTATTAAGTTACTTAATATAATATAAGTTAATACTTTAATAAAACCATTAACATTTTATATTATAAATAAGCTTATTCCCTTCCTTCTTTATATTTAAAATATAAATAAAAACTTTCTTTTTCTTTAAAATATTATTAATAAGGTAGTTTAATAAAAAGATAAATACTTAAAGAAAACCTTCTTAATTACCTAAAAGTAGGAATACTTATAAATTTTCCTTAATATAAAAAGCAATAATATATTAGCAATATTTTTAATAAAAATAAAGCTTTAATAACTTTATTATAAGTTTAA